TTTCATTTGATCATTCCGTATTTTTCATTTCGTCAATGTTCTTCAAAAATTCATCTCGTAATTCCTTAGTTTTAACACGAAGCAAAATCGGAAATGCTTTTTCCGGATTCTTAGGTTCTACTGGAGGATTTGGTACAGTTACAAAGCTAAAAGCTTTATCTCCAGATTTGGTCATTTTCAATTCCTTCTTTAATACATTGTTGAGCATAATTGTACCTAAGGTATTCTCTGCTCGAACAATCAGCTGTGCACTATTCTCTAGAGGTTTAAGAAATGCCATTCCAGTACCTCTATCCATCCAAGTTTTTTCTATCATAAAGTACATTTTCACTCTGTAGGTGGATAATATTAACAATTTTATAAAGTCTAGAAATGTTAAATATAACGAACTTCACGGAAAATTTAGATCCCTCTTCCGCAAGGACCTTTTTCTCAGGTTCAGGCGGAACGTAGTCCTCTTCGTTATCATTTTTGCTTGTCTGGGGTGTTTTATCAGCTATAGTTGGAAAAAAAAGCGATTGCAAGTAAATTCACAAGAATTCCTAATATTAGTTTATTACTTACTTGTGGAAGAAGTAGGTCCAAATTTAAAAGTACTCGTGTCAACAGCTTTAAGCAAAAAGGATAATATTTTCACAATTCAATCATAACTCATTCTGAATAAGAGATATTATTTAACTTACGCTTTAAATTACTAAATGGTGTTTTGGTGTCACAGTCCTTTATATGAAAGGTCAGCTTTGGACCTTCCGCTGCTTCTGCATTTACAACAAGGTTCTTTTATTCTTTGAACATTAATTTTCAAAGATTTTACTTACTCTTTTCTTTTTCTGGTTTATTAAATGAAAATGAATTCTTTCCTCCATTTGGTAGACTTCCTCCGTTTTCTACAAATATTTTGGAAAATTCTGAATATTTGGATTTCAATTTCGCAATATGATCGATGTAACTTTGACATGAAGGGGCAATGTTGATAAGTTCATCTTCTTTCAACTGCTGTTCGATCCATTTCTTAAAGGATGAGTTTAACTCACGAATAGCAGCCTTTAATTCTGCAGTTTCATTGTTAGAAGAACCAGATGATTCCATTGCTACATCAGGTAATTGCTTTATAGATAAGCTCTCCTTAGCGACATCAGGAGGATTTCTGATATCGCTGGTGACATCCGGTGCAGTTGTTGTTGGCGTAACATCAGGTGTGCTCTTCTTTGGGTCATTAAACGCAAATGTAAAATTTGCGGCTGAGCTAGTATTCTTTCCAAATTCGAAAAGTTTTTCTTTGCTAGAGTCATCTGAGTTTATAAGAGAGACGGATTTAAACAGTCCTGTTGGTTTTTCAGCACCCTAAGAAATAGCTTACTTTAGATGTTTTAGATTACAACCCGATTATAAATACTAACCAAATTAGATCTCTTAGCATGCTTTATAACGCGCTTTTGTAATTCACTATCAGCAGCTCTTTTAAATACTCCAGCTTCTTCCTATTTATAATTATAAAATATATGTTAAATAAGTCAAGTACATGAAAAATGTTCCATACTTTTTCTTCATCTTGATCCCAGTTATCTCTGTTCAGGTCTTTTTCGGCAGTTCTTTTGGCCATTGTGGAAGATATTCAAGTATTAGACTAATTATCGCTCAATTTGAGGATGATCGGAAAAAACCCTTTTCTGCTTGCTAGAAAATATTGTAAAAAGATTATCAGACTTTTAAAAGGCTAGTTGTTTAGCTATCTTTGAAAATTAAATAAATGTGAAATTTTTTCTCATCATATTAATCAGAACCTTACTTTCCGCTGTTCGACCGAATCGAGGGCGAAATATTCCACGTGGTGTACTAACCACTAGAGGGCGCGATAAGCCGTAATTATAGGTGTACATTTATAAAAGGATACCTTTGATTAATTGTTATATTAATAGACTCACTATAAAAGAAAACACATATTCTACAACTACTCTAAAAAGTAAAAACATAATTTGTTCTCAATTACCTGCACCTAGGAAACTGGATTTTCAGTTACTTTAAACTATTGTTTGACTTTCCTTAGAACGAATCTTGTTGTAGATACCAGAAAAATAAAATATAAATCAACAGACTTTTAAAATCATTAACGAGGATTGTTCAGAAATGTATTTTATGTTCTATAAAAGCCACACGTAACAAAGCTAATTTATGAATGATATTTAATCATTAAAATATGAATATATAAAATAAAAAAACAAAATTATCTTGTTGATTTTTTCCACTTTTTCTTTAGTTTCTTATTAAAAAGATTACTTTTGTCTTTTATAGCTTATAACTCTTCCTTGACCCATTTTTCAACAGTTTTCAAATCTTTCTTTACTTGATCTTCGTTGGCATCGGAGGGTGAGAAAGCACTTTTGAAAAATAATAAAAAGTTATTGTCTATTTTGTAAACAAATAAACTGTTCTCTTACTTGATAAGCTTTGCTGACATACGATCGATGAAGCCGTTCGGTTGACAAACCTTATCACAAACTGTGCATAAGGTGCAAAATTTGCAGTACTGTAAAACAACACAAAAGAATTTAAGAATAGAAATTTAAGATTATTAAGAAATACGGATAAGTATAATTAAATATATATATATATATATATATATATTAATAATTGTTTTTTGTTCGAGGTACTGAAATATGTCTATTTAGCATTTATTTAAATAGGTAATATTTAACATCTCTTTTAGTGATTTTCTTATCTTGAAAGATAGGTGTATCGAAACATTTTTTATTTTCGTATTTAGTCGTACTTTTGAAATAATTAAAGTTTGTTAAGGAGTGGGCTTCTATTAATAGTCTATAATCTTTTGTTAAATATAGCGAACGATTCAATTTTACCCCCTAGTTCACGTCAAGTTATTGATTTTCTAAGAAATATAATAGCGAGGTTTAAAATGTAACCCTTCTAAGATAATAAAATTTCTTTCTTATTGATAACGGCTTGGGGCCTTTTTTTCAGTTTTTACAAGTAAATGCCTATATAATTATATGTAAATACATATTCTTATAGTAATCGTCTCTAGTAATCATAAATACATACCTTACACATGTGACAGTTGGGCTTTTGAGGTGATTTTTCGCAAGGACAGTCTTTGTCGCACAATTTACAAAACTGAAAAGAAATAAGGATAATTATTAAAGAAATTTGAGAGCGATAATACCATACTTTGCAGTATTTACAATAGTTGCACAACGAGCCCTTCGTGTATTCTAACTTATCTTGATCTACTTCAACGCTGCTGTCTTCTGATTCGGGTTTATCTTCGGCACTACTAGCAAAGGAAAAGATCAAAATTCCTATAAATAGAGTAGCGAGTAAATAAGCGTTGAATTTTTGCATCTTGTTTCGTTGTCTTGCTAAAAACTTAGTCAAAAATGTCAATCTATTTAGCCGGTTGCGTAGAGATGGCGCCAACTGCTCGTGGCGAGAGATCATTGGTCAATTAATTATTTCAAGATATATCTCGACTAATTGATAATAAAAAAATCATGAAAAAATTTAATTAATTAATTTCTTTAAAATATCAATAATCTATTAAGATTTTTGGTCAATAAAAACATTTTGCAAAGATCCTGTCAATTCTCCGGAAGTATTTTCGAATAACAATAACAAAATCCTTTTTCACTCATTTATATCGAAATTTACTTTCCCGAATTTTAATCAAACAATTTAGTGATATATTTTAAATGAAAAGAGAGATTTTGCATTTACTTTGTAAGTATTTATACATTTCTTTATACTCTTAAACTGGTTAATATGCAGTAATTGGTGATTCATTCGTCAGGTTTACTATTTTAAACCCTTAAATAAATTTTTAACGATGTCTGTGGTAACTCCTCAACCAATGTCTACACTACATTTTCAATGGGATCCTAAGAATCTCGAAATTAAAACAAAATCCGTGGAAAAAACTCTAGAGCCGCTTGTAACACAGGTGTGTATGAAAGAGCTGGTGCTTTAATGTGTTTAAAACCGTTGAATAATATTGCAGGTGACTACTTTAGTTAGTCAGAAAGGTCCAACTAGAGGTAAAAAGGGACGATCAAAAAAAGCTAAAGTTCTCAGTACAGCCGTTGCCAGGGCAATTGATCATTTTATCAACGAAGGCCAGAAAATCGCTGAAGAAAATGTCGAAATTCGTAATGAAATGTTTACTGCTGTTGAAGAAGTTAAAAAAACCGGTTTGTAAAATAGAAACAAAATCTTATTATGCTTGATGGAATGCTCAGAGAGGCGTGTTTAATCTTGTTCTCGCGATTTTCTCTATGTAGTTTGCTGGTCCTTAGCTTATCATAAGCCTTTGTTGTATTGTATCGGGAGAATTTATATATGAAACACACCAATTTTTTTGCTTGATTTCATCAACAGTATTATTCTTTCTTATTCAAAGGCCGGTTTAAGAGGTTTCCTAATAACAAATAAGCTAACGAAATCTCCGAAACAAATTCTCTATAATTACTGGATATTTATTCACAACTCTTATATCCCTTTTGTATAATATTTGAATATTATTAAGATAATATTTATCCAATAATTCAGCGCAAAAAAAACGAAAATTATATTCTCGTTAAAATAAATTTTTCTCTAGCGCTTCGTAAATATCAATTATTATTCATAAGGTTATTTTATTTACTGTATTATTAATATGTGCTTTGAACTGCAGGCGATGCAATGAAATTGGCAAGTGATGATTTTGCCGGGGATCCTTGTTCGTCAATGAAAAGAGGTACTATGGTAAGAGCAGCAAGAGCTTTGTTGGGTGCTGTAACAAGACTTTTGATTCTTGCTGATATGGTAGATGTGAATAATTTGTTGAAAGCGTTAAGAACTGTAAGTAATTACTCTATATATAATTAATTTTCTATACAGTAGACAGTTACTCGCTTTTGTATCAAAAAATGTATATCTAAACTAATTCTTTAAAATGTACATAGCGAATATTAGTCAATTTTTTTCATGTTATACTTTGATAATGATAACATTTCTCCAATCTACCGTAGGTTCAAAGCGATCTCGATAGAGTAAGAGATGCTTCCAGTGAAAAAGAACTCAGATCTGCGTTTAAAGATTTTGGCACCGGTGTTATGGCTTTGAGCGAAAGGGCTGGAAGACGACAATTGGATTTGAAAGACCCTTATAACAGAGAAAGAATGGCCTCTGCTAGAGCCATGTTGAAAACGAATACTCTCCCTTTACTGACGGCTTCCAAAGTTTACGTTCGACATCCGGAATTAGCTGCTGCAAGAGCAAATCGGGATTATGTGTTGAAACAAGTATGCGATGCTGTGGATCAAATTTCCGGAGTAGCCCAATCAAAGGGAATGGATGGCCATCCATTCGATGGGCCAGGAGAATTAGCTAATGCGCTTGATGAATTCGATGTAATAGAGTTTTCGTTTATATTTTTAATAAAATGAATCGAATTTATACTTATTAGATTCGAATAATGGATCCTGATTCTGGTAAAGGCGGAAGAAGACAGGGTCCTAGTCTAGAAGAAAGGCTGGAAAGTATAATAAGTGGGGCTGCTCTGATGGCTGACAGTAGTTGTACAAGAGATGAAAGAAGGGATAGAATAGTTGAAGAATGTAATGCTGTCAGACAAGCATTGCAGGACCTTCTAACGGAATCAATGAAAAATGTAAGTTACTGTTATTTTTCTCTCAATCTATGCAACGCCTTATGTTAGATCAATCCAAACCATATAAATATGAAAATTATATAACTCAATTAGTTAACTTCTCTACATTAGCATTTTTCTAATTAAATAATCAATAAGCTCTTTAAGGTATAAGATAGCATTATTATGCTTATCTATTAAATCATAATAATAAATCGATCATTTTCGCGTTATCAGTACAAAAGATAATAGTTATAGCGCCTTTTTTATTCGCAACCGTTTTTGTTATTGAAGATAGTCTATAAAACAAAGCGAAAACCTATGGCTTTTTCTAAATTAAAATCAAAATATGAACAGATGGGCAATTCGGAAAGAACAAACAATATTACTAGAGCTATTGACCAAGTCTGTACAAGAACTACTGACTTAAGAAAGCAGGTATGTGAATTTTTATCTTTATACTTTTATGCACCATTTTGTATATATTATAAAATTGTTCATATTTTCTTTAAAAAGAACAACAATTAATCGAAAACTAACAACGATTATTCTTTTGATATATAATAGCTTAGGCGAGCCGTTGTTGATCACGTTTCTGACACTTTTTTCGATACTTCCGGTCCGTTATTCGATTTGATCGACGCTGCTAAAGCTGGTAAAGTAGAGGATGTGGAAAACGAATACGGACGTAGATTTACTGAGCACGCATCAAAAATGGTAGAGGTTGCCAATCTCGCTTGTTCTATGTCTAATCATGAAGAAGGTGTGAAATTCGTTCGTTTGGCAGCTGCAAACATTGAAAATTTGTACCCTCAAGTAAGATTATGACGCCTTTTACTCTTTTTTCAATTAAATTTTAATAAATTTTCTTATTTAATTTCACTTGAAAGGTTCTCAATGCCGCTAGAATTTTAGCTCTAAGACCCGATTCGAAGGTTGCCCTGGAAAATATGGACGTATTTAAGGATAGCTGGCTAAAACAGACCAGATTACTTACAGATGCCATCGACGATATTATGCTTATTGAAGATTTTCTAAATGTTTCTGGTATGCTATTGATGTGAAACTTACTGCATTTTAATTACATAAATTTTATCTTTTTTATACAGAAAATCATATATTAGAAGATGTTAAGGGTTGCATCCAAGCATTAGATGAGGGAAATATAGATGCTCTTCATGAAAATGGTCGTAAATTAATAGGAAGGTCACAGAGAATAGCTGACGTTGTTGGTGTTGAAATGGAGAAATATCAGCCCGGCCCCTACACGGAGAGAGTTTTACAAAGTGTCATTTTACTCAGAGATAAAAGTAATTAATCCGCTAAAAATTTAATGATATTTATTAAGAATGTTACCTATCCATCAATAACCTTTCTTTTCAGCTGTTCCTAATTTTATAAACAATCTTCGCTACGTGTTGGACAAGATGGAGAGCAATCCGTCAATTCAGTTTTCGACTGACGATAAAGATACATTTATTAATTCTGCCGGATTGATATACGAAGGCGTTAAAGATATTAAACAATCCGTTTTATTAAATAGAGTAATAGCAAATCATTCTCTAACTATATCAACATTCATTCTAATTATTTTTTTCCCCAGAGTGAAGATTATGATCAATCGATGTCGGATATGGATGGTATGAATCCATATAGTAGCTATTCTTACGAATATGGTACAGGAAGTATGGATAGAAGAAGCGATAACGGTTTTTATTACTTTTAGTCATCTTTGTATTATAAAAAACGATAATAGTATAAAGGAAAATAAAAACGACTTTTATCTATCTTTTGTGCTTTTTCCGTCACCGTTCTTTCATTTTTATCATTTGCAAATATTTTAGCGTTTGTTTATATTCTCATCTATAGGCGGCATGATAATGGCTCAAGATGATGTTCAGAAAGAGCATATCGACGATTCCAGCGATAGGGCTAAAATGAGAATGGTTATTGATCAAATGCCTGAAGAGCAAAGAGCACACTTTGATCAGCAAGTTGCCCATTTCTTCGTTGAAAGAAAGAGATTTGAAAGAGAAGTCGCTAAATGGGACGATAGCGGAAATGAAATTATCGTTCTTGCCAAGCAAATGTGTATGATTATGATGGAAATGACGGATTTCACAAGGTTAGTATTTTTTTGTTATTTTTATTTTGGACAACAAAAAATAAGATATTAACCAAACATTTCATTTTGTACTTTACAGAGGAAGAGGCCCTCTAAAAAATACAATGGACGTTATTAACGCTGCTAAAAAGATTTCAGAAGCCGGCTCCAATCTAGATAAATTGTGTAAGGAAATCGTTCAACATTGTCCAGAATCAGCATCGAAAAAAGACCTGTTAGCCTATCTACAAAGAATTGCCCTCTACTGCCATCAACTTAATATTACCAGTAAAGTAAAAGCCGATGTGCAAAATATAAGCGGAGAGTTAATCGTTTCTGGGGTAATTTTATCACTATTAGTAACGCTATAAATAGAGAATTTCAATAAATTTTATTGTAGTTGGACAGTGCAACCTCGCTAATACAAGCTGCTAAGAATTTAATGAATGCAGTCGTTCTGGCTGTTAAAGCTTCATATGTTGCTTCAACCAAATATAAATCTGGTGCCAAGGTATGTAAAGAGCTTTTAAATACCGATTATATCCACTTTTTACACTTATTTAAGAATATTATTACAATTCGTAATCTATAGCTTTTCTTTCACGTATTACTTAACTTTTTATGATGATTACTTATGATCAACCAGCAACCTGTAGTACAATGGCGAATTAGAAGTACTGTACCTAAAAAATTAGGTGAAAAAGTACAAGCTCTTGGACCAAGAATTGCTCATACGGTTATACAACAAACTAGTACCATTAAACGCAGGCCTTCTGCGAATAAAGGCCCAAAATGTTTGTAAATAATTGGGGAAACATCGTTTTAGTTCGTAATCGTGTATTAAAAGGCATGCGCTTATAATCCTTTCAAATGAAGACTTTTTGCATGTTGTTAACTGGTTCATTTAGTTTATTTGTTCATCTATACGGACGCATAGGCGTAGAGAAATGATCAAATGATATAGAAAAAGAGATATTGAATGGATAAATAGAAGAATAGAGTGATGGATTTTTATTTTGTTAGTTTTTATTTTAGGAAAACTTTGTTGGTATTGTTTTCCCGTGAAAGACAAACGCTATCTTCCCTACCAATACGGTTTTACCAAGAAAAAGAATGATTGTATATACATAATATATATTAATATAAAGATATGTTTATATTTATAAAAGCATAAATTTATACTGTTTATATGTTGCAAAGTTGCATGTTGCTAGTTGTAATATTGAAGTTATGAAGTTTTATAGCATGGTTTAAGACCTGTTTGATAAACATTTATTCTTTATTATTAGCTTTTAATCCATTTCCTTTTTACAGAACTTACAAGTGACATGGAAAATGCGCGCCCCTGACAAGAAACCATTAGTTCGACCTGACGATCCACTGGAAGTCAGGGCACGAATTAGACGTAGTGAGCGACAACAAAAAATGGAACCTGTTCATGAATTAAGTAAATTCACAGATGCCTAATTAATCTCTTTTCAGATATTCATTTAGAATTTTTGTCAGTTTTCTCTTGAATGCGTTTTTACTTGACAAAAATCTGAATATTCGTTTTTCATATCTAAATCTATGTCTTATCTTTATACTTTGTTAAAGTTGCGTAGATTCGTGTATTTTTATGATATTTCTACACTTAGTGATTTTATGTAGTATCTTTTGTAATGTGAATGTAATCTTTTCAAAAGTGAATCTCAAAAATAAATTCATATCATTTGAAAGACAAAATTGATGTTGAGCAAAACATACTATTACGAAAATAATGCTTAAGCGAAAACTGGTGTCTTCCATTTTTGTTAGGCTCTTTTATTACGAATCATGGCGAATTCAAATAATCAATCACATCCTCACCCTTTAGCTTCTTATGAGTTTCCTCATTGTCGAGATTGTTTTGCACACTATGAAAAAGTTCAAAAAGTAGGACATGGTACATTTGGGTAAGTACTTATTCATATTTCCTACATAAAGTAGACCATGCTTCTACTATTCAGTGAGGTGTTTAAAGCAAGACCGAAAAATGGTGAGAGAAAATTTGTGGCCTTAAAAAAGATTATCATGGACAATGAGAAAGAAGGATTTCCTATTACTGCTATCAGAGAAATCAAAATATTACAACAGCTTAAACACGATAACGTCATCCATCTATTAGAAATATGTAGAACAAAAGCAACTCAGTATAATCGCTTTAAGACATCATTCTATCTAGTCTTCGAATTTTGTGATCATGATTTAGCCGGATTACTAAATAATGTTACAGTAAAATTTCATCTTGGCGACGTCAAGAGAATTATGCAGCAGGTACGTTATTTATCTTTAATTTTAGCGTCTTTCTGGAGGTTCAAAATGTTTTAAAGATGTTGAGAGAAAACGAAATACTTAGTGATATTTACATACAACAATCTATCGTTGTTTCCCTTCTTTTCCATAGATTTTAAACGGACTCTATTATATACATGGAAACAAAGTTCTCCACAGAGATATGAAATCTGCTAACGTTCTTGTGACTCGTCAGGGACAAATTAAACTAGCTGATTTCGGACTTGCAAGAGCCACATCACAAACGAGACAACATCGATATACAAATAGGGTTGTTACTTTATGGTACAGGGCTCCTGAATTGCTGTTAGGAGCAAGAAATTATGGGCCTCAAATTGACGTGTGGAGTACAGGCTGTATAATGGCTGAATTGTGGACAAGAACACCGATAATGCAGGGTGCAACAGAACAAGAGCAAATAAACTTGATTATGAATCTTTGTGGTACTATAACAACTGATGTCTGGCCAGGAGTTGATCAGTTAGACCTATTTTCAAAAATTAAGTTAGGACAAGCAAAACGACGGGTGAAAGAAAGACTAAAGGCATATGTAAAAGACCCATACGCTTTAGATTTATTAGACAAACTTTTAACATTAGACCCAGCTCAAAGGATAACAACTGACACAGCTTTGGAACATGATCTCTTTTACACCGATCCTATGCCCTCAGATTTATCTAAAACACTTGCACAATATACGACAGGTATGTTTGAAATGTACTCTCAACCCAGAAGGAATCAACGACACGGAGCTCATCGACCCGGGGCGGCTGGGGGTGGTCCAGCGGTCAATCCAGATCACCACGTTGAAAGAGTTTTTTGACACTCTATAAAAAAATAAGAAAAAAAATACCTTTGTACATTCATAAGGAAAGGAATAATTTTTACGATTAATTTGAGAGTTATCGCAAAAAAACCGACTATGAAAGTAATTTTAAATTATTAATTGATGTCTTTTCGTTAATAAATAAAAAAACGATATTGTTCAGTCTTTTGGAACTAAACTGTTATGTTTTAGGATGGAAATTTAATTTATTTAATTTTTACTACAACCAAATTGTTTTTTGAACACAAAAAGCTAAAGAGAAGAACATGTATATATATATATATATATATAGCATATTTCTTGGAAGCTGTATAATATAGCATTTAATAAAGTATAACCTCTGCGCTGTACAAAATGAAATGTGATACAAGAAAGAAGAACAAAAACAAAGTAGAGCACAGCTGAAGAATTACAGAAATTAATACTGAAAAATATTCTTTGGATAACCAAGACTTTTCGTTTTCATTTTTTTCCTGATTATTATAATAAAAGTTGAAAATCTTTTTATTAAGCAATGATTTTCTTTTTAAAGATTTCTTCGTCAAGCAACACATTTATGCGAGTTGCATATTTCTTTGAGATGATTTGCAGATGCTTTTAATCTATCGATTCTTGCCAAATTCTCCGAAACTCTCCTTTCCCAAATAGATTTTTCCTCTTCTAACTCCAGGATTGTCCTCTTGATCTTTTCTCTGAATTTGGCTGCTGCTTGCTTATTCCTCTCCCGTCTTTGGGCCAATTTTCTCTTTTCGTCTTCGGATAGGTTATCAACATTTCTAGCTAACCTTCGACCAATATGGCGTCTTATATTTTTATTCCTTGTACTCATTAAATATTCCGATCCATCCGATGTTGAGGGAACGTATTCGGACGAAGTTTCCATGATTTTCTCATTCAATCCTTCCAATTCTGAATGATCATTGTCCATCATTTTTCTTTGTTTTATTCCGTACTTATGTCAAGCCAAGAAGTTTGCTGCGTAAAACAAACAGATAAGATAAATAAATGTTGACTTGATCAAAATAATGAGGATCAATTTAACCTTATCATTATTTAAATTTTAGGTAAATATAACTAATAAAGCTACGAAAGTTTATGGTAATATTTGATATGATATTAGTTAAAAATCCTGATGAAAATATCTAATGATCTAACATATACCGATCAGTGAGTAAATAACAATAATCCACTTAAAATCGTCATCTAATTTCTATTGTCCTTGTAAAATAATTTCGATAAAAACAATAAAACTAACATTGGTTACATTAGGTTAGCGAGGCTCTTTCAGCTCCAATGTCAAATTAATCAAATAAAGCTTAAATTACACAATGAACTATTTATTTCACTATAAACAAATTTTCATCTGTTATATAAATACTTTTCTATTAACAAGTAGAATTAACGTAATTTCTGTTCAATTTATACAACAATCATACCTTAGCCCTGATCTCATCTGTTTCCTGCATGAAGATCGTGGTATTCGAGTAAAAAGAATGAATAATTATTGCACTAAACAACCTCTGTGTTGTTATTATAAAACACTATATACTTGTGGTGAAAACTTTTGTTCTATTTTTAGTAAAATATTTCTTCAATGCGTAAATAAACTTTACGTTGGCATAGGCCTACGAGAAGATAAGTACTTTTAACATTGTTTTGAACGGAAATAATATACAGTATATATGCAGATAAAACAAGGAACAAATAGACATTTTACTTTCCTTTTTTTTATAGAGGTAGGAAAAATAAAACAAAAATTTAGACAATAAGACAGAACAAGTGCTATTGTCTCTTTTAATTTAATTATCGACAATGATGTAATGACATATTATAGTATACACATACCAAAAAAGAGACTAAGACGTGTAAAAATTACAAAAGGGCTGGTATTTTCGAACTTTCAAGGTAAATATCCACGTAAAGTATAATAGATATTCATTTATATATTATATACAGTCGTGACTACTTTCATATTATTGTGGTTATAGTAAAACAGTTATTATACTGGAGATTTTGAAGGTTATATATATTTTTTAACCAACTCTTCCTTATTGTCAAAATAAACATATCTACGAGACGAATAGAATGATAATACCCTTTCAATCATATTTATCTACTTTCTCTTAGTTTTGTAAGGTTTTCGTTAAATACTGACAATATTAATACTAATATACTTATTTTTACGTATCGTACGATTCTGTTAACTACTGATCTAGATATGAATTTCGATAGAAGAGAGAGAAGAGGAGAGGAGAGAGAGAGAAATATAACAATTAAAAGGTTTATACTGACCAGACTCTTGCTAGTTTTCTCCTTTTTAAATATTTATTCGCCTTGGTAAAAATATTGTAAAATAATAAATTTAGTATGTAAATCTCTCTTTCTTATATCTTTCTCTTATCTGTCGTATGTCGTTGTATCTAGTGTACACCAGGTAAACCTTGTACTACTACTAAAAAACTCTATAGTACTGCCATCTTTCGATTATTAAACTAACCATTTTATTCTATTTTAAAGTACTAGTATAAGTTTATTTAAAATGTATTCTATTTTAGAAAATACAATAATATAGTTATCTATAAAAATTTTCAATCAATGTAGTAGTTTTTTTATGATTGTTTAAAAGTTGATGAGCATTTCGATAGGCCTATTTTCCTATATTTTTGGAGGGAGAAATTAAAAATTATTAGTATATATCTTTCAGGAATAGAATTAAACTCACGCTTCTTTCTTAAAGGCTGCCAAAGATATCCGATCCATTTCACTCCCTGGAGGATGTTCATTGAATTTGTTGATACCCAAAGTAATTAGTCCTGCAAAGATATTAAATCTATAGAGTTCTCTTTCTACATGAAAATTTTATGAAAGTTGGTTCTCTTTGTACCTGCTTTATATTGTGCTAGACGAATGTAGCCAGTAGTATTTGGGTCCAGCATCCCAAATACACTTTCAATATTCGAATCGTCGAACAGACAAGGATGATCAATTCCAGTGGTTCTTGCTTGCTTGAGAGACTCTAATGTTTGTATCATAAAATCACGAGGATCATCTGGTCTATGAAAGATCAGTTGCGATGTCAGGTTATTGAACAATTCGGGAATTCGATGTTCTTCTAAGAAACCTCTTGACTGTTCTTCTCTGGGACATGTTCCTACGGACATCTTGAAGATTTATGTGTTGTCATGGAAAAAGTCGATATCCGGCTCCACATAAATTTATATACAGTAATTTAAAAGCGGAGCTCGATTCCTCATTGCACGTGACTCGAGAGTGTAGGCCAAAAATATTAAAACTCAAATATTAGAGTATTTAAGTATATTGGTTCTCCTGTGCAATGATAGATAATAAGACAGAGAAAGATTCCCCTTATAACGCTTTATAATTACATGAATAATCTTGAGTAATAAACAGCTCTCAATGCTCTTAATTTGAATAAATTTGGAAAGAGAAGTGACTTGTTACGATGGAAATTGATGAATTACTAGATAATTAAAATAATCAGTGTCCCGCGCTAAGAAAGACATTATAATTATGGGAAACTTTTCCAATTTAAGCATAAAATTAGTTTCACATCCTCAATCTTGTTTTATATATTTTAGTACTTTGCTTAGTATAACATTTAAAGAGCATTCTCAAAATTATAGATACTATATAAACATGATGAAGTTGGTGGCAAGACTCACTTAATCAAACTTTCAAGCTATCAAATAAACTATTTAGTCAGTGTCCAGATTTTAAGATGAAGCTGAAATCTTTCAAGTACAAGTTCAAGTACTCTTAAAAGTCAACAGCCTGGATCATTAATTCCAGCTAAAAGGCATAATTTATTACTTTGTAATTCAGTAACCAGCTAAATTCTTAAATTGAAATAGTTCGAGTACAAATTAATTATCATTTTATGGGAAAATGATATCAAAATCTTGTTTCAAATTTCCTATAGCTCTTAAAAAGAGAAATTTATAAACTGTAGTGGGGAGAAGATAGTATTATCAATGCTGCTATTATATTCTCATTTATTTTCTATATGAGTAATAACAATTTAAAATGTACATTTGTGTATATTTTAGAATCCCTTTTATGGCTGATACTCCTACTTTCTCTTCTCTTTTTCATTAGTACTGTTATTTTCAAATTTATTTATGATCTCTTATTCTTTAAGATATTAGGAGCTTTAACATACTTTGTCTTTACCTCATCTTATGTTTTACACTTTTGATGAGAAATCTGTTATATTAAAAGTTTAAAGTCAGTTTAAGTATCTTAAATATACCAGTCTACAAACGTTCCATTGTCTTTGGTAACTTTTAGAATCTTCTTGTTTTATAGTTCCAAACTTTTATATGGTCATAATATTATCTTAGCAACTACTCTCTAAGAGTTTACAAATCATGTCCGAAAATATTTATGATGTGTTGTTTACCAATTAAAATTTGTTACATATATTTATTTATATTTTGTTTGTTAATTAAATCTATAATAAAACAGTAAAATTTATGTTAAAGAAAATGTGTCGAATTTCTTTTTGAGATCAAAATTTAATAATATTGCATCTAGGAACTTTTATTCTCCCCAATATAAACCTACGAATTGTAAAGAGCCATTCGAAATAGTAGAGATTGTACTGTTTAACCAGATAAAATATTAGAATATATTAAAAAGTTGGAAAAATGTGACTTTTTAGAAGACTTGAAGTTTTCTAATTTGAGTCACAGGATTATAATGTTTTTTTATTAGTAATTAAATGATACATTTAAGCTACATAATTTTATTATTTTATTATGAAATTCGTCTCTTTTAACAACAGTTGTTAAGGAAACTCTCATATCCGGTTAGTTCTAAATTCCATCTATGAATTGCAACCAAAAATATGCAGTTTACTGCAGTGCTAAAGATAGAAATTTTCATTACTTTTTTAAATCTATGCATAATAGTTATCTTTAATTTTTTGAAATTGTTTATTTTTAGTCAATGTCGTTAACAGTAGGATATATTTTTAACTTTATCTGCAAAATTGAATAAAATATCGAAGACAAAACTAAATAATTTGATTAAATTTAAAGCTAAAATGTGTAAAAGAGCGGTTTTATTACTTAAATATAATTTTTCTTTCGTGTGGGAAGAACATAACAGTACTGGTAGCACTAACCATGGCAAATTTAGTCCTACCCAACCCGACATTTCAATTTTAAAATAGGTCTTGACTGGTGTGATATCGTGCTCAATTGAATCTCCTAACAAGATATTCAAGGAAATTTATATTCTTTATTTGTCTTTCTGTTGAAATACTAAAAAGCCAGTATGCCTAACATAAAATTAAGCAGCTCTGATGGTGAAATATTTGAGGTTGACGTAGAGATAGCAAAACAGTCTAATACAATAAAGACCATGTTGGAGGATTTAGGCATGGACGATGAAGACGATGAAGTTGTTCCATTACCAAACGTCAACGCTGCCATCTTAAAACGAGTTATCCAATGGTGCACATTCCATAAAGACGATCCTCCACCGCCAGAAGACGATGAAAACAAAGAGAAAAGAACCGACGATATTTCAAGCTGGGATGCTGACTTTTTGAAAGTAGATCAAGGTATGTAAATCTAACAGTTGCTTTCCTTATTCGTAAATTCGATTGAAGTGTAGAACGTTTTTCCACTTCTTTGTTAATTATTTAAGTCTGCGTGTCCTATTTTTCAATATGCTTTATTCTAATAGATCCTTTATATATGCTTTTAAATTCAGGTACTCTATTTGAGTTAATATTGGCTGCGAATTATTTGGATATTAAGGGTCTTCTTGATGTGACCTGCAAAACAGTTGCCAACATGATAAAAGGTAAGAGTCCTGAGGAAATTAGGAAGACTTTCAACATCAAGAATGACTTTACACCGGCCGAAGAGGAACAAGTTAGACGTGAGAACGAATGGTGTGAAGAGAAGTAATTATTTCGATGAGAATTTAGAGCAGGAAAAATAGCTTAAATATAATATTTTCCTGAGAAATATATAAATATATGGGACTTAATCTGTCTTTGTGGAATGTAAATTTGAATGTAGATACCTTATGCTTTAATGACTTATGTCACGTCTTCGTTTCCCGTGTATTATTTTAAAAACAAAAGCTAGAATAAATTTTCATCCACGTCCTGCTCAAGATTCTACTAGAGGTTATTAATTTTTTATCATCCCCATTTCTTTCCTCTATACTCCTAAAAAAGGAGACACTATTAAATTATACTTTTGATCTATATGTCTGTATCGGATCAATTTATAGCAGATTCAAATGAAACATTGCTACAACAATTATATTATTAATAATTTTCTGTTTTTTTTATAGAGCTAGCTATTTGTAAATATCTTCTAGAGGATAAAATATTGGAATTGACAAACAATACGGTTTGTTAGTTCTTCGCTAACTTATTCAATTAATTTCAAATATTGTGTAATTATATTTTATCTTTATGATTCATGCTACGTTGTACAAAAATAAGCTATCTAATTTTCGGCCTCTATAGTATATTTGCTATAAAGGATATTTATATGTCTATTAGTCACATTATTTACTACCCAGAGAGAGAAAAAGAGAAAGTTTACCACTTCAGTCAAAATTACGTTATATTTTTTTTAACTGATTATTGATAATAGGAAGTGAAATCAGCATAAAAGGAATATTTAATCTCATTCTCTTAAAATAGAGAGAAATAGAAAAAAATTTCCGAATTAACTTTCTAATTAATCAATAACCCTAGAAACGCAATATATAGATCATTAAACAAACAGTATTACATAAAAACCTCCAAAGTATCTAAAAAAAAGGGAGCTCTTGCTTCTAACAATCCAACCTAAGCTTAATAGTATGCAGAAATTTTACTTGATAAATATGAGAATTCGTCAGATACTTATTAATCCCTATACGGTAATTATCGATCTTCTAAATCTGGTTCTGTAATCTGGAGTCGACTAGGAAAAAATTGGGAAATATTTTGTTGAAATACTAATACTTATAAAAGTAGTCAAGTATTGCTTTGACTATAATAACTAGCTATCTTTATTTGAATCTTAACAAACAACTTATTAAAGAGAAATTCTACAATATAATAGTTTAATTTTAGATTTCAGGTACGCCTATAAGTACAGACAACGTTTCCGCCTTAAATAGAATGTCGTTCGATGACTAACAGACTGAAAATATATTATCTATTTCCTTATCTTATTAACGAAAAATAAGTTCTCCCAGGGGTATTGAAAAAGCCATTAACTGGCTATTTTTCTTAAACTACTGAAAAAAAATATAATCCAAGGGGGCACCCGGATTTGAACCGGGGACCTCTCGATCTGCAGTCGAATGCTCTGCCACTGAGCTATACCCCCAACGGTTGAAATCTTACGGCTTTTAGTATTATATAATCGAAAATATTGTTGAAAAAACCCAAAAAGAAGCTTCCAACACTAAAACGAATGTAATTCATCTTAATAAACTTTGTAGAAACTTCCACAAGATATCTTTGGCAGATAGCCAAAATGATATCATTAGTCTTAAATTGATGTTATCTGTATCAATTGTCAAAAGGCAAAATTATACACGAAGCTACTATATAATCTCTCCAGTTTTATGGAAGCTTTATATCAAGAGCAAATAATTATGATAAAAGTAAGAAATAAATTAATCGAATAAATATATTTAGTATAATAAATCTTCTTAATTCTTTCCACCAACATTACGAAACATTACAAAATAGACAGTATCATATTCAACGATTACATGAAATATCAATGGGTAAAACATCACTTGAATAAGATTTGAAAATATTACCCAAAAGCAATTACAAATGATAAATTAAACATTTCTTTAATAATTGAATTTTCTTTGATGAACTTTCATTACTTATGATCTTCTTAGAAATGAAACTGTTGAATTTCGCTTTCGTTTAAATGTTATCTTTCTACACAATGTTAAAGCAATATTTTTTATAGTTGATCTAAAATAGGACCAGCTGAAAAAGTAGACAAGGAATTTACAACTTCTGCTAATCTTTAATAAAGTATCACAGATGGTTGAAATTAACGCCAATTTCATTTCAATTGATGAAAGTTTCAAATAGCGTTCCCTTATTAGATCGAATATAATATAAATAGTTTGGGGTATGTTTAAGATCACGTGGAATATAGCTGAGGAGAGGAAAAAGAAAAAGATTAATACATTAAAGGAAACGATAGTTTTAAGATAATTTACAAACCTAAGCTTATAGCTAAACGATTCAAGCTTAAAAATGCTTTGGCATCTATTACGTATTTAGAGACATTATTCCTCTCCGGACTTGCTCTTGCGTATTTTATAGCACTTACTAGAAGGATAACGTACGACAAAACAGATTCTGCACTTAGATTTAAAAGAGGCCAAATGACAATTTGAAAAGGTCTTCTAACGCTTTGAAAATCTCTACCTCCAACTTCTGTGAAGGTACAATAAACAATCGTCTTATCTTCCCCTCCAACATTAATATGAGTTGAATGTAAGGCAAATGTCCAAAAACAATGTCCGTTCACAAATATACATATCAGTTTTAAAGAATATCGAATTTATGAAAAAACAACTTAGCTTATAGATGGCGTTATGCTTTGTGCTTGTGTTTGACGGAGAGAGGGAAGAGGTGAGGAAGGGTAAAGTGAAAAAAAAAGGATAGGTCCCCTTAAGGAATTTCTTAATAAAACCGCTGTGACTAAGTAATTTAAATATCAAACAACAAAGTCGAGTAAGTTTTTCAATAAATTATTAATAGGTTATCAACTGAACCAATTTAAATTCAATTATATAGAAAAAAACCTAAAATGGAATAGTTTGCATGTTCAGAGTAAAATTCTAAATTCAATAGGTATTATATAAAGTTAAATAGTCTGTGGGCTGAAAGAAGAAGAGCATATAGAGTAGTAGTATACTTTTTAATTTAAGTTATCTATTACGTCATCTTACGTAAATTTACGTGCCATTAGCCTATCGTTACTTGGTTTACGTTCTAATATTCGATTGATAATAATACAGAAAATTCAATATTCTTTAGCAAACCGTTAATAAAAACAGGCCTACGTTCATAATTCTTTCCGATGTTAGTTTCATATTCCTTACAGGTTTACGTACAACCCATAGTATCTCTGATACTGAGGCGGCTGTATAGAACGACGGTAGATGACGAACTAATCCGTTTATAAATATATAAACTTTGCAAGAAGCATCCGATCTGCTGCTAAGTAGGTTTATTATTTGAAGGCCCCAATAATGATGAATCCAAGGAAAAACACATTGGAATATAAGAGCAATAATATCAAGAACACCTGGAGAGTATGCAGAAGAAGAGGAGGAGGATAGGGGAATGGAGACGCAAAAGAGATATAAATTAATTAATATATGATGCAAAAAGAGAAAATTGTTTCTTACCTAGAATGACAAGATATTTACATACTTTCGTAGTTCTTTCCTCGGCTTTCATCATTATAAATATAATTGCCAAATTACCAATTATACCAATAGTGAATAAAATAGGTGTTAAATTATTTGATATCCAAAGAGTTATCAACTGTTCAGTATCAACTTCAGGTTCGGGGAAGTTATCGATATAAATATCATAATAAGAATAATTGTCCATAGAATAGTAATCTTCATATTCCGACATTTTCTCTCTTTTCCTTATTTTATCTTAACTTATTTACTTTTTTATCCGTTTCTATCATTCATTCACTGTCTTTCCCTCTTTTTCTATCTATTAATGTTGCTCCTGTTTTCTTTAAGTTTATTCGAGAAAATAAAATTATATAGAAAAAATAAAATTACAATGTTTCATTGCTCTCCAACAGTCCATGGCTGAGAGAGACTACGAAGCGTTTCTTTTTCTTTATTGCAGTGCCGCCTATGGTAAAAAGGCAGTTCTGCGTCGGTGCTGAATTTATTTGTTCTTGCTCTATTATACTATAGAATTATTTTTGTATTTAAATAACGCATATGTCTGCAACAAGTGTTCTTTGCTGTATCGTATCAAAACTTTGCAAACTACATATAAGCTTATTTTCATGCTCTTATACATTTCTATAATTCCTTTTCAGTGGTAAATATTGAAGTAGAATAAGCGTATTTCGATATTTAGATAGTATCCTTTTTATAACTATTAATATCTTTCTTTCGCTCTCCCCCTCTCTCTCTCTCTCTCCAATTACTAGTTATATGCACTATAAAGAACAAGGATTTCTTTCTGATTTTTTAAGTAACTGACTATGGAGATAATATAAAGTATAGACTTAATTAGTCCATTGTTTAGCCTTTTAGTATTTATTTTAATATATTTTTATTATATCATTCATTTAGAAAGTTTGTTTATTTTTTTTAAATTCAACTAGTCTTTAAATTGTTTTCTCTCTCTCTTTCTCACACACACTACACACTCTCTACTCTTCTTTCCAAGTCTCGTTTGATAATCAAGTCACGTTGGTAACAATAGATTATTTATAATTTACAAAGGGTCATTTTCGATAGTCAAAATTCTATTTAAAAGAAAGAAGGCAAGAGTAAAGACTTTTTAGTAAACTTGCAGTACTATAGAATATTTAAAAGGAATAACGAATTAATATTTCGTGTTTTATCTGTTTATTTATTTTAGTATAGTATTCTAGAATAAGAACAACAAAAGCTATAAAAAAAACAATAATGTAAACAATAGGAATACAAAACAGTAACAAGTGTATTTTTATTTGGTTTGGTAAAATAATCAGCACCTCCTGATAGAAAGAAAACAAAATCAACAAATAACAAAATAATAGAATGAATATTCAAAATGTATAAATATGATAGATAACATTTAATTTTATCTTTAAGTATACGGGAAAATAAAAAAAATAAATAAAAATAGGAAGGCAGCTATTGGGAATAGAAGTATATCAAATATATTCAGCTTTGAGCTTTATCTTATTTAGACAGAGTGATCTAATGTTTTAAGTAGAAAATGTCGAATATTGTAATATTCACGTTTCTTTCATTTTCTTACAATATAAAAATTTATCGGTGCCATTTAATAGCTTTAAGAAAAATAATTGAATGGTTATACAAATTATGTCAATCTCAATTAGTTATCTTTTAGAAGCCTTCTTCTAGAACATGATTGTAAATCCATTCAACCTCTTTAAGATCATTCTTTTCTTGATCAGGATATTTTGCGATAGCAATAACAATGAAGAATTTCGTTTGAGCAATCGCAAACGAAGTTAGCTGATCAGTAGCTAATCCCGTAATAAAATTATTAAACCCTTTATTTAATTTATATTCGCATCCCTGAATTGTAATTGCTTCTTCATCGTACGAATTTTCGACTAAATCAATCAGTTGATAAATTTCGGAGATGCTTATTAAAAAGTTCTTTGATGTTGCCTGCTTAGTAAAATCTTTCTTAATTAGAGCTGCTTTCTTAATTTTTCCATGTTCGCTTAGTTTATCAATATAACTTTGCCAATTCTTCATGCAAGCGTACATTACCTTTATAAAAAAAAGAAATATGTTATGAACGACATTCATTATCATAAGTTAACAGAATAAAAGAGAGAATAATTATCCTACTATCGACTATTAACTACATCTGTTTCAACTAAAATTATTAATTGCCAAAGATTCTGTAGTTTCTCCTATTAAATGTTTTATTCCGTATAATAAATTTTTATTTACACTGAATATAAATCTTGAAGTTATATATACAGTATAATATGGTGGGAAAAGATTAAATTTCCCTTTTTTTCTCTTTCTCCCTATTTTTTCTTCTTGTTGCTCTTTTTCTTTGAGGTTCAAAAGGCGTAAAAGAGAAAAAAAAAGCAGGCTAAATCTACAAATAAAAACAGACTTGCTTCAAGTTGTTTTTAGGCGTACCAAAATAAACCAAAGGATCTTTTCCATTCCTACATTAACCCTTTACCCGGACCCCCCTAAGATTTTGATTCCATCTCAACATTTTTATCTCTATTGAACTAACCGTATTATTGTGAAAATATTACGTTGAGATTTAATATACAGAAGATGATTACAGATAAACGTATATACTTACATCGTACTCATAAACTGCCTCTGAAACTGTATGCACAGTTTCCAAGGATTCGTAGACGTTTTCATCTAAATTACTATCCTGTCTCATAGGTGGAACGGTTGGATCCCTAATGAAATCATATAAATATTCATAAATATACTAATTAAAGAGAAAAAGAGTGAGCGAAAGAGGGAGAGGGAGAAAATGGAAGCTTTAGAGAGAACTTACTCTTTATCCGGTACTTTGTTATTGGAATATAATCCATTTTCTATTGCGTCAGTTCCAGTCATCATTTCTTTTTTAATAATTATAGGCTTATCATCACCACTCTTTACCCTTCGGCGCCGAATGACAATAAAGATTACAATTAAGCCAATAATTAAGAGCAATAAAAGCGCTCCGCACAGAGATCCTATAACTGGACCGTATGGAAAATCTTTAACAGTTGTTTTCTCAGTTACAATTGGTCCATTAGATGCTGAAAATAATAATAAAAAATTCAATATATATTTAACATATTTATAAAGTCAGGCGTCTTTTATTGACCTTGCGAATTTAAGTCATTTGAACGCCTTAAAAGATATTTCAACTGCTATATATGTATACACTATCTATACTAACGTCTTTCAGTTGTTTTTAATGTTGTTGGCTCAGTTTGCTTAGTTGTTGGCTCAGTTTGCTTTGTTGTTGATGGTTTTTTTACATTTGAACATTTGTAGCCACTAGTACCAGTCTTACAGTCACAACGGAATCCTTTTCTTCTATCATTTTCGTGGATATAACATATTCCTCCATTTTCGCATAAAGTATCATATTGACAGACATTCACCTCTGTTTCACAAAATACACCATCGAATCCCCATGGACAAACACAAATAACGGAATCATATGTTTTCATACACTTTCCTCCATTTTTACACGAATATTGACTACAATTTTGCAGTTGTACATCTGTATCATAGAAATATGTTTTGTTTACATTATATAAATATATATAGATATATAATATGAGTGATTATAAATAAATTAATTAGGTCATACTTACTTTGAATTTTTTCTGATATATTTACTGTCTGCGACTTCAAAAGATTGCATTCTAGTTGAGAATTTGTTATAAAAGGTTGATAAATTGTTGGAGTATCTGTAATATGAAGAGAAAATACAAAATATTGCGACATATCTTACTATAGAAAATGATAGAAAAATATCTATAGGCTATAAATATTGATTATTAATACCCCTTGTAAGGGTACGTAATCATTGACCACAAAATTAGTCATATATCGACATTCCACACCCTTTAGGCCTATTTTGTTAAATTAATATTTAATAGATTGTATTATTTTGAAAAAATGCTGAAGTTGTTTTCCAAAAATTTTTTTCCCAAAGCTCTAATATTTATCTTCAAAATCTTTATAGTATGGAGAATATCAATAAAAATACAAATAGAGCAAGAAACATGTTGAATAGCATAAGAGAGTGTGTGTGTGAGAGAGAGAGAGAGAGAGATCGGAGAGGAGGTGAGACGGGGCCGGGTTAGAAGAAACTTAAAGTCTATTTAGAGATTTACTTATAAATATATATATATATCTTATCATTATATATATATGTACAATTAATATAAATATTATATTAAAGCGTTAATTTTGTCTATAGAATTTAATTTTTTTTATATTCTTGTTTCGAATGTTTGTTTAAAACATCGTTTAGATATCTAATATAATCTGTATTTATCAAATATATATATATATATATATATATATATATATATATATATATGGATATAGGTTTTCTTTTACGAGAAGAGGATATTAATGTGAATAGAGCTAGTACAATAAAAAAAAAGTACACTATTTGTTTGTTAGTCATCTTGTATCAAAATGTTTTTTTTTGTTAAGTTATTTACTAAAATTCCAGATCACAAATAGAAAGCTTGAAATAGTTTAGTGTAGGAAAGTCATATATTTTGAATGGAATTGTAACGTAAACAACGTTTTTATGTTAAAAATTTGTTCGATATTGATTTTTTTTTCTTCTCTTAAGTTACTAAACACTTTTTCATTGATTAATTATATAGAAATAGTAATATTTAGGGATTATTGATTATTAACTTAAAAATCGAGTTTGAGTGATTTTTTTTTTCTTCTATCAAGTTCTATCAACTGCTCTATTATTAATTAGTTATATTGAAATAGCAGTATTTAGGGGATTGTTGATTATTAACTAAAAACGTAAGATTAAGGTGATCTTATTTTCTGTTTTCTAATATCCTCACTCCTTTTTTTAATGAGTAACCTCTAAAAGTAGAGAAAATGAAAGAAAGAAAGAGAGAGAGAGAGAGAGATGAGAAGTGACCAATTGAAAACATATGACGCATCGTTTAAAATGTCAATTATTCACTTACTTTTAAAATACGTAAAACTGTTATTCGATTCTGAAAAATCCATCCATTGGTCAATATCGCCATAATACTCATCTTTAGTAGCTAATGTTCTCATATTGCCCACTTCTAACCACCAACCAATTCCAACAACGAACACATATACATTATCATTTTCTAACTGCTCAATAATTGTTTTTGGATCTTGTTCCTTATTATAATCGCCATCAGACATGAGTACTATTAGCTGGGTTACGTTAAACCTGTTCTGTCGGCCTTCTTTCAAAGCGTCTGAAGCCAGACTTAATGCCCCAGAAATATTGAAACCTTTGGCAAAATGATCTTCCGATTTGAAGAGTATTTTGTTAAAATCGTCTTGCAATTCGCATTTGGTAGGCCTTTGAATATTATTCGCCGGCGATATATAGTCAAAATCGTTTGTAGCATCTTTTCCAAAAGTTACAGCTGCTATTCTAGATAAATTACCAACCGGCATAAAATTTTTTATTAACGTTTCCGTTAATCTTCTATTATTTCTATAAAAAAGTGTATTTTCAACACTCGTTGATCTATCCATGATGAAAATCACATCATTTGGTCCTTTGTTAGTAAATGATACAAAGTCTGATAATCCTTCGGCGTCACCATAGATTAAGGGTATGTTCAAAGCCATAACAATACATATAAAGTTTATAATAATATTTTTGATAGACATATTTATTTGATGAACTTTTTTCAAACTTTGCGAACGATTAGGCAGTTGAACTGAATATGAACTCGCTATAGGGAATTCTAGAATATGACAGAAAAATTTTACGGTAGTGATTCATTCAATTCAACGCCACCTGCTGTAATCCTTTCACTATTGAAGAGAGGTAGAAAGAAATAACTATATAAGGTAAATTTAAAAAAGTGACGATTTCTGTTGGAATAGTCCTTTGTATTGTGACTGAATGATTCACCGTGGCAAGGAATAGAATATTCTTTTTTAGCGCAAATTCAGCAAAAACAAGGAAAGGACTTCCGTTGGGATAGCCCTTTGAACCAGGAACAAACAATTCACCAAGTTATATTTTTTTGCCTAAAACAAAAAGCAAATATTTTAGAGCTCATCTTTCTTTCTAGTTTGTTTGCTTGTGGCTTAACAAAATGTTCCTATATAATATGATCAGAAGAAAATGTTCAGTTTTACCGTTTCTTCTTCCTTATTGCTGTTTTCTTTTTAAAAACAAAAAGATTTAGCCGACTTTCTGAAGTTTTTGCCATTTTTGTTATAAAATTCAATAAATTTAAAATATTAAAGTATATAAATAGACTTCTCAAATTATATATTCAATAAACAATTAATATGACATTAAATGTCATGTAAATATTAAACGGTAGGGTAGGATAAATACTTTTATATTTATATTTTTTAAAACAGCGCCATCTATTGTATATACTATTCAATATAAAAAGTTTTATTTAAGCACTCATTCTTAACTAGTTCCATCAAATTTTCGAGATCAACAAAAAAAAAGAACATATACAGATTTTGACATATAAAAAACTTTATCTATTTACATTGTTAAAAAGTTGCATTTTTCATAATTCATTATATACAAGAAATTTAACAATCTACAGTCCTAAAATGCTGCAAAAAGTCGTAAAATAATCTCAAAATAATGATAATAGCATTATTAATAATAATGATAACAAGAAAAGGACGTTTCCGATAATGAAAGAAGTGTTTTTGATATTAAATAGTTAGTTAATTAGACAAATGTCGATGGTCCTGTTGAGTATCTGTCTAATGTTCCGCCATTAATTGTATAGCTACCAGAAGTTGTTGAGACATCGTCATCGGGCCACGATCCTCTAATTTTTGGTTCGTAGCCGGTAGGTGGCGTTCTTCTTCTCTCTCTTCGCCACCTATCTCTTTCAGTTTCTTCTACTTCGCTTGAACCCCTGCCGCTGTCTGGATTCGATAGGTTGTCGTTGTTATTGTTCTGATGCAGGACAGTTGGATTCAGGTCGAAGGTTGTCCTTTTAGGAGAATTGGAGAAAGACGGCGGATACTTGTATTCAACGATATCTTCCGTTGGCGACTGTATGCGATAGATTTGAAGAGAATCGATATTAGATTTGAATAGAACGCTAACGACGATCGTTCTACCTATTGTTAGCCGTTAAGTTATAATTAGATCGCCCCCCTTCCCACTTCTCTTCTATCTTACCCAGATCTCCTATTTTCTTTTGTTGTCTATAAAACCAAAAACTCCACCCAGTCTACTCTCTTAACAAAACATATATCTAAAGTACATCGATCACTTTGTTATAATATTACCATTATTTGTTTTTGTTCGATTCTATCGACTATATTATGTTTCTATTACCCCTCTCTTTCTTGTCCAATTCTTTAAGAGATACGTAAAAATATTTCAGATTCTATACCATTTTAAATAGCAATTACCCAAAGTTATTCGATTCTTTTAGCACCTCATTTTCAGAAGCGCTTGTTACCTTTCTTTGATAACAATAAAAGGCACAAAGAAACGCCAGTTGCCGCTACCTTTTTTCTTTTTTTTTTAAAAAAAAAACTAACAAATAGGATAAAAAAATGGATGATAGAGCAGCTTGTAATAACGAGAATAACATTGTCAGAACATACAACCATGTGTTTATCTCCGTTTGATTATTGTTGTCACAAAAAAATCTCATCAGGATAAATATATATATGATATCTATAGGGCTATATACTTTACCGATATACTGTCCTATAATTTTGTAAATAGTAAAATCCCCTTTCTATGTTATTACTGTTAATTCCTCTAACTAGTTTTTTTTATCAAATGCCCTCCTCCTCCTCCTCCTCCTCCTCCTCCTCCTCCTCCTCCTCCTCCTTCTCTCTACTCTTTTATGGCTAACACTTACTATAAAGATCCTATAGAATAAAACTTGAAATAGTTACTTACGTGAGTATTGCAATCTGTAGGCCTAATTGTACATTTGTAATCTCCCTCTCTTTTCATGCCCATCTTCTTCCGTCTTATTAGGATAATTACAAAGATAAGAGCCACGACAAGAACCGACGCGATGCAAACAATTACAATAACAGCCGGAAGTAGATTCCTTCTTTCTGCTTGTAAAATCTGTTCAGATGGAAGACCTTCAAATAATCGTACGGTTATGTTCACATCAGTGAACAAAGGGGTTGGAATTCCACTGTCGGACACCCGAATTTTGATTCCTATCTCTTCACCGACTAATCCTTTTAAGTCTTTGTTAACAATTAAGACACCTGAAAAAAAAATTCTGATGTAACTGCATTAAAATCGCCTATTCAACTTCCATTTAGGGATACTAAAAGTAGCCTTCAACAAAAATTCTATGAGCAATAGTCTTTAAGTTTTAAATACAGCCAGCGTCAAGTATGAACAAAAGACAGTCTAGGCCTAGCAGAAACAGCTTTTAACAATAGTTCGAATTGTGCAAAATTTATTTCCAGTCTATTGTTCCAAATCAACTTTTGTTGAGATAAAAAGAAGAAGATTGCAAAGAAGGAGCAAAGAAGGTCAGAGTGAGAAAGTGACAGAGAGAGAGAGAGAATTGGAAATAGATAGACAGACAGCAGACAGTGAGACTAAGAGACAGAAGGGAAAGAGGGTTAGGTAGAGAGAAAGAAAGAAAAAGAGTAAAGAACGTTTTTAAGAAATTCTTCATTAAGTGTGTACAATTTACTGGCTTCGAGCCAACTTTTGTTTGTTTGTTGTTTCTCTATTTTGAAATAATTAAATAAATACTATCCGTTATCAGTTTTTATCTATTCCACATTTTGTTCTATCTTGCCTTAATGGACGTTTCTATTGCGTTCAATTATTTGCCTAATTAAATTATTGAAATAACTGACTTAATTACATATTTTTACAGTAAAATGCGACTGATTAATAAAATTTTGATAATTTACAAAAGGAATGAATAGATTACCTGTTTCTGGCTCTATGAAAAAGGCGTCGGGAACGTTCTGATTAAGAATTGCATATTGTAATTGAGCATTATTTCCATCGTCTTTGTCCGTTGCTTTAATTCTCGTAACAGCCCTCCCAATCTTTGAGTAATTTGACAAATCGACCGAATTATTTTGATCATTCGGATAATCGATAATCGGGTGATTATCGTTGGCGTCCCGCACGTCAATTCGTACTTGAGCAATGCCACGCATTTCCGGTTTATCGGCGTTAAATGCTCGTACTTTTATCACGTGACTGGTCAGTAGCTCTCTGTCGAACGATCGTTCAGAGTATATTCGACCCGTTCTATCGATCCGGAAGCTGGCAGTGGTGTCGGCGTCTATTACATAATCGACTGTATCAAAAGGTGGGGCGTCTGCATCTACTGCCTTTACTTTGCCAACTAATGTAGGAGTTTTTGCATTCTCATAAATTGAAAATGTATACTCTTCTTCAGTGAAAACTGGAGGATTATCATTTACGTCTTTTAAGTGCAAATTGACCAAAGCGTAATTAGATAAGGACGGTTTTCCCTTGTCGCTGGCCATGACCCGGAAGCTGAAAGTTTCTTCCCTTTCTCTGTCAAATTTCGCAGCCGCGAAAATGTCTCCTGTTTTATTGTCTATTGTCACATACCTCTTTGCGCTGATATCCGGTATTGAGTAGGAAATTTCAGCATTGACGCCGACATCTCTATCCGACGCTTTAACAGTCAATATAAAAATTCCAATACTATTATCCTCCTCAATACGTTTTGAATAGTATTTTTGATAAAAGTTTGGATGATTATCATTCACATCTCGAAGTTTCACTGTAATTGTTTTAGACAACGACTGTGGTGGTCTGCCTGAATCTTGACAAATAATTCTAACGCTAACTTCATCTTTATCTTCCCTGTCAAAACCGGAAACAGCATTTGTCGATAACTCGTATTCGCTTTTCTTTTCAGTACTATGCAAATGAACTAGTTTAAATAAGTTATTTGAATTAAGAACGCAATTAATTTTCGCATTTTCCCCGGAATCTTTATCCGTAACGGTTATGTAAGCGACGAATGTATCTGTCGTCGAATTTTCCGACACTTCCAACACATCTTTCTTACTTAACGAGTTGACTAATATTTCTGGAGAATGATCATTTTCATCGGTGACCTCTATTTGAACTTTAGCATACGCCGCAATGGAACTATCTCCATAGTCTTTCGCTTCAATGCTGAATTTATAGTTGCTTATAGATTCATAATCCAATTTCTTTTTTGTCCATATAACTCCGGTTGACTCGTCTAATCGAAAAGTTTGTAATATATTTTCATCGGTTTGCTTTGAGAATCTGTAACCGATTCGCCCATTTTCTCCTTGATCTTTATCCGTGGCTACTACTCGAAGAACTGAACTATCTGGATCGAAATCTTCCGAGATGGTTTTGATGTAGGTTTGTTTCGTAAATTGTGGCTTATGATCATTCGAGTCTAGAATAATTACTAAAATTCTTAATAGAGCTGTTTTCCCTCCTCCGTCAGTAGCTTTAATAGTCATTCTATATTCATCTTTCTCTTCTCTATCTAATAAAGTGATCAGCACTAATTCTAAATCGTTGCCGCTTATCTCTAATCTGAATTCGTTGGATTTATCAGTCAATTCGTACCTTAATCTTCCATAATCTCCAGCGTCCTTATCAACAGCCGATGGCAATAGATGCCTTGTATTGATGGGACTATTTTCGACTAGACGCCATTCGTGTGAATCTTGTGGGAATTCCGGATTGTTATCGTTCCTATCCTTTATCTTAATTGAAACTACTAAAATTTTGAAATACTGAGACGGTCCAACTAAAATTTCCATCGTTCTCTTGCAAATTAAATGACCCTCGCATCCAGGAATTGCATCTCTATCTAATATCGATATTGTTTTTAGGTCGCCGTTATCGGTGATCTCAAGATATTTTTCCAGTAATGAATCGGCAATTACAAAAGTCAATTTTGATAAATTTTCTAATCCAGATTCCTTTGCCGGATTACCTAATGTTTTCCCTATTCCCAAGTCATCATCTACCTCATAGATAATTTCTCCAATCGATAAGGAAGATAAAGTAAAAAAGCAAAACGCTATAAGAGTCTTCATACTTCAAATAACCCTAGGGTGAGATAAAAAAAAGCACTGTATAAAGCATAGTCTCTAAGCGCTGACACCTTTTTTATCGAGCCTATCTGTTGTTGTCCTAATGATTATAACAACAGTAAGATAAGGCGTGCGTTCCTTTACAAGTTAGTCATTTCATATTCTTAAAGGATTTTTTTCACACAACGCTATAAATCTCGAGTTGTATATCGAGCACTCGAAATTTTCAAGTTCGAACTAAACATTGAAGTGTCGTACGTACATACTCGAATGTCTTTGAAGCGCTTTTTGGAAGGGTGGAATATTGAGTAAACGTAGTTGATTACGTAACCGAAACGAGCTTGTTTGTCTGAGAGAACATCCGACTGGGAAATTTTGTAACGCCCGGCGGGGTGACATCTTTCATTCTTAGCTGTCAATCGGAAACGGTTGGACGGAACGCTAAACTACAGTGAGGAGCAGTTCTAATAAGAACTTTACCGAGTGTCGAAAGACGACCACCCGTGTTTTATTGTTCTGAAAACAATATAAGAGCGTTTAATGGATTGAAAGCGTTCAATTGTTCGTCGGGAGGAGTCTCGAGTGTTTTCTTTACAGTTCCAACTACTCTTATGTACTTTTAACGAATTGTGCTAATTAACCCCGGAGCGTTATTTTTTCTATTATTTTTTCCAATTACCGTTTTCGGATGAATTTTTTTCTTTTTATAAAAACAAGGTTAAATATTTTTGAACATTTGTTTGAAAATTGTAAATAAACCCTATTTATTTTGACATTTATCTTTTACTCTCTTTGAACTATACAGCCCTATTTCTTTTATTGTTATAAAAAAAAAACTAGTTTCTAACAAGAATATCCGAAGGGCAATTGCCGATTCATGTAAAGTAATCTTAGTGAGAACTTTACCGGCATTAAAGCTTAACGTTCCAAGTCTATAAAGATAAGGCTAAATCGGTAGATCAACTTACGTATCTAAAAACCTATCGGCTGTTTATAGTATGTAATTAGCGTAGAGAAACATAAAAAAATGTGTTAAAAGAAAGAAAGCAGACACTTTCAAAACATCAATCTTAATATTTGTTTATGTTTACTTTTTGTTCAATAAAAAGCTATCCTAAAATCGTGCTCTGGTAACGCTTGTAATCTTATATAGGCTCTATGTTTCATATTACTGTTTTTAATTTGGAAATTAATTAAACATAAGAGATTTTCGTAGTCGTTGTGGGAGTTCATACTTTTTTAATATTAATAATTCTATGTTTCTCGTGAAAAGGAAACGCTCGTGCGAGTTCTAGCAAGCTTTAGAAATATTAGATCATTTATATTGGGTCAAATTACAATTAAAGTATAATTAAAGGTTCTTTTCGTACTTGGTATAATCCCTGAGAAAGCGATGTTCCTTTATACTTTTATATTTGTTATCTGAGCTCAAAGAATGAAAGATGTCCAAACAATACATAAATATGAAACATTTCCCGCCATAGATTTTTTTCTTTGTAAATTGCGCCATCTATAAATAGCTCTTTTTAAAACTAATAATAACTTATTATAAAGGGGTATTGATTAGTTAACTATCCGTGAAAATTTTTTCAAGTAAAATGCAAATAACAGAAGATTGGAGAAAGATCGTCTCAATGTCACGTATGACGCTTGAATCAAGTACCCGTCGGATAAATTAATTATTCATCAGGCAAACATACCCTATGTCAAGCTGTCAGTTGATCTTCTTTGATAAAAAATAAAAGATATAAAAAAATATAGCGTTAAGAATGGGATCAATTTAAAAAACAAAAAATTAAGAGAGTAGAATAAAGCCCTCCACCGCAATATACAGATAAAAGGTCGTTTAAATTGTTTATTGACCCGATATACAAATCGGAGTGTCAATCCTTTTACCCTTTCCATATACGTACACTCTTTAAGAAGCGATTGAATAAAAAAGTTTTTAAATTGAACTAAATAGAGGCGTCTGAAAGGCTTAAAAAGTCCTTTAGGAAATATTTATGAAATTGATGGAGCGTAAGATAAGAATTATTCAAAAAAGATCAACAATGAGGGTAGAGTCATAATAAAAAATCTTCATTAATAATCAACGTCAATTACTGATAAATTTACAGCTAGAAAATTCAATAAAGCCATACGGCTTTATAGAACACTTGAAAAAGCATTCTTCAACAATAATTTATGAAATATTCACCTCCTTTATCCTCTTCAATGGGGCTCTGCAAAATTCTTTATTCCAGTCAAAACTTCAAAGGGGGAGACGGTTAAATATCTGCTCGCCACATGTATGTACACCAGACTGAATAAAGCGAGCTCGCGAAACGTCACGTGACTCTCGATGTCGCTGATTGGATAGTGCTTTATGCAAATAAGGTTAGGAGGGCGGTGTTAATTGGCGGCACTGTCTGATTAAAGGAATATTTTTCACTGTTTTTCGTCTAGTTTACACTCGTCTAATTAACGCTTTGATTAAGCCTAACCCATATATTTGGGCCTAGGGCAGTTTATTTGTTTTCCCTGTGTTTGTTTATTGTTCCACGGACGCGTGTGGAACATGACTATTAAGTAGAACCTACAGATTTTCTTCACCGGAAATAGCTGTCGTTCGAATTTCCGAATTTCTGTAAATTGAGCAGGTTGGAAAATTTCTTATGTAACATGCTCGTATATTTTTAAGCGTTCCGCGTTACATAATCGAAGAGTTGAGCAAGGCGATAATTATCCTGCTGCCCTAAGTCTGTCGACTAGTTTATTAGTTTATTATAGCTAGAATGTCTAGTTAAAGTAAATAAAACTAAACTTTAGGATATAAATCCGTAAACTATGCAATGATGATAACAAGATTAGGAATATTCAACAAATCTGGTAAAATTTTATTTACCGAGGCGTCAATTTAACGAGAAAAAGCGTTATGCCACGTTCGTCTATTTAGAAATTTCACACGTTTACCCAATTAAATATATATAAATAACGTACACCATTTCATACCTTAACTCGAAAAAATACCAGTTTTCTTTCTTCTTAGATAAATGACATATTAATATAAAAAATCCAATTTCTTTTAATACATTCGATAATAAGAGTTATTATTTTCATAAGTTTAGCTCTGTCAATAGATATAATATGGTTCTTTGGCTCTTTATTTCAATGTATATTAAAATTTATATATATATATATATATATACTATATATACTTCTATATATAAATATATATTACCGTACACTTATATAAATATATACATATATAATTATATATTTATAAAATCTATAATTTCCTTCTTCTATATATAAAAGAGTGTGTATAAATAAGTTATTTTTAGTGTTGTTCTAATCTTATTTGAAGAATTAAAACCTACCTAGGAATCCAGGTAGATTAATTTAGGCTGTGAATACAAACTTAAACTTTAGAAATGTAAATTGCAATTGAAAAGTTAAGGGAAAGGAAAAGAGAAAAATGTGCCTCCGTTTGGCGGCTGACGTTTAAAAGTTCAGAGAAATGGATACCATACTTATATATATACGTGTGTATATGTATATTTATACTCTCTGTAGTCCTTGAAAATTGCGTATAAAAGGGCAGCTTTTTCTCGTTAGGATATCAATTGGATTTATGAACTCGAAACCCTATTGAAACAGTTAAAACGATAGAAATTTGAACCTATCCACACTCTTTTCTTCTCTTAATAACACCAAAATGTAGTTTATAAACATTATTTCTACATCTATTTGATTCTATATATTCTTACGAATGGGCAGCCCGCCCATGCGTCAAAAATCGCCCCCCTAGGGGCGAGAAAAGCGTATTGACTGATAAAGTTATCATTATAGGAGCCGCCGCTTTTTTAGGATCGGTTGTTAACAAAGGAACGTTCTTCACGCGTAATAAATTCCGTAAAACTTTGTTTGAGATCCGATCTAAAATGGAAGATTTCATGCTGTGAGCGACGGTTGCGTTTGATTTGGTTAGTTCGTTATAATAACAACGAGGATTACGTGTAGGAAAACAAAGAGTTTGGAGTCTTTTTTTCGCAGGGAATATACGTGTTAATTGCTCTTTATATCCTTTATCTATTGACTTCTTCTTAAAACGATACACTTAAATTTATTGCTTCTCTTACATAACAAACCGTATATATGTAATATCCCATTTAACATTGTGGGAACACGCTAAATTACCTCTCTTTTTCTCTTTTATCTATATATTCCTTTTCTCATCTTATTCCTATTTTATTTTTTTTCTAAACATGCTACAAAAAAATGTAGAGAACAAAAACTATAAGATGTTCTACACGCTTTTCTATAGGCCTAATCTACTAGAGAACCCAATCACATAAACTATTATTTGTTTGTTTATTTAGAGAAGGTATACGTTTTCTGAAATCTATATATGTGAGACTTCTTCTTCCGGCCAGTTCAATTAGTGTTTAAAAATAGTATGCCACCTTATTCTCATAGGAGTGATTATATGTGTAACAGTTCAGCCCACATCGACAATAGGAGGTGATTGTTTCTTTGAAATTTTCAAGTTTAAGCCTATTTCGGTGCATATACCGAAGTTAATTGGAAAGCTACTCCAATTCATTCTAGATAATTAGACGCTGCGAGTCAACTTACACATCCAGTACCATTTGAATGTTCACCAAGATTGGGTTGTAAAAATACCATCAGTAATATGCCAAGTGAATAATTAGACTTGGGAAGAGAAAGAGAAAAAAGAGAGAGGCGAGGCGGTGGGGGGGGAGAGCAAGAGAAGTTAAAAAGCGGCGCGCTTTCTACCGCTTTTTAGTATCCCTTATCTATACATCATTATAGGATTAATGGAAAAATTTGTAATTGGACTGTTTTGATTGTAGGTATGGTAAGCGTTTCCTAGAATAAATGTATCATTAATAGCTTTTATTCTTGAACTTTAAAAGTGATGTATATTTATACATGAAAAAACTCAAAATATACAGGGACTGTTTATATAGGTGTATAAACAAAGAATGCAAATGTTTATGGGTATATATGTATATAAAATTTCTCTTCAACTTCAATTGATACATTTAATTCTTTTTATTACAGTTTGTAAATACTAGTTAAAAATAACCTATACAGCAGGAATACCAGTGTTTTTCTTTATTAACCTATCAAAAAAAGATACTATTAAAGTTGTACTCATTTTATTACCATTGCTAATAAATGTTAAGTACTTACTTTCTTAAGAATAATTTCATACCTTTTTTAGAATGGTGTATTTTTCCTTTTTCTATTACTTTTATAATTATTATTCAAAAGGTTTTATTTAGGCCTAGGTGGTGTTGAAAAATAAATATAAATGAGTTAAAAAAAAAGAGTAGAAGAGGAAGAAAAGAAGAGAAAATAAAAGAAAAAAAGTTATATATATATATGCATATATACAGTATATATAAATATATATAATAGTAAACTGTATATTTAAAAATATATATTCTCTTTTATTTAGATAGGAAAAGACGTTTTTGAACTTGGACAAATAGACTTTGAAGAAGAAGAGGCGGAAAAAAGAAAGACGAACTCTTCGAGTCCATAAAAAACCTAACTAGGATTGATTTTCTTATCATTAAACATTGAGAAGTAAAATATGAACACGCATTGTAAATATCGGCGCTCATTATCCTCACATCGAACAGTATATGTAATTGTTAATGCAAATATATCGTTATATAGAAAGTTCAATATATAAACAGCTGCCACCTCCACCGTCCGCCCTCTCCCGCCCACCTCCACCTTCTTAAAAGAAGAAAAACAAAAAAGGAGACGAAGAAAAAAAGAGAGCTTATGTAAAAGCAAGAAAAATAGTTGAGGTTGTTTAAAACATGACCTTTCTACTACCCGAGTGGATTAAGTACCTCGTAATTATCAAAACTACCTTAGTAAAGTAAAAAAAGACCTGAAAAAAACGTGTTGGGGCTAGTTATTTTCTTATTCTCTATTCTCTTTATCTCTCTATCATAGACTTAATTTTCTCTTCTTTTATAGAGATATTATTCATTTTTAACGGATAGTGAACAAGTCGTTTAGTACAAAGGACATAAGAAAACCGAGTCGTCGTAAACTATTTAATCGAAAAAATATTTAGACTATTACAACAATAAATCCTCGGTAAAATCTCCTAATATATTACACGGTTGTATAGGCTACTCTGTTGAATAGCGGCTTTATTCTTTATAATAGACTTACAGCCGCTCTTTTATTCGTCCCTCTCTTACCATCTGTCCATCATACGACATGCTCTTAATGAGTCTAATTCCTTTCTTCTATTTGTGTTTTTTAAATAGAAAAACTATGATAAAGCATGAGAAGGTGGGATGGGACTTGTTCAAAAGAAAATGAATAATATTTGAAAATTGAGAAAAATTCCGATGCCAAGCCTTTAGACTAAAAAGCGTTTTGACGCCTGTCAACTTGAAGAACTACTCGAAAGGCGTTAATGACGTCATGACGTCATGACCCCGTTGAATCTGTCAACGTCGTGCGAACGCTTTAATTACAGCTAATTCAGTACTCTATAGGTGGCGTATTTGACAGGTATACTCTAGGTGGCGTTACCATATGGAAGCTAAAAGAATAATTTTTTTCTTCAAGCAAGCAACTTGCAAAAATTTAACAAATTCTCAACTTTTTTACCAGTTCTAGAGATGTCTCCACCTAGTGGACATATACCTACCACCGACAGTATATATGCACATTTATAAAGCCTTTGATATATTGTATAGATTATAGTAGACTATCGTCAAAGAAAATATAACAAGTTGGTATTTGTAGTCTAAAGAAGAAAAGGAAGAGGTTCTTAAAATATTAAATAATAGTACTAATACGTCAAAACATAGGTCCAAGTTGCGTAAACACTTACTTTGTGTCATTTTCGCAATTTGTCGCTGCTTTTCCTTTACTTGAGTTATGTTTACCTCATGTTGAATTCTAGATCATTTTAATGGTCTAGCACCTTGGGAACTTTTTCCAAATAGCCCCTGTAGTTTCCCAAAAGGGGTTTTATACACTTTCATTCAACACATTCAATTCTTTAATTAGGCAAAGACGATACAAAATTATAACATACTATCAAAGTTAATTCGATTAAATTGATTAAAAAAGTTTAAACATTCGGATCTAAGAATTGAGATATTTTCAAGATTTTAAGCCTTAGTTTAAGTATACTGAAGCTTTGATTTAATCTCTCTTATCAGTAATATTGCACTTGAATAAAATTGTTGAAGCTACTATTTTTCCCTTCAACAGACTATATAACTTATTATTTATTTTTAATGAGATTAACTTATAGACCCTATTCTTCAATTGAGTGTAAAAACGAATCGATTATAATTGTTATATATTCAGGGGTATAATATTAGAAAAGGCCTATATTGAGGAGGAGGGGGGAGGGGGACAAAATCAATCCCTACCTTTTATAAGACCTTTTATAGCCCAAAAAAAACTGTTTATCATTGTTGTTTAAATATTTTACTTTAAACTAAAATTGATATCCTTTTTTGCGGTCAATTATCACGAATATTTTATTAGAATACCATACTCTATATGGATCCGTGTTTTTTTTTATATTTATATACAAAAACCTATGCATATATTCTACGCGGTAAAGACGATTTAATGACATTTGGTCTCAAAAGCTTTGAGGTGTTTCGGACGTTCGGCGTTAAAAAGCGAAGAGGACGTCATAAACGCTACTTGACCCATGGAATTTTTACCGTATGACGCCCTACATTTTTAAAAGAGAATTACGCCATTTGTCATTTTTTTTCTTCTTCTTTTTAACTTCCGGACGATTTTTAGTTTTATTATTAAAATAATTTTTGCAAAGATTAACGACAATATAGAAATTGATGACAAAAAAATCACAATAAAATTATAATTATTGAAGGGAATGGGCCGTACGTATGAATAATCGAATATGTAAGGAGGATTAATAAATATTCAAAATGTTCATTGAGTTTTTTTCCAACCCTATTCCTTCATTCTCTCTCTCTCTCTCTCTCTCACGTCTCTTCTAAAAGTTCCCTTAGCTTATCTTCCTTCCCTTCCCTATTCTTTGTCATTCATTTTGTTTGTTGTTCGTTGAACTAAATAGACCCTACATTTTTTTTATCCCATAAAAAAACTAACAGTCCTTGTAGTCTTGAGAGTGTACTTAGGTGGCGCTGTTTTCTGAGGCGCGAGATTTTTAATGTTTTTTAAAGAAAGGGTTTATTACTTCATTTTATTATTATAGATTGGAATATTCTAACTTTGCGAGCGTAAAAACTACGTTTTAATGCAGTTATTATATAAATATATTCTTGTTTGAAGTTTCTTCATAGATTTGCCTGTATTCTTTTGAAAGTCGATAATTTTTCGACAGATATATCTTGGCCAGGTAGAGCTGAGCACGTGACCTACTTGTTAACTAGAAGCAGTTTCCGCTTCCGTCTTGTTTCGAGATCGTCAATATCGGCTTTCGAATCTACAATTTCTAGTACTACTAATTCAACTTATAGTACTACTAATTTACACTTATAGTAACAAATCAAAATATACGATAAAAGAGTAAAGTAGGTAACAGAGACGATGCAATAACAAAAAAACCCCATTAATAAAATGTGTTAAGTGACCATATAAGCCTGTATGAAGTGGAGGGAAAAATTCTTGAATCGACCACCTAGGGAATAGGAATATATTTCGTACACAGTAGTAGTGTATGTTTTCCTAATTGACCGCCCGAATTGGAATATCAAACAGTACGCGTCCGAATGTCCGTTTCTCATCACTTTCGTTTGTTTGCAAAGTGTGCGCGCGTTAATACGGCGAAGAGCGTTTCAATAAAAAAAAATGCACGTCGTTTACTTTTCTTTAAGTGATATATTTTTAACGCACGAACACGGAGCCCGCATTTCTTCCCTTATTCTTCCTTATTTTTTACTTCTTTCACCTATTTCCTCTCCTTACCCTTTATCACCCAACCTCGGCAACCCATACCATTCTATTCCTTCCTTTTATTTCTTACTTTTAGGTCAGTGGGAGAGCAATTTTCCACAACCCCTTCCTCTCTCAAATAAGCACCTTTTAGGAGGAATTTGTAGCTGCAAGCTATAGATTCCTTAATCCTTTTTCTTTTCTTTCAATAACTACGATAAGCGGTTACCTCTACCCAAACACGCCCCTATAGCTTGAGAGACGACGCTGCTCTCACACCAGATTATTTGCTGTTAAAATATCCCCAGATAAATCTCTTGTTTAAACGGAATTCGAACGATTTCGAAAGGTTTTCTCATCAACAAATACCATAAAAAGAAAAGATAGGTAGGAAAAACAAATCAACTTTAAGCCTAGAATAATTTCTAATCATAAACTATAAACAGACCTCGACCGCTCGGCTATAGGTCATGAGTAATCGCGCGCCTAGATAAGTATGAGAGAAACAGAAGGGCAACTAAGGGAAAATCTCACAAATCAAACTTCTCTTTTCTCTCTCTCTCTCTCATATCCTACTATCGGCCTTGATAGTCTGTCCCCGGTTCTTTCACCTACTCTATCATTCTCTATTTAATCTTTTCCAGTCCCCACACCAGCGTTCCTCAGGGACATCTCGTCAAAAGCAAAATAAAAGAAAGGAAAAAAAATTCCTTAGGAGAGGCGCTCAGCCGAAAAATTATTTCAGGAACGTTTTATCTTTCAGATCAACAACTTTGATTATATGAATTAGCAAGTTCCTATGACACGTGGGTCGGTAGTTGTTGAAGGTAATACCTATTATAGGCCTATTTACCAGAAGAAGGAAAGGAATTTAACAATTTTAGTTAGCTTCGCTCCTCCGTCTAATAGGCCATCCAGCCCCCTTCTCGTCTTTCTTCATTATAAAGAGTAAAAAAATTTCGAAAGTATCAATTTAGTTTCTTTATTTCGTTTTCAATTTTATTTTTTTTTCTTTTATATATAATTCTTATTCTTATTTTGTCTCTATTTTTATCATGACAATATATACTCTTTTTCAAGTTCAATCTATCAGTCGTTCAAAGCAATATCAACCGCGTCGGGGCGTCACCCCTTTGTTCAACTCAGAGGTAAAGTTATTCAAATAAAAAAAAACCGTTTCTTTTTTTTGTTCAAACTTATCTTTCGCATCGCTAAGATTAGAAGTCTGCAGGTTCGGTTAACCTCGTAGGTCAATGTTGCGGGAGAGCTATTACAAAAAAAGGCCTAGGTTTTTATATCAGCTGATGATAACCTTCTTCCTTTGAATCTTGATAGTCCGGACTAAAATTATTATCAAACTTCCAAGAAGTATTGCGGATAATGTTACAGTTAATATAAATGGCAAATAATTCTCCTTCTCCTCGGCATCTTCTATCCGGATAATCTTAAAGGTTACCGAGGTATTTAAGGCCGGTGTTCCTTTATCGCTAGCAAATAATTCCAGATTGAAAACGTCACCAATATTTGAAGTTGAACAATCGAACACGACGTCTAAACCGTCCAATCGAAAGCAAATTTCCGGTTTCAAGAAGACGTCTATTTCACCGTTCAACCCTTCGTCGTCGTCTCTGATTACTATGCTTAACAACTTCCTGTTGCGATTGAAAGAGGATTCGGGTAGGTGGAGGGTAGAATCGTTAGATGGGAAAACGATTTCGGGAACGTTATCATTCAGATCGACAATGTTGATTACGAGTTGGCAGGTGGAATTAACCCTTGGGTCAAGGTCATACAAGATTAGTGGTCGTAAGTTGACAGTCTGTAAACGTTCTCGATCGATGGGCTCTCTGAGGAAGACACTTTCGTTCGAGATCGAAAAACGCTTTTCGTCATATTTACTAAAGAAGACGGTAGAATTTTCGGGATTTCGAAACGAGATTTGACCCAGATAAACACCACCCTCATTCTCCAAAACACGAAATTCATTGTCCAAACACTCGGGTTGCGTATCGAGGAGGTTCTTAACGATGACCTTCACCCCGACCGAGTTGTTCAAACTTGGCTCCCCTCCATCAAAAACGTGTACAGTTAAATTATAGACGGTCCTAACTTCGAAATCGAATTCACACGTTGATGATAAAGTACCGAAAATTGGGTGGATCTGGAAGCAATCTTCGCCGTAAATTTCGTACCTTAATTCTGAGTTTAGGCCTATAAAAAAGTAATTTCTTACTCATTCGAATTAATTAAACGCAGTATACTTATTTATACCTTTATCGGAATCTGTAGCGGAAATTGCTATTAGCGTTGCAGGAGGGATATTCTCTTCAACCTCAACAATCCACTCGGATTGAACAAACTCGGGTGCATTATCATTCTCATCTACAATTCGGACGTCTATACTTTGATTTCTATAGACGCCTAAATTAACACAAATTACTCTTGAGCTAAATCTTTCCTCAAACTCCCTGTCGAAAGACGTATTAGTCAATAAAACTAGCTGATTATCTAATCTAGACACTTTGAACTTTTCCGATTCGTCCGAAAAGCACTCGACATTATTGACCGACTCCTCCCATTCGTCCAATTCGACTTTAACGAGAGCTACGACACTGTTTGCCAAGAGATTTTCTTTGATCAATAATTCATTATCGTAGCCAGTAATGGGCGTGACTTTGATTCGAAACGATCTCTCATTAATATTCAAAAGCCTTATTATTATCGACGTCCTGGAATATAGACCTCCAGCATCAGTAGCTGTAGCAGTTAGGTGAAACAGCCGCTTCGCTTCGTAATTTAGCTTTTTAAGGGTTCTTTAAGTATTAATGAACCGATAATAGTTGTTAACGCCTTCTTTTTTTTAAAAAAAAAAAGGGGTCAAAAGTGTTTTAAAACGTTGGGAAGAAAGATATCTGTTATGTATACTCTTATCGCCGTGTATATATATAAATATATACACAATATGTATATGTATACATTGTATATATACATACTGCATGCAGTTCATATATACATATAGTACGCTTTATTAAATATCGCTTAGCGGTTCATTATTACTTTAAAGTTCCATTATACGCATCGACACCAAAATATTGGTTAGTACTTAATGAATACTTTACTAATCGAAATTGGATTGTTGAATCGAGATCGACGGCCTTGAGGTTCAATATCTGCGTATTTATAGTTAAATTCTCATAGATATCAATGATATATTCTTCTTTTTCGAATATTGGGGGGTTGTCGTTTATATCAATTATCTCGGCAATAATTGACAAGGAAGTATTGTAATATCCGTCACTTATTGATATTGACATATTCATAATCGTATTATCCAGTCTTTCGTAATCGATCATCCTCTTCAATATCAGACGTAATTCATCCGATTCGTGCACAACTCCAAAATAACTATCTTCCAGTTGAACTGTTTTAATACCGTAATCTTCGCCGTCGGCATCTTTAACACTAGCAATCGGAAACAGTGCGTCTAAAGGTGTCGATTCCGTAATTTTAATTCTTACAATTTCCGGTTTAACGATAGGTGGATTATCGTTAATATCATCTATAGTTATATTTATCCGTAAAATTTCCAATTTTTCAATTGGTAATACTGCAAATTCGAGTTGTGTGGCACATACAGGGCCTGGCTTACACAGTGTTTCTCTGTCTATCCTGTTGTTTACGTAAACAACACCTTGAGATAATCTAAATAAATCCGTATCAGTCAGTAAGCGGTAGGATTTATTCTTCTCTAATTCCAGTAGACGAAAGCCAATTGGCGTCTCTTCATTAACGTGAAGTCGCAAAGTTTCAGAAAAACCGAGAGAAAAAAGTAAGAGGAAGGGTAACATTTTTATGAAGAAAGCTTTCGCGAGACCCGCATAATTCCTTTACGGGTCACGTGACGTCTCAACAATCGAATTTTTATAACATGCGGGCAGGGCGTAATAGCCCGGGTTGAAATATCTTCATCTGTAGATCTCTTAAGAAAGAATTAACTTATATCGCCAGATGGCGTATTTATATTTAAATATTTTCACTTAATAAATGATTTTTTAAATAAACAAAATCTCTTAGTCAAAGAGTGTAGAGGAGAGGGGAAAAGTGAGAGAAAGAAACTGTTTTACTCGTAAAAATATTAGAGGTACTAAAGAGGCTGCTTAGAAAAGAACCACCACTTGAAAAAAACCTATAAAAGACTTCCTTTGAAAAGAAACGCTTGAGAACAATTGTAAAAAAAAAATGAACGATTAAATACTATAGTTTTGTTTGGTAAAGAGAGAGAGAGAGAGAGGAATAGAGAGGGAGTAGTAACCTTCCCCTATATAGCCAATATGAACGCTCATAAGACGAGTAATAATAAAAAAAACAAGGAAATTAATGACTTGTTGAAAGAGACAGACAATAATTCAAAGGAATCGTATAATAGTCTTTAACAGAGAGGAAAGGGTACTTAATCAAAAATGGGTATTTATAAAAAATGAACCCATCACCATCCTTTTATCATCCTTTTTTCTTCCCCATATATTTATATAAATAAAACCTTATAGATATTTATAAAAGGAACAAATTAAATATGAATAATAACCTCTCCTCTTTATATATACAGTATTTTTTTTTAAAAGCGGTAACGTTCCAAAAAGTACTTCTTTCTGCCTTTTCTCTTTTGCATTTATGACTGTTCAATAGAAAATTTAGAAGAAAAGCGAATAAAAACGATCACGTGACATTTTAAAAGCATATATTTTCAAATGAGCAGAGAGAGAGAAAGAGAGAGAGAATGAGGGATAGACAGAATGAAAATGATTGTCGTATCTGTAGTTTTTATTCAAGTCATATTATTTATGCCTATTGTTTTCAGTTGTATTAAAAGGTATACTTTTATGATAATAATGAAAAATTACCGTTAAAATTATTAATAATAAAAAAATGTCGAATAAGAAGTTACGTGCTCATTTATAGAAATCTTCTTCGATGATATTAATAATGCAAATTTTTTACATAAAAGAGCTCTATAAATACGATAGCCTGATTGATGTTAAGTTATTGTTTAAATAACTTAATTATTCAAAGAGTCGGTATATATTTCTCTGTTATTTGTATATATAAGGCTTCGGGGAGGTGGAAAAAGGGCCCGACTCACCGCCCCAGCTAGGCCTACATTCGCTTTTGATGTAAGCCGCCTCAAATAAACCGCGGGGTGAAGTTTTTCGACGGAATTCAAACGTATCATTAGTCCGCCAACTGACTGAACTAAGGCCGTTAACTTTTGCGGCGATTTAAACGAATTGTTGATCTTTCCTTTTCTTTATTATCCTATGCATATATAGTCTACTTGTCAGTATTTTTTTTATTGTTATTTGAAAAATATGCATATTTTCGCTTATTCTTATTGTAATTACTGTTAGGAACAAGGTAAATCTACAACCCTTACTGAGTTTATAGTTATTAAGTGGCCCCCACTCGAAAACTATTAAGAAATAAAAGAAATATAGATTTAATAGCTGATCGAAACCTACTCTCTTACCTTTGCTCTCTTTGAACACTTTCGATATTTATCATTAAAAAACTCAACATATTTATATATATTTTAATTTATATTAAATATCTAGAGTATATTGGATTTTGTCTAAGTCAAACAATATATAGTTTGTATTCATTCGCAATTAACAGGTAAATGTTAAAAAAGAAAGTTAACTTTTATTTCTTTTTATTATGACGCCATTTTTGTCTCAGTTGTCATTAGAAATAAATAACCTGTAGACTCGAGACAATATTTATGTAGTTTTTTTTGAGTTAAGAAGGCTTGTCTATGATGGTAAGACTCTATAAATATTTCGAAAAGTATAGTAACAGTAAATTTATTATATGGGACTAAATCATCTAAAATCCTAAAAAAAGACTCCACTTGTATATACTACGTGTCTTGACGCGATAAATTTGAAAAGATGTCATAGCTAAGTTTTTCTAACGAACTTTTTCTAACAACCTAGTTAGATTACTGACAAACATCGAAATTTACCATTACTCACTCGATGTCAAACTTTCCGATGAATGAACTGTTTCCTTTACACGCAACGCAATCATACCTATTTACGAATTCGTACATACACACACACACACACACACAAACATACATACATATAAATGTATGTTATAAATCAGGTGACGCTAACAAACCATGACAAACTATAGACTTTGTGACGTCACGTGCAAAAATATAAAGTGCAATATGGTTCTCATTGATATTTTGGAATGTAAATAACACCTCTAGCTTTTATCGAATACAGAAAATTTTATGCCAAAGAGAAACCCCTGGAAAGAACTTTTCTCTTTTTTCACTAATTTTTCTCAAGACAAAGAAATTCGTTAGCGCTTTAGTTCGAAAACGTCACTTTTTTATAAAAGGGCGCTAAACGTAAACCAAACACAGAAAGCGGACAGCCAATAGGCGATTAACAACATGTCACGTGACTCGCTGATACTTTTCAGATCGCGGCGCGAAACCGTACGGAAGAGACTTTCTCACGGATACCGAGGAGTTTATTTTTTTTATTATCTAATTTCTTCCTACCTCTTAAGGCCTATTACAGAATAAGGTACTAAATTATGTTTATCATTACGTTATCTATATTTGTGCGATAAGGCATGTTTCGATAAAAATCTTTGACACGTGACATGTTTGTTTAAGTTTTTAAAGGTTTAATAAGCCTATCAAATCAGAGTTTTGTATGTAGTGCAAGATATGAACGAGAGGTAAAGTTATACCCAATTAGAAAGTTGATAGAGAATATTTTAAAAATTAGCCGCGGGAAAAAGAGGAAGTGGTCACTTCGAAAGTGGCCAGGTGGGAATATTTTTTTTATTAAGAATAAAAGAATTGTGGTCTTCACCTTCGAATAGCTTTGAAAAAATTTTTCGCTATCTCGTTACAAGAATTTCGCTGGATGCATAAAAAAGCTACAAGAATTGTAAAGAAGACGAATAAAGGAGAAGAAAAAAACTATATATCTTACTATTCCCCAACCTACGACCATTAGCGTTCGCTGACATTTTACCAAAATAATAAATAGTGAACCCGTTTAATTCTTTCAAGATTTTTCCTTACTCTACGTCATTTATCATTTACGGTTAATCAACCATAGTTTTTATAAATGAAAGAAAGATTAGCGTATATCCCTTTGTTAATACACTATAAAAGATATAATATTTTCTATCCGACTTGATACAAAAGAAGAACTCGTTAGTGAATAAGGAAAATAATTGACTTTTAGTAAACGAAATCGATTTTTATCGGTCTACGGTAAAAGCCAAAGGGGAGATAAACGTTTCGGATTACGTTAGTGATAATTGAGTTGCCTTATCGTTATCGAATGTTTTGGGCAAGTAAATTTACTTGAGAGAGAAGAGAAGAGAGGTATTTTTTTCCATGGAATAAAAAATGCCTTGGTTTCGTTTTCCCTTTCATTTTCTGGAATCTATTCCAAACCATCTTTCTTATTTGTTTATTCGTAAAATCGTTGGGTGTCCATTTCAAAACGTGTCCCCTGTCCAAATAGTTCTTTTTTTTTTCTACTATATAGTAGAAATACAATATGTTAAATATACAAGAAAAAGAGAGAAAAGAGTAGGGATTGTACTCATAAGAGTACATTTACCCTATAAAATTTTTGATGAATAGGAGGTGGTAACCTACCCTTATAAGCTAATTCAATAATTTTCATTCATTAGAGTGAAAAAACCACTTTTTCCCGATTTTTTATTATTAGGTTTGACTATTTGCGCGTGTACGTGTTTCTTTGCATTTTCAATAGAAATTTCAATTTCAATCTTGATAGTCATCTCCTGAGTTATATCAGATGTTTGTTTAACAGTGCAACATTATTTGCAAACCGTTCCAAAGAGGAAGGTCGTGAGGTTGGGGTAAGAGAGAAAGAAAGAGAGTGAGTGAGTGAGTGAGAGAAAGAGAGATACGTGAGAGCTTTCATACTCTAAGCCTATATCTAATTCGGGATATTGAGATGCATAAATGTATGCATATGTTCGTAATTCACTCTGTAAAGAAGGAGAACTGTATTGTAAACAGATAAAAGGAAGTAGCAAATTAGTAAATATTAGAGATAATTAAAGTCATGAGAACGGACAACGAATTTCTGACGGTGTGCACGCGTACAATATGCTTCCATATTCTTTCTGATTTTACATGATTAACTGTTTTGACCCCCACTAAGATTTGCATCTGGGGAGCCAAAGAGCAGGTGGCCAGCTAGCATTTATCTTTTGTATACTATATACATAGCAAAAAGTTGGTTCGCCTGAAACGAGTGAACTATTTTATGAGATCTAATATATTCTCTGTTATTACGTAATTAAATATCTAAGAAACAAACATTTAAATTTATTTACATTTGGAATAAATTCCCAAGAGAGAGGGTATTATTATGATTGTTACAAGAAAAGGGAGGGAGAAAGGGAGGAGGGGGAGAACAGAGATGGCACGCTTTCCTAATTTACTATGATTAATTACTCGTATCTCGAGGATTGTGTATGTATTTGTGTGTATGTATGTGTGTAAAATTCATTTATCATTTCGTCTAGTCTATCGAATTTCTTCTGTTTTGACCACAATTTTAGTTGAAAGAAAAAATGTTAGGTATTCCTTCTAATCAAAAACGCTATATTATGATCGTAACTATTTCCTTTAAAGGCTAAGAATGAAAAATAGACCGCATAGAGCGTTGGTCTTGTTCCCTATTGTTTCCAGTTTTGCATGGTTAGTCGCCCTTAAAATTGGTATTTCGTTTTGGGTGGATGCATAACGAAATAGGATGCTGTTTAACCTATTAGATTAGCAAAATAGTATGTTAAACTCATCCATTCGCCTAAATACCATTTAATTAATGTACATTAAAATGAAAATATAAAATAAAATGGGAAATAATCGAAAAGAAACGATCGTGTCACGCGAGCGACTCGTCGTTAAAATCGCCACTCGATTATTAATCACCAGCCATCCGAATTGCTGCCAATCAACCCTGCCAACAATGCTCGTCGGACGTCGATTAGAACTTTAGCGCCGCTTATAATGAGCGGATAAGCGTAAAATCAATAATTCTTTAGACTTTTATTCCCACACTTGGTATTTCCTTCTCCGTTCCCTTTGTTATATAAATTGTAGTAAACTTCTGACATACGCCACCTCCTGGTTGGTTAGAAGGATGTTCCTTTCGTTGGTTTTTTTTTGGTTTTTGTATAAAAAAAAAGTAATAGAGCGTTCTCACGCGAACAGGAAATCGACGGAGAGTTTTTCTCATTCAATGTTTTTAACGGCTTGGTCGAGTCACGACGGACTCCCTATAGGTTTCTTTCACTTTAATAACATCAACAAAAGACTGATATAACTTTGTGTGTGGAAATTGACGCTTACAATACGAAAAAGGGTATTAGGTGTGGGTGGATTGTAAAAAACATACTAATCACGTGATTAAATATTATATATATAAATATATGTCTTAAAAGCATATTTATATATAAATATACGTGTGTATATGTGTGTAATATGTATTCATATTCTTCTCTTTTTTTATCTTCTTAAAGCCCGCCTACCGCCTCTTATTCGCCTCTCTTTTTTTTAACAACTCTTCTGTTGACTCGTTTCCTAATCCGCAAATAAACTAGTGTTAGGTATATGAATAGGCTTTGAAGTATTAGTTTAGTATTGGATTTTGATTTATTCATTCCTACTCTTTTTCATTCTTTCTCTTTTTTTACGTAAGACCATTTTATAATTGGCTTGTTCAATCCATTGTTGTATTTAATCTATCAATGGTCTATTTTAAAAAATACATACCGAACCACTTAACTAATCGTTCTTTTCTTGTTTTATCCCCTTTTTTCTCTCTTCTTTTCTTATTTTTTTTCCTTCGTTAGCTTGAGGATTTACTACTGTTTATTTAATCAGTTTAATTTATATAAATTTAATACTTTAATTGCTATGGTTGACAAATATAAAAAATTGTATAATAGTCTTTCAAAGAGGAAAAGTGGGCGTGTTATCGAATAAAGAATTATTGAAATTGTGAATTTCTAATACTAATTTGTTTATCAGAGGGAGAGAGAGAGAGAGTGAGCAAGAAAGGGGGAGTAAGGCAGAAAGTTATATTGGACAGAAAATTTTAGTATAAGGATTACTTACGAGCTTTTCTCATAAAACGCTCCATCTGTAAGTCGGTAACGACTAAAAGCTAAACGCCCCCTTTTCCCTCCTACCTTTCGTCTAACCTCTTTTTCATCTATTTTATTCCGCCCAAACTTGGCACGTTCCTTTCGGTTAACGAACCCTTTTGCCACCAATCAGTAACAAAAAGGAATGTAATCTCTAACGTTTTAATCTAATTTATTCTTGCTTACTTTCGAGTGGTTGAACGAGTTAGCAACTGGGCATAAAGTGAGTAATTTTCCTGTCGTTTCTTTCTCGTTAACCTTTCATAAAGAGTTTAGCGGCCGCTTAAAGAACAAGCCTTAAAGAAGGTGTTTCAACTCTGCAGATTTGTCTTCTTATTCTAAGCCAACCCGGCTTTAAATTACTCTAATAACAAAATATTAGTTGAATTAGTCAGTAATCCAGGGTAAGGCGTAAATCGATTGTATATAAAATAATATGACATAACGTATATTTAGACACCTTTACAACTTTGTTAATGTTGATATAAACATGGAAAACTAGGTAATGAATAGTTATTTAACGACTATTCATGTTTAAATAGTCTTTTATTTGAAGTCGTTGTTTATTAATTAGTCTTAAAAGTTATTCGTTTAACAGTGTCTTATAAAAGAAAGAAAAAAAAAAGAAGTTAATCTTCTTAACATCTCAGACTGTTTGGTGTGATAAAGTAAAGGCGTTTCTTTTTTTGTGTATGTGTATACTGTATCACAGATATAAGCACCGCGACGTTTTAACGGTCTTTTTGAAGTCAGTTTGACAAAAAAAAAGGGGCGCGCGCTCGTGCGACTGATTCGATCTAATTTATTCATGAATTACGTCATACGCGTGGTAACGTTTAATTTACCCTTCCCCCCATACAGATGCTTTGTGCAGCCGTACTCGCTTACATCATCCACGCCGTGACGTCATTAGACGTTAGTGGAAGCGTTCTAGAAGAGGGAGACGCCGGGAAACTAGTACTCGACCTGCACAGTTTTAACTCTGTTCGCAGATTAATAGAAACGTCTTACGAGTTTCGCTTATTAAATGGCCATTCTAATTTCACGCTTTCGGCGGATGGTTTGATAAAAACGTCAGCCAAATTAGATCGAGAAACGATCTGTAAAGAGACTGTGTCCAAATGCTATGTTACTCTTTCCATTGTTCTAGTCGGTAGTTCGAAGAAGACGATGATTAAAGCAATAATAGAAGTTGTCGATATTAACGATAACGCTCCAACCTTTCCGGTTGACCTGTGGAACGTGACGTTCCGCGAAGATGCAAGTACAGAAAGTATTTCACCCTTACCAAGGGCTAGAGACGCGGACAACGGCGTCTTTTCTATACAAAACTACAAACTTACAAAAAATGATGGCACATTCGACGTCGTTGGGGAGGACGGTGACGTCTATTTAAAGCTGAAGAAAAAGTTGGATAGGGAAATATTTAAAGAGTATAATTTGGTTCTAGAAGCAATAGATGGTGGAGGTAAAACAGGCAAAATGTCCCTAAAGGTAATCGTTAGCGATTCAAACGATAATCGGCCAATTTTTAATCCTCGAACGTATTCGAAAAAAATCCCTGAGGATTTCGGATTAAATCGAACAATTTTAACGGTCTTCGCTACTGACTCCGACGCTGGGAGAAATGGGGAAATTATGTATTCTGTCAGCGAAGAAGTCTCTGATAGATTTCAAATAGACTCATCTGGAAGATTACAATTAAAGAACAAATTAGATTATGAAGCAGTCCAAAGATATTCTTTTAGAGTTTACGCCAGGGATAAGGCATCTAATCCTCTCGAAGATTTTGCTAAGATTACCATCGATGTGGAAGATGTAAACGAATTTGATCCCGAAGTGACCTTGACAGTTCTTACCGAGAACGGAAGAGTGGAAGTGAAAGAAAACAGTCCTAAAAATACTTTTGTGGCCTATTACAGAGCACGGGATAAAGATGGTTCTAATATCAGAGTTTCGTGTGCATTGGAAGAAACTCAAGGAAATTTCTATGAATCAAACCCTGGAAATATTCTAACTACGAAAACTTTCAATAGGGAATTTAGAGATTCTTATTCATTCTTTATCGTTTGTCGAGATTCTGGTTCTCCTAGAAGAACTACAAAAAAGCTTATTGAAGTTGAAATAACGGACGAAAACGATCATACTCCAAAGTTGAATATTTTAAATTATACGGCATACATTGAGGAGAATCTTGATGAAACAATTATTGTAGAATTAAAAGCTCATGATGGAGATATTGGATTGAACGGAGAAGTAACATTTGAAATTAAAGAGCCTATTGATCTTGTAAAAGTAGATAATTCTGGAATAGTCCGAACAGCGAAATCATTAGATAGAGAGGATTTAGATACTTTCTCTTTTCACGTAATAGCAAGAGATTCTGGCTCTCCTAGTTTATTTTCTACATGCTTCATAAACGTAATAGTATTAGATAAGAATGATAATGCTCCTGTATTCCCAAAAGAACGCTTGGAAATGGAAGTAATCGAAGAAAGAAAGCCAGGAGAACGTGTTGGCAAAGTTACAGCTATAGACCCAGATTTATACCCCAATAACATTACCTTTTATAAGTTTGTCAGTGGTCATAGAAATTTTGCTATTAACGTAACTACGGGTATAATTGAAACCAACTTGAAATTGGACAGAGAAGAAAGAGAAGATTATCTTTTAATAGTCAAAGCTTATAATCCAGATTATCATACTGAAGGCGATAAAATAACTGTTCTAGTCAAAGTATTGGACGTCAACGATAATCCTCCTCTAGTCTACGACGCTAATATAACAGTGGCTTCTAATGCGAAAATTGGCGAATCTGTCGGGGCAATAAAAGCGTCCGATTTAGATGGTAGCCGCCTTATTTATACAATCGAATCCGTAAGCGGAGCGGATATTTACAGCCTGGACGAGACATCCGGAAGGATTGTAGTAAAAGAGGATTTAGGAGGCTACGTCGATTACATCACAACGCTAAGGGTCAAGGTTCAAGATGGAAATTACGAGGCTTTTTGTAGCGTTGCCATTACTGTGTCTCCGGAAACTGCGAAGGCGTCTAATGACGGCAAACTTTATGCAATAATCGCAATTATATGTGGCACATTGTTTGTAGCCATAGCACTTATTGCAGCGATTTTAGTACAGTTGAGAAGAAAGCGAAAGATAAATAAATTAAAGAAGGAAGACGAAGAAAAATCAATAGAATATCCTCAGGTAAGATTAATATCGTAAATTTTTTTCTTTTTCAACCATATTTGACCTCTATCGTTCAACGTCTGTCTCTTCCTTTCTTATAAAAAAGAGAAGAAAAAAAGTTCTCCCGCATGTAAATATTTTTAGATTGATAATTTTATTCCTAAAATATGCGGGTATTTTATAAAGAGTGAAAGTAATCAACCCCCGTAAAAAAGAAACCAAGATATCCTCTCGCCAGTTGTCCTTTAAAAGAATAGGAAGAGGCGTAAAGAGAGGATGAATTCGAGCGTTGACACGCTGTTATTTTAAGCGATTTTAATGCGTAAATGGCGTGTTTTGTATCCTTTATTCTTTAGCAGCTAAAAACGGCATATTAAAGCAATAAAGTAGTTTATTAACAGACAAATAATATTACCATCCCCTATTCGGCAAAGAAAGGGAATAGAGAGAAGAAGAGCAGCTAGAAGGAAATAGATTAATAGAGAGAAAAAGTAGATCTATGAGGAGGGTAGGACGACTAGAATAAAAGTTAAAAAAAATCTTATTCAAGCTTGAATGAGGTTTGAATTATTAATTGTACGGGCGACAGTTTATCGTTTAATCTAGAAAGAAAAAAAAGTGGGAGGTTTCGATATACAATACATTTCATAATACAATGAGAATATATCCTCTGTTTAAGAGTATAAAGGGAACTGAGCGGGAGAGAGAGAGAGAGAGAGAGAGAGAGAGAAAATAAAGAAATAAATTGAGTGGCTGGAATAGATTAAGTTTCTATATGGTAATATCACACGAGCTAGGAAGTGCAGTATTTCAAAATAGTTCTTTTACTTATATAGTCTTGAAACAAAATATTATTTTTAGTGAGGACAAATTAATAGTGAACCGTATCTGCTTATACAAATAATATTCTATATCAAGCACAACACTCTTACGCTCGTAATGTAAATAGAGGGCGTCTGCAAACGACGCGCGAGTATAAATATGCCAGGCTATTATGTAATAGGATGGACGCTCTTTCGCCCTTCTGGTCCGTCGTCACCTTTCTATTTTCCTTTATTTAGGAAGTAGACGTAATAACCTTTTAGCAGGTTAAAACCGATTAGGAGACATTCTAGAATTATTCTAACCAATTAAAGGATAAATAATACTTAAATAAATTTAAATATTCATGAGCATTTTTCTTTATTTTTTCCTAACAGCCTCCATCAAACAAAATTCCTGATGGCCAAGAGAGAGTACAACAGCTTCTACAAACTTATAAACAGCACTCAGACAAACAATCCGACAGTGGACGCGGATCAATAACAGATATGAATTTATCAATAGAAGGATCGAATCGTTATAGTCCAAGAGCAGTATCTAAATCTGAATATGATTCAAGTGACGTGTCGTCAGCTACTTCCGGAGAATATACTATTACAGACAGTACGCTTCTCGATTCACAAGCGTGTAGCGTAGTATGATAATCGTATCGAGGAAGAGAGATAGAACTGGAACCAATCGATTCCTCCCTTCCTCGTTGTTTTGTTACATTATTATTTTTTTTACAATCTGTGTTATGGACATTTTTACAAATTTCTTTCGGCGTCTTTCTATTTACCTTTTTATCAAATGTGATGTTATCAAAAAGAAATAAACTAGTAGGGAGTCGGTAAGAAAGAGGGAGAGAGTGTATGTGTGTGTAAAAGCCACATTTCTTCATCCTGAAGCATCAAAAAAAACCCCCCTCCTTATCAAGATAATCTCATCGATAAAAAGGTAGACGTCGAATAAAATGCAAACTTTTTTTATGAGAATGAAAAATAGCAGCGGGGTTTAATTATAAGTCTATTAAGGGCGTAATTTGACTAACATTTACGTTATATTACATAAGTGAATAGCTGCTGCGGGAGTTTTAAATATATAGTCCCTCCCGCGTAAATGACTGATTTGTTAGTCCGCCTCACGAGAGAGGTCAATTGGAAAGAGAAGAAAACAAATAGATAAAAACAAAAACCTAATATATACATATGTAACTTATGTGAATACGTTTTTACATTGTTTTTTCTTTAAATATGTCATTAAATATTACTAATATTTAAGAATAAACAAAATTGAAATGTTAAAGATCTAAATGAATCGTATGATAGAACAATAGTCAGATAACCTGTAGATTTTTATAGTTTAAAATGATGGATTGCTAAGAGAGGAAATATAAACGATAAGGCTAGTTTAAAGGCCAACAGTTTATTTAGATTTGTGAAAAAAGCATTACCTTATTCTAGACAGTTAACCCAAAATATGTAATTGAGGGTATATTTATACAACAAGCATAAGCTTTAAACAAACCGCTGCTATTTCTATGCATATTACCAATCTTTCTCTTCTTCCGTTTCTCATGCACGTTTCTATAGAGTCACGACCGAACATTAGCGCCAACAACTATTCATTCAACATACACGATTTAATGTAACCTGACCTTTGACCTTGAACGAAGCTAATTCAGCCTTCATTCAGCATTCCGGAGGCCTATAGTGTTTCTTAACCCCAGGGGAGTTTTATAGGACTATTCTGCGGGGAATAAAATTCGCATTCGAAAGATTATAAAACGGTATAACGGCTCTATTTTCTTTTGTAGTTATGCGACAAAGGAGACATTGTTTAGAAAGATTGATGGATTTTGTCAGCTTTTTTCATACTGCCGTCCGAGTTTTTTTACAAACTAAAGTCGATAAATCGAAAATCGAAAGAAAAAAAGTGGGCGGTTGTACGCCTCATTCCTCTCCTCACCCTCGTCAACCATTCAAAATCCCTCCCACAATCTCCCCGTCTACTTTTTTCTATCTATCCCCCCCACCCCTTGAATACTCGCTCACACACATCGATGTTCTCTACACAACCCTCTCCTGCTTAGCAATTCTACACCTTTCTTCATCAATATAATATATCCATTATCGTCGGAAACTTAACTTGCATTGTTGAATGAGAAATAATGCAACGAAAATTTAAAATCCTCAAAGAGATTATTCATTGTGTTTTGACCTTTTTTCGGATTACGACATTGACCTTAATTAGCATCTGAAGTGTTTATCAAGAGCCAAAGCACATAAAACTTTTACACAATGTATAGTTAGGGAGGGCGGTACCAAATGATGGGCGAACATAAAAAGAACTTTGAAAAAAAAGTATTAAGTAACAATGTTTAATTAATAAGGAATATTAATTAAAGGATTAAGAGTAAAAAATATCCAACGAATCTAGAATATCAATTCATATTTATCTAATAGATCATAGTGAAATTTTCGCATGTCTTTATCTTATTCGTCTTCCTAATCCTCTCCAATTTTCTTTTGATGTTATGATATAAACAAAGGGTATTTTTTTTCAAATTGTTTTTTTGTACAACAATAAGAGGAGTTTATTGCTTAAAATAAAAAAAGACTCAAGCAAATAAAACCGAAAGACGATAAAATCGTTTTTCTTTTTCTCTCTCTCTCTTTGCTCTTAAAAAAAGGTAAATTATTTTGTTTACTGTTTATATAAAGTAAGTAAGAGAGAGACAGAGAGAGAGAGAGAGAGAGAAAGAAAGAAAGCGCAATATAGAAAGCCTAGGCATTATCCTTAGGAGGGGGTGGGAAAAGGGGCGGAATGCCACTCAAATAAAATTCAAGTTAAATATATAGGCCAAATAGATTAGAAAGTTTCCTAATTAGTTTCTTATTGTTATCTTAATTTTATCCTATGAAATATCATGCAGTCTCCTTATTGTCCACACGTCACTTAATTGATAATAGAAATTTTAACTAAGAGGATGTATAAGCTTTAAGCATTTGCTTTTATTAGCTCGGCATGACATTTTCTTTCTTCTAATTAGCAACGTAAACAACATAATAAAAGAAATTAATGACGAATGAATAAGTAACAGTTAGACTATTGACTAATCAAGAATAAAAGAAAAGGGAAATGGATATGTACAAAAGAACTCTAATCTATAAATAGGGGGAAAAAACTAAAGAGAGAAGAAAGGAGAAAGAATGATATCTTTCATATAAAAGTGTCAAATGATATACTTGGAAAAATCTTAAGACTAATATTTAAACTATTTTTTCAATGTTATTATAACCTTTTCTCAATAATACAAAAACAGTAATTATAAGCTAATTAAACAAGAATCTTTCGTACTTTGTGCAAAAAGAAAATATATATATACATATATATACTAGTTTAATACTAAACTTTCTCCCCCCCCCTTTGTTTTGCATAATAGCGATAATATAATCTTTTAATGTTTCATTTCTTCTCCTAAATCCCTTTAAATATGCAAATTAAGTATTTTCTATTTTGATGAATTGCAAAATAAAATCCTTGAACAAAAAAAAAGTTGTTTCCTAACGTTTTTTAACGATTATCGAATGTCTGCCAAAATATACATATATATATATATATATATACTATATGTACGTGTATACTTTGTTAAACATACACAATGTGTTTACATAACAAACGTAGGCCTAATAATCGAAAAAGTTTGTCAAAGAAAGTGAGAATAATGTAATAAAATAACTGTTATTATCATTATCAATTACAAGTTAAATAAGCTTATTTATCAATTGTTTTTTAACCATTTTTTTTTCGTGAAGAATTCAAACAAAGAATGTAATTGAGGGTCAATCAATCGTAAGTAATAACCTTATTATACTCTGTTACAATGGTGGATAAAGCTTCAAAAAAATGTACAAAGTTCTTTTTGTTCTCTCTATCCGTTTAAGTATACGATGAATAATCATAAAAATGCTAGTAATGATATTAATTCAATTACTTTAAACAATAGACATTTTGTCTCTTTTACTCCTTCATCACTAGTGTTTGGTTCCTATCCCTATTTGTCAAACAAAAAGTAGTGGAGATTTTCAAAGAATTATAACGGTAAAGTAAGTTTTGAAAAACTGTACACTTCCTTCTATTCTCCTTCCTTTTCTACTTATCTTAAGCTAAAGGGGTTTTTTTTTTAATTTTGAACTAAATTCAAGCCGATTTAGCCAATTTGAGTATAAAGGACAAGTAAAGTAGACAAAATTACCTCCACGGGTGATTTAGTTAAATCTTTTTCTCAGTAATTCCTTTAATCTCTTCAAAGTAGAGAGGGGACGTAGGATAGAAAAAAAAACAATGTTTAGAAAGAATTAGGGGTTGGTAAATAGATAAATAGTGAGAGAGAGAGAGAGAGAGAGAGAGAGAGAGAGAGAGAGAGAGAGAGAGAGAGATAGAGAGAGAGATAGAGAGAGAGAGAGAGAGAGAGAAGAGAGATAGACAGAAATGAAGAAAAAAGGACATTCTCTAAAGATAGACTCTTCAAAAAAAAACACCCTGTAATCAGCGCCCAATTTATCAAACGGAACTCTGTTTTTATATATCTGTCAAACCATACGAAATTAAACCTACCTAACAAAAAACACACTCAACAACTTTTCAATTGCAATTATAACCTAATGAAAGGAACGTATAATTTGTCCTATATACAACTTATTCGACAGTCTTAATTGACGCCAAAAAAAGTCGCCTTTTTTAACAACTTTCCTTCAATTGCTCAACATTTTACATACAGCACCCTTCACTCCTCTTTTCTTTTGTCCCATTCATTTTAGTCTTCTTTTTTTTTCTTCCTTTTTTCTTAATGAGAAAGGGAATAAGAAGAGAAATAATACGATAGATAGATAAAGCGAGAGAGAGAGAGCAAGATAGGAAGAGAAAAAGAGAAAGAAAATGAATAAATAAATAAAGATAAGGATGAAAGGAAAGCTACGTATCTCTAATTTCAACTACTATTATCAAAGTTTGGCATATACTGTACTTTAAAAGGAATGTTATTAAGACTCTATGGGAAGAAAAGGGAAAAAGATAAGAAAGGAGTCATGATTGGACGTGAGTTATTGATGAGACACGGTCAGGTGTACAGTTTCGTTTGAATTTTCTTCTTTTTTCTTTCTCTACTAATCATTAAGGAAAATGTTAAGTGTGAGTCAATTAGCATTTAATTCATTCAATGAAGAAATAGGGTAAACAGATGGCGATCAACCTGGACAAAGTTCCACACCTCCCCTACTCGAATGACGGCATCTATAAGTCACCCGCTGCGACAATTCGGCGCAGTTTTCCTTCAAATAGACGTCTATATTGTACTACGCCTCCTTTTCGCCATATGCTGCCACGCGCTCCGCGTCGTTCTTCATTCAATCCCTCCGACCCTTTGAACTTTTGTGTTTATTGAAAGATCTATCGATAGATGTCGCTGAATTACAGTTGAATATCTAATTTCAATTTTTAACGTTTGAACATATAATGTTTTTAGGATAAAAAGATTATTACTTCAATAAGAAAGTGTCAGAAAAACATCAAAGTAAAAAGATTAAGGAATTTTTAGATTTTATTAATAAGAAAAACACAAAAAAGAGCCTCGAATGATAAACTTTATAATGACTATTTGTTAATGTTCAATTTCTTTTTCTCAGCTAGTTTTATGCTTTATGTAAGTAGCAAATAGATGAATTCAACAGAATATTTGTAATATTACACTTTATTGAAATACACCAATTAAAAGTAATTAAACTATTATTATATTCATAACAGTCAAATAATAGGGTATCAGAGTGAGTCGAAATTCAACTAAAATACCTTTTTCACGTTAATTTCTCATGTATTCAACGCTCTTTTCCCAAAAATTGAATAGGACTATGAATAATTTATAATGAATCATTAAAAATTAATTGGTAAAAACTTCAAAAATACTTCAACTTTGATAGTTTAACCAACCCATGTGGGTAATTAGTTTGTTCAATCAACCTACAGATGGCGTTTAATCTGTTAAGAATTATAAAAACACCGGAAGTAAAGACCTATATCTTTAACAAGTTTAAAGAATATAATTAAAAATGAAAAAGAAAATTTTTTACTGATTAAACTTTTTTAATTTAATGAAAAGTTATAGTTAAATTTTCTTAAACTACCTTATTTTTTGAATTTTAGAATAACATAATAAAGACTTGACTTAATTAAAATATATGTTATTTTTAGTTTATATTTCATATTTTTTTATTAAAAAATTGGTAAAATAGCACCACCCTTAATTATGGACAACGGGTAAAAAAAACTGAGTACTAATGATAAGTGACCAAATTTTTAGGAAGTCATTCGTAGTGACATTTCAATTCGAAAAAAAAGCATGGCTCTTGCCCCTCAAGTATCCGAACTTTCTAAGTCTATTGCGAGAGATATAAAAGTGTAAGCTATTTTTGAATTAATTAAAATTTACTTGGATATGTTCAATGTCCTAATTAATATCCAGGTTTTATGAAAGTGCATTGAACTTTTTGGTTGACTCATCCGAAGCTATTGAAGATAATATCTTTAAAATGGTCGTTAAGAGTAAGCCTCCAACTAGACCAAATATGAATCTAAGCTTTCTAGCTCATGGTAGATTTTTGAAGTACTTTTATGCGAAACTTTCGCCGGAATATCGTGAAATCTACAGAACGTGTAGAATAATTATCATTGATGAAATGGGGAAAAAATGGCAATTTGGCAGAGAAGAAGATTGTGCTGTCGTAACAAATCAAGTTAGAACACTAAGCGAAAAGCTTAAAATGTAAGTTGATATTCAAATTTATTATTTTAACAAATTATTTGACCAAACAAATATCTTAACAATAATTAAGAGATCTATTCTGATAATTTATCAATTGTTAATTACTCCAGTTACTACTTGAAAATGCAATTTAAAGTTAACAGTTGCGGACCAACAGGAAATAATGAGATAAAGTTGGTACTGGAAAAGGGAAACGATTTAGCAATAGAGAAGGAGATGCATTTTGCTTTTTGTGCAGATTTTGCTTCAAGAGCAACAGAACAAAAGAAAAAGGTTTTAGCCGACTGTAAAATATGTATTTTAGGAGATTCAAAAATACCGATGGAGATAACTCTTCACTCTTATCATCGAGAATGGTTACGCGTTAGCGCTTCAAAATAAAACAAACAAGAAAAGTAAAAGAAGTAAAAAGCTTGTAAGAGTAGTCTGCTTTCTTTGTTTGTTTATTCATTTTAGTCAACTATCCAAAAAACAGAACTTATTTCTTTGCTTTTTAAAATTCGAAGAAATGTAAAAGAAACCCTAGATCTTTATATTTTAACCTAGATTTTTACTAACTATCTTTTTAATGAGAACGAGAGCTTTATACATATTAATTATTATAAGCTACCCTTTATTGAGAATAAAAGTGTTTTCCCAAAGAACAAGAAAACTGGAATCATTTCATCTAGTTTCCTATTATTTTTCTCATGCTCTTAGAGATGAACCGATCGAATATTGTTTTTACAAGATTTTTCCATACGTGCTAGAATCACAGTTTATTACATTACGAAACTAATAAAAGTCGGATTAGCTTCGACTATAGAGTCCAGCATATTAGAGAAAAGGCGTGGATGGAAAGAGAGGATATTGCGATTCAATACTGCCAGATGTTACATGGTTATTCTAATTCGGTTCTTTTAACGAAAATTTGTCAGAGTTATTTATTCTAGAATTTGAATAATCGAGTATTTTAACAAATAAAAGATTTAATATATATTTAATATAATTAAATCTTCATATATAAGTTATAAAGGCGTTTGTTTTGTTCAGTTTTCTTTTTTAAATACATTTCTTTTCAGTATAGTTTCTCTTTGTCATGCAAAAAAATGTATTCTGATCAGGTAATATAACAAGATAAGAAAAAGAATGGCGTCAAAAATTTACTCAGTTTACGACATCATATCTAAAGCTTCACCGGGTGCGCCGTTAGCTTCATTCTCCCTAACAGCAGGTCTATTTGCTCCTCCTCTTAAAACTTCCGTTACGTCTCTTCTAAAGACACTTAGATTTTGGGTGAATCGGTCTCTATTCTTCACAAGCAAGTTTCTTTCGATTCCCTCCATGAGATTATCGAAGCACCTAGACATACTTACTCTCTTACTCTCAGGTTGTTGCTGCTCCATTTGTGTCCTCAAGTTTGTCCAACATTCGGGCTGCAGTAATACTAATACAAGAAGTGGCCTGCTCATACTCCATTGATTTCTACATTCTTCGTACATAACCATATGAAGAACAGTACTGAGCATATGTTGTAGAATCTGTGAATTGGAGTCGAGAGCAGCCATTAGGCGGGTATCGTTATCATCATTATTATTCGACCTCCGCCGAAATATTTTCTTGAGAACATAGGAAAGGATATTATCCAATATAGCGCAGCAGGATGTAGAGACAACAGTGTCCAATGAACTAAGTCCATCAGCGACTGTTGACAATATATACACGATAATCTGAGGTTCTAGTCGGCTTATAAAGTTTACATGATCCTGAGCTAGACATTCCATCAGAGCGTAATAAGCATGAGCAAGTTTTGTGTATTGCAACAACAATTCTCTGGAGAATGATGTTACCATTTGGATTATCATTTGCAAGGAATCTTCAAGAGCCGGATCACCGTAAAGAGCAAAGACACCAAAATTTACGTAATTTCCTGCTAAGGCTGCTTTAAGCATTTGCATACAAATTGAAACACCCTTTAATTTATGAGCATAAATGTCACTGGTATCTGTTGATCCACTTTCCAAGACCTTTCTTCCATAGAGTACTATCACCTAAAGTGAAAATTATTAGTGGAATTCGTTTTGAGTATATATTTTGACGGATAGTACTTACTTGACTGATCTCTCGAAACAATAGTATTCCATTAGGGCTAGAAACGTCAAAATGTAATCTTTGACTCCGATTTTGTGCCAACTCAGCGTATAATTTAAGAACCGGTGTACTCAAATTTGGATCGTCCCTCCACTTTTCTAAAACAGCTCTTAATAAAGGAGTAAATCTAGGCATTAGCCAATCAAGTAGCAGCATGAACGAACTCTTAGTATTAAACGCAAAAGCTATTCCTTTTATATCTCTGATAAGGCCTACTAAAGTTCTCTTAGTCATCTCCGGCGATTCGTTGGATGACATACTTCTTTCAACAGCTTCCAGAGCAACACCTACTGGTGTCATAAAAGATTCAAATTTTTCGTCATCATCAGCTAAGTCAAGTAGTAGTAAACGTCCTAAAGCAGTATATAGTGTGGACCTACATCTCATATGCCGAGGATCCACCGGTGGAGGAGGCGGTCTGAGCAAAGGAACAGTCTCTGGAGAGTGTCTTTCTAATAAATCTTTGACAGCGTCTAATTTCACCAATTTCCGAACTGAAGAATATCCTATAGAAAGGTCTGACAAAACTGACAGCGTTTTCACAACAACAGGTTGCTCTGGACTTGGCCATAACTTCAAGTTTGTTAACAGCTTATGTATTATAACCCCTAAAACAGCGGTTTCATCTCCTAATCCTAATGATTCTTGTAATCTTCTATACATTTTTGAAGTTCGAGGTACCTAAAAATAAAAAATAAATTATCACTCTAAAAGTAAACTAAAGAAAGCTGTTGAAGATTATATGTAAAAATTTTACATACCTGCTCTCCGACATACATTTTCCTAAACTGTTCAAAGAAAAATAGAATCGCTTTATCTACATGTTCTGACCTCTGCCCTAAAGCTAGCCTATTATCGACTTCGCTCACTAATTGTAGAACTTTAACGGTTAGTTCTCCATCTAGATCATCATGAGCATCAGTTGAAGAAAAACTAACCCGACCACCAATTACAGCACCTATCATGTAGATAAGCCAAGCAAGCTGCCTTCGTACGGTATCAGTATTGTTAGCAACGTACGCTTTACAGGCTTCATCCATAAGGTTTGATAAGAGTTGTGCAGTTCTTGTGTATTCACATCTGCCAATTGTTGCCAGTTGTTCTAACTGTTGAGTAAGCATTCCAGAATCTTTTAATAACTCTTCGTCGCCGTCATTAGCAGCATGCTGCAATCTCATCTGAATGAAAGCCCTTGCTACCTCTGGGGCGTACGTATCCAGCATGTGATTTTCAGCAGCTTTCACGTACGGTACGCTGGCCACCAATCGTTGCCACAGGGCTAAAACATAATGTACGCTATTGGGAGCCGCTGGCCAAACACTTCGTAGTGCCACTAAAGTAAAACCAGCTATATCGTCAAGAAGTTTTTGATAATCAGCTAATTTTACCAGTTCTTGTAACTGATAATTACTCTTTAATCTTGCTAACAGTCTACAAAATTCATGATAATTCAGTTCATTTTGAGCAAGAGTGTGAGAGCCTTGTTCCAGAATACTTCGAACGCATTCCACGATAGATGATAGGAAAATGGCCCTTTCGGAATTATTGAATAAACTTCTTCTGCACGAAGCCAATTGAACCAAACAACTGAGAGCATAGTGGCATTCGTTTGAACTTTGTAAAAAAACGTAAGAGTCAAGAAAGACTCTCACTGTTCCAGAATCTAGAAATAAAGGACGCCATGTTGTTGGAACCTGAACAGTTGCCAAATCGTCTGAAATTTCTTCAGACCCAGTGCCAATAAAATCAAAATTCAAGCATGCTAAAGCTAATTTTACAGCGGACGATGAAATATCCTGAAAAAATTCGTAAATTTATTCCAAGTGAAGAGATAAAATTTCAAGAAATTACGATAATTCACCAAACATTAGCACTCGATTATTCAAGATAAACTTAATGAGAATAGGTTTATCATTCGAATAATAGATTATTATAAGTTAATGCATTATGTCATCTCTATTCTCATTTCTGTGTGTGTTCAACTAAGCGAAAAAAATCTATATATAGGTATTATATAACAGCTGAAAATTATGAGAATCCCTTTTATTACCCTGACAACCGCATACATACAAACAAGTAACACTAACGATGGAATTATAAAGTCAATAAATAATATATAACAACATCTGCATATATTCATATAATTTATATATATATATATATATATATATATGTACTAATATATATAAATATACGAATATTATACAGTAGATGAAGTATATACTGTAGAGTAAATGATTGTACAAACATTTTTAATGTTTTCTTTCTCTCTATCAATTTAAATAAAATGAAGCAAATCTAAAATGTTTAATTTTAATTTATACTTTCAAAAGACTGAGCAATTTAATTTATAAACTTCGAGTGTTCTGATAATATGAACAGTACATGACCTTGTTCACTTATATTAACCTTGAAGTTGTACATGTTATATAATTTTGATTCGCTTGATTGTTAGTAGTGCAAATGCCTCTAACATTTAATAATGAGCAAAGAAATCAGTTTCAACGTACCTGGCTGCCAACGTTTATGCCTCTTCGAGAAGCTGTAACTGCAGCCCGGGCCACATCGTATAGGTGATGATCCCTAAAAGAACTGGCCGTTTTTCGGTGTCTAGCCCTCCCCGAATCCATTTCTGTACAGTTCATATCTGTGACAAGTTGAGTTAATAATTTTAGGGCCATTGGGGTATATGGTGTTTCCTCCATCATATTTGAAACATGGTTAACCACATCTCGAAGAACGTGTTTATCGTCTATTACGTCCCACCAACCCTGTTTCACAACCTTCGACCAAAGACTTACAACTGCAGAAAGTACCCAGGGTAACATATCAGTTCCCCTGTTTCTAACATATTGTAAGCAATAGGCTCTCAGATCGAGACGTTGCTGCGGTGATAACGCTGAAGTAATTTTCGCAAGTGTAGATGCTGCAATATTTTGGGCATAATGCGACCTTCCTCTATCCATGATTAATATGCATAGTTCCAAACAGTTCGGCGCATTCGCCAGTTCTACCAAAGTACTTTCTGCTGAAGCTCGTGTAGCCGGGTCAGTCGTCTCGTACATTTGACGACTCAGTTCCTCAACCCGTTCCGCTTCCTAGTGAAAATAACAATACGTTAAGAAAAAAAACACAAGATAATCTTTCGAGATTGCTAATATTTTTTTTAATCTACTGTTTGCATTCTATCATATTCAACATATTTTGAAAATCGAAAATATCTATGTATTCATCATATAACGGTTTTATGTCAGAAACATCATTGAATTAACCCCTCTGTAATTCGCACCTGTTCCATACTATTACTACTATACTGATTTCTTATTTAACGCTTAAGAGCAAAAAGCGAAAATATCTTTGCATAGAACATGTAAATTCTGAATCAAAATCTGATGTAACTATCTTAAATCTGAGACAATGAATATAATTGTTGTAAAAGGTACACGTGCGAATCTTGATAAATACCTCCGGAACTGATCAATGCGAGCTAAAACCGAATGAACTTTCTGAGACGACGCTATATTTGTGATCTAATCTAATATTTTGTCGTCAAGAAATAGTGCTTAATATTCAAACTAATCCCTCAAACTTCTCATAAACAAATTATTATACAGATGCCGTACACCTTAAATCGACGTATCTTAACTCTTTACAGCTATATAAATAAACAAGGCAGCAACCATATCATAGAGAAAATTCAGTTTAAGTACTTCAATTTATAGTTATTCTTAAACATTACGTAAAAGTAGATATTTTTAATCAAAATATTATGAAAATTCACCACCTGAGAGTCCGCCATTTTTTCTTTTCTTCTACCGGTTTTTCGTTAATTAGCCTGGATACGAATGGGAATTCGAAAATGGGTTCGTGTAAAATACATATGAACAAGAAACCATCTTAAATATTTTCATATAGTATAAGCTATAACAAAATTTGTTCACACAGTCTTACTCTTGATTTTTTCACACATACATAACAAAATTTTCCGAACTGTAATAAGCTTTACTTTTACAAAAAGTATGATTATAATTAGTTGTGATAGCATTTTAAGGTTTATTTCATACTTCCTATAAGTTACGCAACAAAGTTTTAGAATTATTAAAACCTTGTTCATCGCCGAGTTACATAATAGAACAATTGAAATATGATATCGAAAATATCTAAACTAAAATGATTAGAAATGTGTAGCTATCTAAAAAAATGTATAGTTTTAATTTATCAATCTGGATAACCAGTTAAAGGACAACGACAATTTAAGCATTAAAAAAAACAAAGAAAATGTTGTCTAACATGTTTTTTGCATGAACAACGTAATAACGATTATTTGTTAATTATTGTTAAAATAACTATTATATTATGTATCAGTGTTTCTAATAATCAGAAAAAAGACCATATATATATATATATATACTGTATATCTGGTGTTCTTGGTTCGTTTTAGAGAGTAATAAAATTTTTGGTCTGCCACGTGGCTATAATTTTATAGAGGATCGATAAGGGAAGTTTTAGAGGGTTAAGGGTATTGTGACGTATACGTATCTTTCCAAATATCAATTAGAATGCAATAATACGATAATGCAATCGTTACAAGTTTCAATTAATATCTGACGCCTTAAGAAGAAATAAGAGACTATTTAGCACGCCTTTCTTTGCAAGAAGAATGATAGAGTGAGCAACAGATGTGATGTAACAACAGCTATTATGATTATTGTTACAATAACTTTTTATAAATGCTTAAATCATCAAAAGATACAATAAGGGTGAAGCAGAATGTAAAGCCTCGTGTGTTTGAATACAATGATAAATAATAGATAGCTTAATGTAATAAATTTGATATATCAATAATTTGATGTAATAATTTTAAGTGAATTTGTATAAGAGATGACAACGAACATCGCTATTTTGAATACATAGGCTTAAGTTAACGGTTTGCAATTTTTGTCACATTTTTTACATGAGTAGTGTCTAAAATTTTACTTGGTAGAATTCTAGAACAATCTAAAAACAGTTCTAATTATCTTCGGAACCGGAAGTTTATAATTTAAACTTTAATGCAATTAATTAAGACATAAAACCATAACAGATCATTTAGTCAAGTTATTTATGATAAATAAGGATTTTTATATAGTAATTAGGCTGACATATAAATTACTTTAGTGAATATAGAAGTAAAGTTGACGCATTTCATTCTACGCGCCCTTTTAAAAGTTCATAAATAATTTGATTCTGCATTTTGGTATTAAAATAAATAAATAAAAAGTTCAAAAAACTTTAAAAGAAATTTTATTATGATGATTATATTTTTACGAATGAAGCTCTTTTACGGAAGTGAAAAAAATCACACTGCCCGAAAACTATAAAAACCGGGGAAAGACCGCCAACTGACCACTACTACTTTAATTGGCATTGCGTAGATATTAAAGAAGAGGTTTAGAAATTTTCAAGATGGCCACCCAGCCTACAGTACACAATGGAAATAAGAAGAATAAGAAGCAATTTACGGCATTTGGTGAATATTTACGAGAACATAGAGCAGATTTTAAAGGACAGGGACGAACAGATCAGGAAATGGTGAAAGCGTTGAAACCTCGTTTTGATTCATTACCCGAAACAGAAAAGAAACTATTGGAAGCTAAGGCAAAAAGACACAAGGAAAAATATCAAGAAGAGAACAGACAGGACAACCAGAGACAACATTATACTTCGGCGGCTAATCCCTACGAAAAAAAGCAACAAAAATTTGATTATGAAATCGGCAAGTTCGTAAGTCGCCGGTTCTTAACCAAAAGCGTCATTGCCGATATCAAATTTTATTTGATCGATTTTCAAATTTTATGTCACATGGATGAATTTCCATATTTTGATCAGAAAGGACATGTACCAGTTGAAGTTGGATTGATTGAAATGAGCTTGAGAGATGGTATTACGAAACAATATCATAGACTGTTGAAACCGTTTGATCGACTTGCCGATATTCCAAGCGGTGTTAAAGGTCCAGGCAAGTACATGTAAAATATAATATGAAATTCTTTATTACATTTTTTCTGTTTCTTAAATAGCCTTTGAGCACAGTGCAAGTACTCATAAGATTCCAGTTCCTAACGAACATGGCACCAACAACTTTTTTGGCGTATGGAATGAATTAGTCAATTTTATTAATCCAAATGGTCTCCTTGATGAGTATCCTCCATTATTTACTATTGCTACAAATGAATTTGTGGACCACCAAAGTGTTGAAGATTGTATTGACTTTTTGAGCAACAAAGCTAAACTATATTTGAAGTGTTCAAAAGTTAATCACCTTAGGAAAGTATACGAATTAGGTCGAATATTTAGAGAATTAATGGCCTTTGAGGATTTTGAAAACTCCGTTCCTTTACAGTCTTGTATTAAAAGACTACTCAGTTGTAAATATATTCACAAAGGTCAAACTTCATGTGAATTTCACTCCGAAAATGATCAACAAGTGTTACATTGTGCACTTGGTTCAGGTATGTTCGATATAATATAAATTGCATCCCAAGAGTTGTATTTATATTCACTTTTCACAGTAAGGAGATGGGCCTATGCCATGTTTGACACTCTATGCGCTAAGTACGGTTGTCCAATGAGCGCAAATCATCGCCCTTCGGCAGCTAGTATTGCTGGATCAGCAAAAGTTTTGAGAAATGGATTTGAAGACGAACCATTTTCCAACTATAGAGAAAGAAATAGACCAAACTCTACTCTCTCTGAACCCGATTTTCCAGGTCGGGAAGGCTTTACTTGCGATAGAGCGTTTAGAAAACGTAGAGAAGAAGAGCTCAAGTTTCGAGCATCTCGTGGCGTGTCTCTACCCGAAGCTGTTCAAACAGGACAATCGAACAATAGATCAAGCACAAAACCTCAATCAGATGGTGAATGGCAAACAGTTGGTAGGATGGGATCACTCTCAATTCGTGAGGATCATAGATATATAAAAGCTGAATCAAAAAGCCCTTGGAAAACGGAAGATGCTCTGACAGAGCGCCCTAGAGCCAGCAGAGGAAGAAACATTTTAGATTTACCAGAGGCTCAAGCTGTCAGAGTTGAAGATGATCATAAGGTTGAAAGAGGATTATCTGACGATCATTCATTGCGCACGCAGTCATCGTTTAATATAGCTGAAGAAGATTTCCCTTCTTTGCGATAAAAAAGTATGAATTTGTTGATAGCCACTTGAAGCTTATGTTATATATTCGAATGATTATTATGATTATGATTATTATGTTACTAAACGAATAAAAGTTAAAATATTTTTGTATATAGATAAAATTTTGGCTCTAAAAGTATTGAATTTTGTATTCAATGTAAAAAAAGTTGTTACAACAAAGTTCGAAATATAAATTCATTTTTTTATTAACAGTTTTCTCATTTGATTGTATACTTGGCATATTATTGACTTTTATTACAGGCACTAAAACACTAAACAGAAAGCGTACATTTAGCACTTGGTGAACATTTCATGAACAAAAGAAAACAATTTGCTATGTTACTAAACAAATTAAAGCTAGTTTGTACAGAGACCACGTAAGACATCAAGCGAAAAACCGGTCATGGGTACTTACCGAAAATTGAGAGTATACAGTACATACTTGCATAAATGTGCATATACATAGAATATACTGTATGTTTAAATATATATATATATTTATATATATATAAATGTTTGCTTTATGAGTCATGTATAAATGGATCTATTTACCTTCGATTCTGCACTACAGAATATCACGCGATAAAAAAAACGAATGCAAAATTGTCAACATTTTCTTTAATCTCGAAATAAGCAATACACAAATAAATAGAGAACCACGGGAATTTTATAAAAGGTATTCATTTCCCATTTCTATTCTTTCATCTTATAGGCATAGACGTCATATCCCTGTACTCACTGCCGGTCAATGTAAAAAACTCCTCCAATTTCCATTGCAGTGTTTCGAATGTGGGCCTTTGATTTTCATCTTTATTCCAACATTCGACCATAATCTCGTAAAGGGTTTGGGGACATCCGGGAGGACAAGGCATTCTATACCCGTTCTCTACTTGCTGAAGAACATCAGCGTTGGTCATACCCGGATACGGTATACGACCATAAGTAACAATTTCAGTTAAAAGAATACCAAAAGACCAAACGTCGGATTTGATAGTAAATCTGTTAAAATTGGCAGCTTCCGGCGCCGTCCATTTAATGGGAAATCTAGCACCCACTCTAGCTTCGTATTCATCCTCCTATAATTAATATTTATAATTTTAAATACATTGATAAGAGCTGGATTCACAAATAATCCTACCTTAATAACTCTGGCCAAGCCAAAATCAGCTATTTTTACCATGTTATTATCTCCTACTAAAATATTTCTAGCGGCCAAATCTCGATGTATGTAGTTTTGCGACTCTAGATAAGCCATTCCACTGGCAATTTGAGCAGCAATATCAATTAAAGTTGGCAGTTTCAAAATTCTTCCTTTATTTCCTATAAATATAAAAAGGAGAATGTTAGTAAGTAAAGGGGGATAGGATATCCTCCCTACCTTGGAGATATTCCAGCAAAGAGCCATTTTTCATTAATTCAGTAACAATAAAAATAGGCTCATCCTTTGTGCAGACAGCATATAATTGAATGAGATGTTTGTGGCGAAGTTTTTTCATGATATGGGCTTCTTCCAAGAAATCTTTTGGATCCATAGTTCCCGGTTTCAAGGTTTTAACTGCCACAGGAGTTGTATTATTCCATAATCCTTCGTAAACTTCGCCAAATTGTCCGTGGCCAATTTTTCTGATTCTTCTTAAATCGCTCTTGGGAATCTCCCACTGATCCTTGGTATTGTACGATAAACCAACCGTTTGTGGTTTCTCAACCTAGAAATTTATTTACAATTAGCTCTTTAGACGTGGAAATAGCGAGCTAAAGCCAAAAAAGTAATGAAAAGTTTTACAACTAATACTTACGCAAGTGCATGGATTCCTTAGATTGACACATAGACCATCGGAATCATTTGTATAATGACCTACTAGTTCTTGTAAGGTTGCAAATGACACCCTTTTAGCAATGAAAAATCCGCCATTATCCAATTGTCGAATCCTGTAATGTTTGACCGTATCACCATCTCTAACTGTAGTAAAAAAGTAAACTTCAGACCAATTTTTAACTTGCGAAATAAAGAATAAAGAGAAAATTGGTTTTTTTTTAAACTATTGAATACAAATACTATCTACGAAAGAAATGTTTGTTTTATAATAAAATCATTACCAATATTATTTGTAGAACAAATGAATAGTTAAATATACGATTATTCACCTGACAAGGAGTAGTCGTTTTTGCGACTTTCACTATCTCGAATAAGATAAGCGCCATGCTGATTTTCGGGAAGTAATAGTTTCTTCTCAGCTTCAATTCTCTTTATTTTACCGAAATACCACCTGTAAAAGAAATTTCATTAATAAATAGTATTAGTATAGAAATTAAACATAATTATGAAAAAAATTAATTACTACTCCAAAAGTTGCTGAGTAGTTTTGTCTGACAATACACATGCTGCAAAACTCTATATTCATATATTGTGTGTATAAATATATATAGAACGTCTTCGGCGATAGACTTTCACACGTACGCAAAATTTTCAAAGTGAAAAAAAAATAGTCAGTTGCCACTGGTAAGGTCGCAAATGTTTCATTTGTCCATATTCCCTTTATCTTTTTTTCTTATAAAAAGAAAAACTAGACTTTTTGGTTAAATATTACAGGCATATATTTATATAAATATATTGTATAAAGGTTAAAAATCCGGCAATATGGGTGCTGTATGTTCAAAATGTGTACAAAAGAAAGAGAGAAAAAGCAAAGATAGAAGAGAGAGAGAGAGAGAGAGAGAAAGATATGAAAAGTTTTGACTATAAATAAAATATGGCTCAGTTAACCCTTCAATGGTTCGTACTGAAAGCAAGAGCATATACTGTGTATATATATATATACTGTATCTCGTTTATGATAGAATATTTGTCTTGAAAAAATATATCACATGTTAAAATATTTTTTATTAGATCGTTTATATGCATGCTATTGTTACGTCACGAAAGCAACGTATAATTTTGATCCTTGATAAGGATAGACATCTTTATTGTCAAGGCACAGTAAAAAAATACCTAAATGTAAGAAGGGTATTTAAATATGAAAAAGAAGTAAAATGCTCAAAGAATAAAAAGCCATGACCGTCCTATGGCATTTTTCAAGCAAAAAATTTGATCATTCTTGTATGATACTTATATATACTTTATATTGACGAAAGCAATGTAAGAGAATTGAGGCAACTTCTAATATTTGAAAAACATGGTGCTTAAGCAGCCATATTATGATTCATATAAAAAGATTTAAAATACTTACGGTTCTGATTCTAAGCTTTTCAAAGCAGCAACATAATTAGACGGAATGTAACCCTCTTGTCGACTGGTCTTCGACCTCGCGTACCACCAATCACCTTGTAGATCGTTTAGTATTTCCAGGTGCTCTCCTTTCTTGAAGCTCAGATCTTCTGTGGTCCTTGCATCATAGTCGTATAATGCAATGAATATCTTTCGGTTTGAGTGGGTAGGTGTCATTGAGGCACCATCAGAGTCATTTAAATCCTGATTTGGCGGGAAACTGAAAGGTGGTGCGGGACTGAATTCACCAATTATGTGGCCTATCTGGGGTGGTGGTTGCCTGCTGTAACAATAAGAAAAAAATAGTTATGAATCATCCTTCTGTTCAATTCAATGACTCTCAATGCATTGGGTGTTTTTTTTAACCAGAAATCGTAAGAACATTTAAATAACAAAATGCAATCTATCCAACAGACATAAGCTTGGCATTTTGGATAGAAACTTTACGTCAGTATAAATAATCACGAAATCTATGTTTTTCAATTGATTGTCATATCAAACAACTCTTTTCTGTTGCAACTATTTACTTTATTTTAAGTATTAGGTATTTGTATAAAAAATTTATAAACTGCACAGAATATCTTAGTATAGTCAAGTGTCCGATGATGTTTGAAATATTTATGAACTTGCGTCGTATAACCTATATTATTTATGCTGTCTAGTTTTTTCATCAGTCAGAGTGTTTTTCATTGACTTTAGGAAATTAAGTGAACTGGGCACTCATATACTGATGAGATCATACTGATATCGCATTGCTTCCTATTTTCAATATGTATATAAAAAAATACATTATTATTATAATAGTATCCTATTAAGAGAGAGACAGGCGGACAGACATTCAGTGGGAAAGAGAGCGGACTAGACATATATGTATATATATATATGTTAGTATATAAAAAAAACATGTTTTTATTCTACAAATTATCACGTATTAGTAATTAAATTACTAATATTTTCCCTTTATGATATTATCAATTATTTGCTTTATACATCTTTAGTAATTCAAGATGAATAATCTGCTTCAAACATATTAATACTTCACTTAAATTTAACAAAGAACATTAATAAACAATGTACCTTTTAAGAAAAACAGCTCTTTGAATGTGTCTGTTTCAACGACTTTATTCAATTTGAAACAGAAGACAAACTAGATTATTTCTAATTAGGACCTAGAATATAAACACTTAGATAAAAACTTGTAGAAATTATAGTAATTTTCAAATGATAATAACTTTAACCGGCCTAGATATTTATAGGCATATGAATAAACATAAATTACTATGTTTAATGTGTAATTTTCTGTCTAAAATTTACAGTCAAATGAGCGATTATGACGGTATATGATAAAGAGTTTGACAACCTCTGACTAGGATTTGGTGGAGGCGCCGGTTCACTTCCAATACATCCTCCCATGATTTCTTGTAATACTGGTCGTCCTCGAAGAAATCTCTATCGATTTTTCTTTGATCTTAATCCTATGATCTTTTAAATCACATCTTTTTTACTAAAAAGTGTCTGCACTCGCCAGCTCCGCTTAACTTACTAATCATCCGCAAAAAATAGTTCTGTAAGAATGTTTATTCTACGCCAAAATGAGAAAACAATATAAAAAATACTTTATTTTTTCATATAATCTTCTTATCTCCCCAAAATTATTTAATAATTAGTATTTATATGACTAATTATTTAATCATAAATTTAGCGCGTAGTATTACAGTATGTAAAATAAATATAAAACCAATTCCACTATTCATCGCTCTAGGGCCAATCGACAACGGGTATACAATTTTGTTCCGAATCTAAACTGGTATAGAAGGAAATTATATAATACTTTAAAACCTAATAAACAGGCCTTTCCTTATCGCAAAAGTAAAAGAGTAAACTTTATAATGAATTTATCCAACATGCAAAGTCCGATAACTGAAGAATCAAATGATCTTTCAACAACAATTGATGATGTTGATACCATTGGTAATTTATTTGAAACAAAATACTATAGATAAAAGTTTTTCAATATTTATTATTTCATTATCAGAGATCGTTAATATTCTTCAAAATTGCGATAAAGAGATATTTTCAGGATGGAAAAAGTACAAATCAGTAAAAAAAATTTATTATCTACTTGCCAATTTCGATTTTCAATATAACTGTTTACTTTAAATAGGATTCTATATTTTCTCCAAATATAATTCAAACCATATCAAACTTATCGAAAGTAATATCCGATATTGTATCATCGGATGAGAAAATTTGTATTGTTATTAGTGGTTGTGGAACATCTGGAAGGATAAGTTTTCTAGTTTCCGTAATATTTTTATAAATTAATTAAAGAGCAACAAAGTTTTCTTTAAATTAACTTTTTATTTTGTAGAGATTTTTCCAAGATAGAATAAATAGAGATAATTTAAAAATTCGATATATTATTGCAGGAGGAGATTTGTAAGCAATTTTAAATAATTAAATATGATAAAGAGGTCTAAATAATCAATTTTAGAGCTTTATTTACACCTCAAGAAGCACCTGAAGATGATCCTAAAAAAGGAAAAAACTGTTTACTCAAGGTTTAGTTAATTAATCAAAAAAGTTTTAGTAATAAGAGACTAGCTGTTCTTTTAGGCAACAGAGGGTTTTAATAAAGTAATTTTTATTGGTGTAACGTGTGGATTATCAGCTCCTTTCGTCGCTGGACAATTAGACTATTGTTTGAATAATACGGATAAATTCATTCCAGTACTGATTGGCTTCAATCCCATAAATTTAGCCAGGTTCAAACGCGAAGTTTTGTATTAAATGATTGTATTTGAGAATTTCATATGAACTTTCAGGAATTCTAAGATAGAAGATTGGGATAAAACGTTCCTGAATGTTGCTGAAAGAATGGCAGAGTACAGCCAAAATGGGCTTGCATTTGTGGTTAATCCTATAGTTGGAGTGAGTCGTTTACTTCATTAAAATGTTATCATTTCTGATGGAAGTCTATTTAATCAGCCGGAACCGATAACAGGATCTAGTAGGATGAAAAGTGGAACTGCAACTATTATACTGCTGTACACAATACTTGCAACAGCTCTTAATGAGAATAATATCAATAGAGAAACTTTAATAGAAAAAGCCTTAAAAGAAGCTGAAAAAGCTAATGCGTTAGCCTATACCCAAAAAAGTCCAATAGCTAAGGGAATCAACATTTGTGGTGAGGCTTTAAATAGAGAAGGACGAATTTGCTACGTTGGAAAGGAATTAGTTGGTTTTATGGGCTTAATGGATGCTTCTGAATGCGTGCCAACTTTTGGGGCTGGTAAAAGAAATTGTTCTATATATAGACATTGATTTTATATAATTAAAATAGTAAATGATAATGTAACTTGTATATTTTAAAATTTTTCATTTTATCTTCTCCATAGACATTTATGATATATTTGGTTATGTGAAAAATGGATATAAATTCTTAAATAACGTCGAAGGAGATCTTTCCTTTAAGGTAAAAAGAATTTAATAAAATATTGAAGTAGGAATTTAATTAGTTTAATTTTTAACTTATATTGTATATATTATACTTTTAATTGAATCAACAGGCTGATATTTCATTGGAATATTTTATCCAGTTTGTTGCACCAAAATTAACAGCGTATGATGTTATTGTATTCCTGACTCCAGGTTAGTAATCAAGATGCGTTCGACGTTTTGATAAACTAAATGAATTTTACTACGAAATTCTATGTGATTTTCCTTAAAGATTAATGAACGATTCCAATTCAGCTTTTTTGACAGTATCTTGATCGGCTTAAGACACGTATTACCCTTCTCTCGATTCTTTTTCATCAGTGAAATTGAGGGTCATTTGTTTTATTTTTTTTGACAGATAAGATAACAGTAAATAGTTTAAATGGTTGCCCGGCAAAGAAAATTCTAATTACCTTTTCGAAGGATGACTTAGATATTAATTTATTAGAATTTTCTGTTGTAATTAACTTACCCATTGGAAATTTTGATAATGCTAATTCGTGGACCATGCAATTAGTCATAAAAGCGGTTTGTAATGCTCTCTCTACCGGGGCCCATATTATGAAAGGTAGCTTTTTTCGTCCTATAGAAAGGTCAATCAATTCAACATTTGAAGGGAGCATAATTGTTTTTTTTTCTCTTTTTTCAACAGGTAAGGTGTATAAGAACCGTATGATAGATGTGCGAGTTAGCAACAATAAGCTATTCTTTAGATCATTAAACTTAATAAAAGTTTGTATTATCAAATATATTAATGCATTGAATATTAAATGTTTTTAAACTATATTTCTGAATCATACACTTAGACATTTGGTAAATGTAATGATGAAATGGCGAAAGAATGTTTACTCAAAGCTATTTATGAAGTAAATAGTTTAAACCAAGAAATTTTATCATTGCCAATCAGTAGCCACATTGAAAAGGCAACTGCAATGGGTAAGGTAGTTCCAACAGCAATTATAATTTGCTTAACGAATTGTAGTTCAGAAGAAGCAAAAAGTATGTTACAAGAGACGCCAATGATTCGTCATGCTATTCGTTTACTATGTAATAAACGATAATTCATATTTGATTAGACCAAGTATCAATAAAATCCATTATTCATTTCCTTTTCAATTTTAACTAAGTCGTCTATCAAAATATCTGCCGTCTTAATATCCTATTTTCTCTTACCTTAAGGGATACATTTCCATAAATATATTGAAGATAAAGTAGACTTAAGAAGATGCGTTTTTTTGCATTTTATCAAAATAGAATAATGTATATCATTTTTTTTTTCAATAGGAAATTCAATCAAAGACAGAATGTAATAGTGTCTTAAATAGACGTCGACGAGTTTGTATAATTAGTTAGAGTATAGTTACTTTCCATTGATAAATCCTTCTCTGTAAACCAATATCACATAGAAAAAAATCTTTATAAATTGATATATATTTACCAGTTTTCTGAGTAGTCATTAAAGCAGCTATTATTGTAATAACAATAACAATGAATATTAAACCGCTGAACTCTTTGACTCTTGATAGAATTGACGGTGACCTTCTATGAGGAACTCCATCTTCTCCAAGGTAATATTTATCGGCTCTTAATGGAATGAAATGATAACACTGAAGAAGGAATTAATTTTTAGGAGTAGAACACCTGATTAAATATTAGTATTTAATAGAATAAAATATCTCTTATTTATATCGGTGATTTAGGAGAGAAGGCGTACGTTTAATGTTGAATATAAAGACAGATTCTAGTTAAGTTATGCAAAACTTCGAGTTATACCGCATTTCCTCTAGATTCTCCGAGGAATCAGTAATGAATAATTATGCAAGAGAATTATCCTTTAGTGTATTTTTTATTATGATTAGCAGTGTTGAATAAACTTTAACACTTCAATTAACAATTTTTTCCCTTCGAATTATTAATGTGTCTTTTTTTCTTATTGTTCAGCTTCTATATATACTTAGTATTGTGCCCTAAATTCTTTCATCACTATGAAAGTTACTTGTCTAAAGTACCTTTTTTAAAGGTGAAAACGAAAGGGTAAAATCCTACACTTAATTAGTAAAGTCAGTCAAAGCTCACCTTTGGTTGACAATTGGAATGATGATCACAAAGTGGGGTACATATATGATTATCGCAGTATTTTCTGTCTCCTTTCTGATCAACGCATACGTCAGAGCGGTTATTGTAATCTGTTATAAAGACACTTTGACGCCTTGATCCATCGGCAGTTTGTAATGTGGTAATCATAATTGTAGACAAGTGAAAATCAAAAATTCGTCAACTTTCTAAGTATCCACATAAGTAATAGGATTCGTGAATAAACAAATGAACAAAAGCTAATCGTTTCACGACGCAAATATGTCTTTGTTGTAGTGAACATAAAAGAAAAGGGCAGTAAACAAAATTTACGGATATATATGAATATATATATTTATATATCAATATATCCTATGGGGATAATCCCTTTCCAATGGACTTTGACCTCTTACACCTTTTTCTTTTTGAAAGATTACTAGAGGGTGAGAGAAATCTTTTTGTTCACTAATCCTTATCAGCTTGTTTGATATTTTTGCTCTTTTCCCTTTATTTGCTCATAAAGTCTTTTAAGTCGTCGAAGTACTATGATTCTTTCATGAAGATACAGAACGGATTGTTTTCCTTTAACTTTTCTCAAATACAAAATCCGGTTAATTTATAGCCATTCACTATTAAAGACACGTAATGGTTAGTCGATATCCGTGTTTTCTAACCGTAACGATCCTAGCATGCGTTCTGTAATTAAAGAAACCCACATAACCTTGCTTCAGCGCCCCCTGGGATTATGTCATAGTTAATTGTTAGATAAATTAACTACGAAGGAAATCTTATCCAACTTAGAAATAGATCTAATTAATTTAATTGTTTTTCAAGTTGTAAAGAGACGCTTCATATCAACAACAAAACAAAACAAAAAACGCCGCAACGTAAAATTGAGTTTTTTCGAGCTGACAGTTTCCTTCATCTGAAAGCAATAAATGTGCAGCAAATGTATATATATTTATATATATATATATATATGTTACTATTTACAGAGTCTTAACAATTAGCTTTATATAGATTTCATAGTTAATTATTTCCTCCGCCATCTTCCTTTTCTTCCTCTATGATCTTTTTCTTCCAGAATTTCATCTTTAAGCTTAGATAACATGTCTCTGCTGAGAACCCCTCTTTCGACAAGAATATCGGCCATCGATTGACCTTCGTTCAACTTAACAGATGGAGGTCCTTTACTGAAATTTACTAATCTTGGATCGTTCATTCTATTTGAAGATGCTCTTGAAAAAGCATCAGTTAATGAATTTTTAACATCTTCTTGATCTGTCATTATCGACTGTAATCTCTTTCGTCTCATTTTTTTACTTGTAACGTCAAAGTCTTCGTCTTCCAAAATGTTTTTGTTGAATGATGAACTCGTTTCCGCATTCTTTAATAACTGTGTTAAGTTTTTTACTCCAGTTTGTATGACATCGTCAAGTTCATTTTGCATATCTCTAATATGATCGGCATCGGGAAATAGATCTATAAAACGATAGGTTAACCATAAATATAAATCCAGGACGTCGTGAACGGCTTCCAAATGCATTAAATCGGTCACGTTTGTAGGCATTTGGAGAGGCCAGCCCAACTGCCTCCACACCCAATCATGAGTTAAAGGTTCGCCCCTGGAAATCTGTCTGGCTAATTTTAGAAACATTGTACAAACAAATGGCTGTTTTCGGTTTATAGGAGCACAACACAAGGCATATCTTGTCTTCAATGCCAACGGAACATGTTCAATCATATTGGCGAGAAATTTAAAATCCTCCAAGTTGCAGAGAAAATAATTACGATTATCTACTGTTGAAAGAGTCATAAAAATATCTATAAGATTTGTTAGCGTAGCTTTTGGTAAATGATAAGCAAATAGTTCTATCTGCTCAGCAGTTGGATGAAGACCTGCCAATTCGACTGGTTCGACAGTTGTCTGTTGAAAAGGTAATAATTATATATAGAAAAATGTACTTGAGCGGTTTTTACTCTATTACTTTTAATAATTTCCTGAGTAAGTGCAGGTCAGACCCTTTGAAGGTTGTTACTTCTCCATCTGGCCAAGTTGTATTAAATCTTCCGGCTCTTCCTGCGATTTGTAAAGCAGTATGAGGAGGAATAATATCCATTTCTTTTTCTCCTTTTTCATTTATAATTGGTTTCATAAGAGAATAAAACACAACTCTTTTTATATTCAAGTTTAAACCCATTCCCACTGCGTCTGTGGCTACCATTACTTTTGTCTTATCAGCTGGATCATTAAACATAGCAGCTTGAGCCAGTTTGGCTCTAGGAGGTAGCGTTCCATATATTACTGCACAGGATCGTCCTCGTTTTTCTAATTGTCTACTTGCATGGTAAATATCGGCTTTTGAGAAACAAACGATGCAATCACCGTCTCTCACGTTATCGAAATTTTCAACAGCTTTGTTTAAAACTGTTAGGCTTGTAAGCCTTTTATATTTTCGAACCTCCAGTTCATCACCTGTCTCCAGAGCTAATCTTTCAACTAGGTCAATGGCTGAACCTAAAAACAAACATCAAATTAGAATTATTTATTGAAACTGAGCTTGTTCTTCCTATACCTTCTCCACAAATATGCAATTCTTCGGTACAGAGGCCTAATAGTGCCCTTGTCCAAGCCCAACCTCTGCAAGAATCTCTCATCATTTGAATTTCATCGATAACTCCTACTTCGTAACTCGTTGATGTGCTAGACATTTCAACCGTACATGCTACATGATTGGAAGAAAGACCATCGGGATTAACCAAACGACGCTCTTCTCCGGTTATTAAGTCGCAAGGTGTCCCAGCTTGATTAGCTTTTTCAAATACCTCTGCAGCCAGTAAACGAAGGGGTCCACAATAGATACCTGTTTTTGCAGATAAAAATTTCTCGAGGGCGTGATAAGTTTTCCCGCTGTTTGTAGGTCCTGAGTGGTAGATTATTTTTCTTTGCAATCGTCTAGCATCTGGATACCAACTTGCAGGAGTACGAAGATCTGAAATTTTTCTTAAGTCTTCTAGGCAATCGATATGAGGAAACATGGTTTTAGCATGTCGTAAGAAATAAGGAAAGATATCGTCAACATGACCAGAACCTTGAAGGATGTCACTGAGAACAATATGAAGATCAACTGGTAGAGAAGAACTTTCTACGCAATATCTTCTGAAAGAAACGTAAGCTTGATGCAATAAATTAGAGTCTAGTCCTTGCTCTTTTGCTAGAGTTTTCAAATTTGGTCGCCTATAAAATTTATTAAGCAGTTTAATCAGTTCAGACTTTTCTAAAGTTCCACACAATTCTTCTCCTACGTTTTCGTATCGGTTTTCGAACGGTTTAATTGGTACTGGCTTGATTATTTCATTAATGTCTTTGCTGTCGAAATTCGATGAACTTCGATTTGCAGCAACAGTGGTTGATATAAGTCTTTGAGAAAGTGTATTTCGTCTTTGACCAAAATTACATGACTTTAATAATCTGATCACTGGAGTTCGCGCCGTCACTCTAGTGGGAATCATTTCAAATCTCTTTTTTAAGTTAAAACGTGCTTCACTACATGAACTTCGAAGGTTTTCTTGATCACCGGAAGTAGAATTATTTTCGTATAATTTTTGGATTGAATAGAATACATTTATAAACTTGGAAATGTTATTGCTATTTGTATTTAAAATATAATTATATTATATAAATTATAAATTAAAAAATACGAACATTTTAGCATCATCGTTCAAAGTTTGAAAGGACAAGTTGGTTTCATAAAGACAGTTTATCTATCACCTTTAGTAGTTTTTATAGTAATCAATGCACATATTCTAAATTAAAAGAATTCCATTGAATATTTAATTGAGAAATATGGAAGATTTTATTTAAGTTATCTTATCTAAATAAATCAACATATTCACAAATGACAAAGTTATATTTAAACATTTACAAATGATTTAATTCTATACATGTCATAAGTGACAAAAGCTTTGATAAGGCAAGAAAAACTTATGAGTACATTTTTCTCATTTTCGAATCGATATTTAAAGAGTTCGCTTTCACGATTATGCTTTTAAATAGTCATATTATATTTGGCAGAACTTAAGAACTAATACATTTTTAATTAGAATTTCTAAAAGATATCGTTTAAGTTGTTCTTTTTTAAGTATTTAATTCTTTTTTTACTATTAATTTAATTGAACTTCGCTTTCAAACGATGCTTAAATAGTATAGGTAATAAGGAGGCAATAGCAAACACGGCTAAAACCCCAATTGATTTATAGGAAATTGCATCTGACGAAGAAGTTAACTTGTGTAACATTGTTCCAGCGTGAATGGCGACAAAAGAGGGAGGTGCAACACCTGTTTAAAAAAATAACGAATAAAATGACATAAAAAGACAATATTTCGTATTTTAGACTAGTTACCGATGAAGGTACCAATGAAAAATATTGATAATGGAACGTTGAGAACGGGTGATGTTATATTAATAAACCAATTAGGTAGGAATGGAGTAATTCTTAAGAAAATAATATAGTGAAGTAAATTATCTTTCTGACGTTCAATCTATAAAGGAAAAATAAAGGGTATATATATTAAAAACTTAGATAGTAAATATTTCAGAATTCTTATAAAATACGACTTATCAATAATCACTTAAATATAGAGATATAATATAGGTTAACATTCCGGTTTACAAATACTACTAGGTGCCTTTGCCCTTGGTAAAAATCAGTTGAAAAAAAGAATAATAAAATACGAAAATGTCAAAAGTTTTTGGTTGTAAGGTTCTCCTAGGCACTGTTTTTTATTTCAAGTCAAGCACAGATGTTAAATTGATTCCATTCCAAATGAAAAATATTATGATAAAAGAGTATTTATAAAAATACTAAAATGCATTTTCTGTTTTTTTTACCTCATTGAATTTCAACATTTACGCTTTTTTTTTGTTAGAATTTATTTTGTAATTCAATACTTACAATGCGCGACCATTCTGCAGTTTTTTGAGGAAGATACTTGTTGACTAGACGCTTCCCAACCAGATATGACAGCAAGTAGCAAAATGAAGCACCTATCCCCGAGCACTGTTTAGATGTATTCATTGTTAATTTTCTAATTTAGCTGCTTAAATTAAAACTGTATACATACTAAGCATACTAAGAAGAGTGCCAATGGAAAAGGGAATAAAAATCCAGACAGGATACTTAAGAATATCGACCCAGGGATAGCAAAAGACTGTAAACTGAAAAACAAAATTCTGTGTTTTAGATTTTTTTTGATTATTCACTTTTCTTTACATTCTACGTCCAGTAAACAACGATACTCGCAGTTTGACCTTCTAACATATTACGCAAATTTTAGAGTATAGGGTATAGAGAAGTTCTAAATTATACACAAATCAGTATGGCTACATAAGCTGTTCAAAAATTGAATATATTAGTATTATACTTACAATATATAAGAAATAAAATATCCAAATAAAACTTGATAGTAGTATCTCCTTTTATAACGAGATAAAATTTTTCCTAATTCTTTTGCGTCGTCTATATTGGTAGGCACTCTGATGTATTTCTTTTCATTCCTAAAAATATTTACATCTTAAGTAGATCAATTAACTAAAATGATAATTAACTAACTCCTCCAAGTTGGGCGAATACATATAAACGAGGAATAGTGCAAATGCAGATGCTACGAATATACAAGCAATAATCATGACAGCGCCCGTGCTACTTTCTGCCGAAGAAGATTTATCTTTAACATTTCGATTGCTCTCATCTTTGTTCTCTTGAGCTTGATTAATATCTACAAATAATAAACTACATTAGACTTCACTATATTAATGTCGTTGTTTTATTTCTCACCATGATTCTTCTTTTCGATGTTGCGTGGTGTAGCCATTGTTAATATTTACTTTTATCCAAGACGGGACATTAATCCGATTTCAGTGACTAGTAAGTGAATAAAGAACGCAGCATGTATCCCCTGAGAAATGGTAGTTTTTTTTGCCTGGGTGGAGTTCCATACCAAAAATGTAAGTAATATTTCGTGCCGGATTACAACTTTCTAGATCATAAATTAGCAGACGAGTTTTCAACTGACGCAATTTTGTATAATCTCGCATTTTCTGTGAACATTGTTAGTTGTTAATTGTTTCATTGGATTTACTAAATTATTACCTAGCATGTCTGCTAATTCTGAAATCGCCGCTAAAGCTAAAACGGTTTGTACCAAAATTTGAAATCCACGTGTTATCACTGACACGAATACAACAATATTCTTTATAGGAAGATGTAGAAGTCGTAGAAGCTGTTGTAGAAGATAAAATAACTGAGCAAGATATTGAAGAAGCTGTTACATTCTGGACAACTGATTGCCCCCCAATCGAATTAGAGAGGCAGCACCCTATGTTAGTTCTTAATTTAAAAGCTAAATGCCATTTAATGTTTGTGTTCTGTTTTAAATGCAGATTGCCTCAAGACGATAAGAAAAACATTCTTATTACAAGCGCCTTACCTTATGTTAATAATGTTCCTCATTTAGGAAATATCATTGGTTGTGTTCTAAGTGGTGATGTCTATTCAAGGCAAGCTTCGCGAAATACAACATAATTTTATCACTTTTTTTTCCATTTTAAACCAATTATCTTTGTATAAACAAATAAAAAACTCACTTTATAGATTTTGCCGTCTACGCACATATAATTCATTATACATATGTGGAACTGATGAGTATGGAACAGCATCGGAAACAAAGGCACTAAAAGAAAAAATAACGGAAAAAGAGTTGTGTGACAAATATAACGCTCTACATAGAGAAATCTATGAATGGTTTAATATTGACTTCGATAGCTTTGGCAGAACAACAACTGAAAAGCATACTGAGTAATTACTTTGTTATTATAAGTATAAACTGTCTTTAAAAGAGAGCTTCCTCCTTTCTTAGAATTGCTCAAAGCATATTTTGGGAAATCTACAATAATAAAAATGTTATTAAAGATGAAATGGAACAACTATTCTGTCCTACCTGTTCGAAGTTTTTGGCGGATCGATTTGTTACTGGAGGTTGTCCTTTTTGCAAATATGAAGATGCTAGAGGCGATCAGGTAAGTTTTTGGAAGCCAGAGTATAGAGTCTTTAACATACTTTATAATTCTTTAGTGTGACGGATGTGGCAAGTTGATGAACGCGGTTGAACTCATCAATCCAAAATGCTCTATTTGTAAAGAAGCTCCTCAAGTGAAGAAGACAAATCATCTTTTCCTCGATCTACCAAAAGTACTATAATTTTAAATAAAAAGAACAATAATGTCAATATTTTTGTTGACAGCTTCAAGATGAAGTAGATAAATACTTGGATGAATCATTTGATAAAGGAATATGGACGTCTAATGCTCAAAGTATATCAAAAATTTGGATAAGAGATGGTCTAAAACCAAGATGTATATCCAGAGATCTTAAATGGGGAGTAACTGTACCATTAGAAGGATACCGAGACAAGGTGGATTTTCGAAATTTATCAATCTATTTTTCTGATTGTTTTTTTTTCAAAAGGTATTCTATGTATGGTATGATGCCCCAATTGGCTATATTTCTATTACTGCTAATTATACTGATGAATGGGAAAAATGGTGGAAAAATCCTGAAAAAGTTCAATATGTTGAGTTTATGGCCAAGGATAATGTACCTTTTCATTCCATTATTTTCCCTTGCACTCTGTTAGCTACAGAAAAATCTTGGACAAAAGTTAATAGCTTGAGTGCCACTGGTACTACTTACTTCTTGGTTTTTAATTAATTGATTATTAATAATATTTGTATTTCTTTTCTAACAGAATATCTAAATTATGAGGGTAAAAAGTTCTCAAAAAGTCGTGGCGTTGGTGTATTTGGTGATAATGCCAAAGAAACCGGCGTTCCAGCTGATATATTTAGGTTATTTGTTTGTTCATACCTTTCATTTCTATTGTTTAACATTTTATATATTTGTACTCGCAGATTCTATTTATTGTATATTCGACCTGAGGGACGAGATACTGATTTTCAATGGAAAGATTTTCAAGAAAAAAATAACAACGAACTATTAAATAATTTAGGAAATTTCGTTAATCGGTAATAATATCTGATATGTAATTTTTAGATTATTTATCACTTGTAATTTTGCTATTATTAGCGCGCTGAATTTTGTAAACAAGTACTTTGAAAACAAAATTCCGGAAATTATTCTTAATGAGGAAGATAAAAATTTACTTGCTGAAATCAACAAATCGATTCACAACTATATAGACTCTCTCGAACATCTCCGGTTTGTCAATATTTTTATAATACGAAGTTCATAAGCTCATCTATAATTTTTTACTTAGAATTCGCGATGGAATCAAATGGATTTTTAATATCAGCCGTTTAGGTAATCAGTACATTCAATCAAATGAACCCTGGAAGAAATTAAAACAATCAGACGATGAAAAGTAAATTTACATCTAATATCTATACTTCCGATTTGTTAATCTAATGAAATTACGTTTTTGTTTTTGTAGGAAAAGAGCCGCCAGTGTTGTTGGCTTAGCAGCTAATATTGTTTATCAGCTAGCCACTTTACTCCATCCATATATGCCTTCCATAAGCAAAACTATTCAGGTTTATATTTCCCCAAAAATCATATCTTTTAAACTTTTGTATAACTTTAAAAAACTTTTTAGACACAACTAAATGCCTCTGATAGTATTCTGACAATTAGCGAAAAGATAAGATGTAACCTTAAAGAAGGACATGTTATTGGAAAGGTAAATTGGTTAAATTTAATTTCTTATTAAACGAAAGAATATTTGATTTTGTTATTATCTTATTTATAGGCAAGTCCATTATTTAGAAAAATTGAAGATGCCGAAGCTGAAGAATGGAGAAATAAGTAAAGTTTTATTTTAGCTGTTGATAATAAATTATAACCAAGGATGTACATTTTAACATTAGATATGGTGGCGAAAAAGAAACAATTGACATTAGTAATATTAATGTAGAACAACTAAAAGAAGATATAACAAAACAAGTAAATATTCTGATTGATTTAAATACAAAGCTGAATTTATTTATTTTCTTAGGGAAATGTCGTACGAGAGTTAAAAACCGCTAAAGCTGAAAAAGCTAAAATTGACGCCGAAGTACAACTTCTTAAAGACCTTAAAAAGAAGTTGACTCTTGCAACAGGAGAAGAATTACAAGATAAAGGAAAACAGAAGAAAAGTAAATCTAAAAAGAAGTAATTTTTTGATTGTGTTTATGTTTGTTGTGACCTTTAAATATATGAAATATACAAACATCTAAACTAGTATTCAAACAATATTCAAGTAAATAGTAGATATCTGTAGATAAGAGAAGAAAGTATATTTTCAGAAGCTTTCCAACACTGCACCGAAGTGCAGGTAGGTGTCACTACTTAACCTCGAGAATTTTTTTCAATATTTTTTAATATTTTTGTGGCAAATAATTTACAAATTACAAGGATTTTAATGGATTATAACGACCAGATTAAATTTATAAAGCATTATTCAAAGGTTCAGGAAGAAAATTTAGATGAATTAAAATCAATATACGAAACGGTTCGGTTGAAATTTTTTCCTAAATTTATAAAGTTAGTTATATTATTATTTCCCATAGAATTTACACTAAAAAAGTTTCATTTCCTCTTCTTTAGGGATAAAAATCCGCCAAATAAAAAGTATAAATGATAAAGAACAATATATACAATAAGATATAATATTTATATTTTTCAGCCCTTTTGTAGATTTCATTATAAATATCCTTAAAAGATATGATTTTAATTCTAATCGGAAAATTTTAACTCTTAGTCAATTGATTAATTTTGGTGAAAAAATAAATAAAAAACTATCTAATGAATATTCAAATACGAATGGAATTTTTAACGATTTAGTTAAAAAGATGAATAATTGGGTATGAATATATTTTTCTATTCTATTAGAATTGTTCTATGAGAAATAAACAATGTTTTTAATAGACCTTAATCGGAATCCTTCGAATGGATCCAAATGGTAGAATACAATTGATTGATCAAACCGGAAAAATTAATGTTATCATTACGTCAATGATAAGCTCAAGAAAAATGAAATCTCATGAGCTTAACGATTGTCTCAATCACTTGGTAATTATTAACTCTTTCTATTGTTTCAAAGAAATTGAAATGTATTCTGAGCAAATGAACGAATTGAATTATAGTCTGATATTTTCAAGAGAAGATATTATATTCTTAAATGATAATGTCAACAAAATAGATTTTTCTGGAAAGAATTTGATTAATTTAATGTTTACTGTATTAAGAAAATCAGTTGTTACACCAGAAATAAAGAACATTGAAATACAAGTATTGTTCCATAATACTGAATGCTTATGTAAGAAGAGATCAGATCTTAAAGATTGCAGAATTATCGTGGAAAGTCGAACGTATTCCTCATATCTTGATATGAATCAAATTTATGAATTATCAATAGAAAAAGACAATATTACAGTTGCTTGTGATGTAATCGGTCTACAGTTTCGACACATCTTATTTATAAAATCAAAGAAAGGATTAAATATTGAATGCATAGGAGAAACAGAAAATGCTATAAATTCTATTAAATACATACAAACTGAACATTCGAAAAAATGCACTTGGTGAATATTAATATTCACTTTTAAAATAATAAATATGTTAAATCATTTTATTTCTATTTATAGTTCATATTGTTCCTCAAGTTCCATCAGCCTAAGAGGTATAATAACAGCTAAAACGTCAAAAATTGAAGGTTATCTCTAATATTTGTTTCATTACATACTGTAGCAAATTGTAAAGTAACGTTGTTATTTTCAGTTAATACTTCGAATAGATTATACTTTCTCGAACTAATTGATGAAGAGAACTTGGATACTGTTAACGTTCAGTATCCATCTTGTCTGCAACAAAATTTTGTTGTGGGTAGTTGCATTGATTTATATAATTTGGAATATGTTAGAAATTCAAACAGAGTTACTATTCAATTTACATTGGATTCGTTTAATTATATTAGATATTATGTTATTGACGTCAAGTCTCATAAAAATAATATTTTAAAGAATTTAGAAACTAGCTATCTCTGTAAAAGAGTTCAATTTCCCGAAGATCGTTCTGTCTTTAAGTTTATTGGTTGCATCCAAAAGGTGGATAAAATTCGTCTGATTTTTAATTCGGAACAAGTAGACGTTCAAGTTTACCTCAGGTATTTTATTATCTTTGGAGTAAGTATGGATTCTTTTATTATAGCGTTTAAAAATTTTCAAAATCTTCCCAAGACTACTTGTTCAAGATGGTACAGCTTACTCTTATATTGATATTAACGATGCGGATCATTTACAACTAATACTCAAATTAAGAGACACTAAATGGAAAATGCTATTGGAAAAATTGAAATATTACAAGATAATAGAATACAACGGTTCTATGGATAGTTCAACTGAGGCCTTAGCATTTTTATCGCTTTCTGCCTTTGCAATGGAAGGCCAACTGTTTACCTTTATTGCAAAGGTTAGCCAGAGCCATAAAAATTCACTTCTCTCTCTAAAGGATGGCACTCCTATTTATCTAATAGGTAAGATGCTGTTCTTATACTAATGATTCTAAAACAATGAATTCAACCCATACAGATTTACCAAAAGTTGGCTTTAACGATAAAAGTCAAATGTTTACTTTACCAAATTTATCATTAAAATGCCTAAAACTATATAATTGTGATGATGAATAAAGAAGAAAATTCAAATACTGCTCAATTTTTGTGCCTATTTTATTCATTTTGGTATTAGCCTTTTCTACAATCGGACACTAATAATTCAACCTATTATTCGAAATTTAGGTTGATGAAATATAGCATTCGTTACGGCCAACAACTTTTAGACAGAAAACTCTGACTTTCCTTCCAGATCATTTTGATATTGTTTCAAAGCTGGGTCAACTTCAGATTCTATAAACTTTACTACTTGCTCTGGAGCCCGTCCAATAAAGGTAGCTGGGTCAAGTAAACTGTCTAATTCGTCATGAATGGGCTTGAAATAACTTGAGGCCTTAATACGCTGTGATAGAGAAGAGGATGGTATTTAATTGATAGTTATAAAAAATAAAACATTCTCTTTGAATAAAAAACCTTCAACAATATGTACCTCAATTAAATCGTTTCTACCTCCTTCAACTTTAACGACATAAGCAGCTTCCTGACTAAGCTTTCTTATTTCTTCATGACATTCCTGTCTATCTTGTTGTTTTTTGACCATGGCCATTATTATATTTTCAGTAGCCATGAATGGTAATTCTTCGCTAATTCGTTGCATTATTCTTTTCGGATAAACAACTAATCCTTCGCTTATATTTTGTATAATTTCTAGTAGAATATCAGAAATTAAAAAAGCTTCTGGTAGTGAAAGTCGTCTGTTTGCGCTATCATCGAGAGATCTTTCCATCCATTGGACAGAATGAGTGTGCATAGTATCTTGCACCAGACTGCATAAATGTCTAGCCAAACTACAACATCTCTCCGAGCGCATTGGATTTCTTTTGTACGCCATTGCTGATGATCCTATTTGATCTTTATCGAAGGGTTCTTCCATTTCTTTCATATTCGCAAGTATTCTAATGTCTGTGCACATCTGCAAAGCAAAAGAGAAATTACCATAAATATACTAAAAGTTAATATTTGGAAACTTTATAGACGCTTGTATTGGATACACGAAAAACGATATAAATCTGTTCTCACCTTATGAACTGAAGAGCCAAAAGAAGCTAGAGCATTAACGCAGTCGACATCAACTTTTCTTGTATAAGTTTGGCCGCATATTATGAAAGCACTAAGTAAAAAGGAATTATAAAAGTAATTATTCAATGCTTATTTCAGGCAATTTTACCTTTTCATACCAGCTTTCTTTGTCACTATTTCATCAATATTATCAACTTTATCATGATCGCCATCAAACAATTCCAAAAAACTTGCCTGGGTACCAGTGGTACCTTTCACTCCTCGAAATTTTATATCATCTCTGACCCTCTGGAAATTGCGGAGATCCATTAAAAAGTCCTGAAGCCAAAGACAACATCTTTTCCCAACAGTTGTAAGTTGAGCCGGTCTAATGAAAATAGTATACTTTTTAAGTTTTGCGCTATATTTATCAAGATTTTAATTACTGTAAATGTGTCAATCCCAATGTTGGTTGGTCTTTATATTTTATAGCAGTATTTTTCAATCTATCAATGCATCTGGCCAACTTTGGTAATAGAATATTTATTCCATCCCTCATAAGGATTAAGTCCGTATTGTCTCCAACATACGCGGACGTTGCGCCTGTGAAAATTTACACCAACAATCAAATTTATAGCACATGTTTTAAATTGTAAAAAGAGGATATTGTACCTAAGTGAATAATAGCGCCTGCTTTCGGGCATGCTGCTGCATAAGTATGAACATGGGCCATTACATCGTGTTTTCTTTTTCTTTCCTCTGACTTTGCCATTTCAAAGTCAATATTTTTCAAGTTGTCCTTTAGCTCTTGTATTTCATCATCGGTAATTCCTCTCATCTTACCGTCAACGTTAATTTTTAGACCAACCTCCTGATGATGAAACAAAGAAGATAATTTGGAAAATTAAAGTTTTAACTCAGACCTTCTCTGCTTCGGCAAGCCATAACCATAGCCTTCGCCAAGTGATAAATTTTTTCAATTCACCAAAATTTTCTGACATCTCCCTACTAGCATATCTGGCCGTTAACGGTGATCTATATTTACGATATGTCTCGTATTTAGCAAGCTCTTCTTCAGTTAGCTCCATGTTTCAAGAAATCTTACATGTGTATCAGTCACGTTTATATGAGCCGAGAATAAAAACTGGTAAGATGTTCGGATTGTTAGAGAAAATTTCTCGAAAAATTATTTTATGATAATAAAATAAGTTTTTATGCTTTTTTAATGTATTAATTTCGTATGGAAAACGCTAAGCTTCTTATAATTTTTGAACTTGTATAAATATTAGAATATCTGTTATTTTTATTATTTTAGTATTGAAAACTTTTCCTTTGATTTATTTTATAGCACTTAAAAAGTTCACTAAAAATGTATCAACAAGTTTACGTCTTCTAGCACATCTAAGGAAATTGTGGTTCATATTAGAATTTCCTACTATTTTGTATGATTAAAATATAGATATAAAAAGTGTTTTCAATTGCAATATTTTTTATTCTTAATGTTGCAGAAAAGTCAAGTGTCAGAAATTTCTGGGTCAGGTACCACTCTACGTTCCTGTCGTTTCTCTAAAAATTTCACGAAAATTGGTATAAAAAATTAGGAATGTTTTACTTATGTTTTATTTGAATAATATTGGATTCGCGTTATTCTCTTTATTCGATTGAGCATCAATGGAAGATTTATAGTTTTCCACTTTCTAATATGTCGTAAATTATGGAAACACCTACGAAAAATAGTGTCAGGACTCCAAAGAAAAATCCTAGATTTCGAAATGTAGATGCTGATGAAGCTTGGGTAGAATCTTCGCCAAGTTCCGATTCAAAGATAATTCCTGTAGAAATCGCCCAACCAGAAACTGCTGAGAAAACTCCTGAAGTACTAGAAACATCTCCCACTACTGGAAAGTCAAAAACTCCTCAAAATGATCCGTCCTTTGAAAATATCATTAGTCAGTTATCCTCCTTCAGTAAGGAATCTCAGGGCCTGAAAACACCTGTTCGACGGGTAAAAACACCCAGAAAAAGTGGATCTAAATCCAGAACACCAGTAAGAAGCAATAGGAAATCCGGTCTAAAAACACCCAAATCCTCGTTGAAAAAATCAGCTTTCTACTCATCGCCAAGAAAAACGGTTAAGAGAAAGTTGAATTTGTCGCCTGATGAACAACCTACTCCTAAAAAAATAATGGTTACTCCACCAGAACCAGGTCTCAGTCAAACTCAAAGAGAAAATTCCGAAGATAAGTTATTAATAGAAAAAGGAAAGGAAATGGCAGAAAGTATAATCAACGATCAGGATGACGAGGACGATGACGATGAATGGGAAGAGGAGGACGAGGAAGATGAAGATGACGAGAAATTAGATAGCTATGATGAGGAATTTGGAGAAGTTGATATGTCAATAATCGAAAACATAACAAAAGTTTTAGAGAATACTCAAAAGAAGTATAATATATCGAAAAGGAATGCAACTACAATTGTACATGTAAGTAATAGACTTTTTAGCCGTTTTCATAATCGAATTGAAGAAAGAAACTAATATTCAACCTATTTATTTTAGGAACTAGAGAAGACTAACATTCTGGAAAATGTCAGAGAGGCCATTTCGAAACAGGTTAATTGTATTCAAGAGGAGGAAGAAAATATAGATTCTCTCTATGATGCTCTGTTTGAACCTAAGATGACTAGAGCCAAGTTTAAATATAGGGCTCAAGATGGTCAGCAGCCGGTAGGACAATCATCAGATTGGATCAACGAAGAAATTGAAAAATCTCTGTTAGATTATGCCCTTGACGATGACGATGACAACGACCAAGTTTACGAGCCTAGTCATGATGTGAGACAATATGTTGCTTTTTGCTTTTTGTATCTAATAATAATATTCTTACTAGTCGGAAGAAGAAAGTGATATAGATAGTAAAAGTTCGGTAGCGGATTTAGGATCACCTCAAAATCAAGTCATGACTCCTAAGACAGCGACTGAAGATTCTCAGGTAAGATTTTGTAGTCTTTTTTTATAATTCATTTTTAAATTTTTTAATAACCACTTAAGAATATGGACATGAATGTTACTCGTTTGTCGAAAGTGAGTCGAAGATGTGTACAGATAGTAAATTACACTGTTAAAAAGCTAATATTATATAATAATAATGTTATATATTATATTCTTTGTTAAGATGTTAACTGTTCTTATATTTTCAAACTGTTGTAAATTCTTCTGAATTTGAAGTATAAAATAACTCTTGTTTCCTTTTCTCATAAATTTTAGGAAGTTCCCACAATAGCCAAACGTACAAGATCTAAGCATCCTCTAACAGAATGCGATTTAAGTGAAATAGAAGCTTCTTTCCTAGCACCAGATGTTACTCCAGATTTATATGATTTATCTACGGATAGTAATCCAGATTGGTTAAGATTTTTGACAAATTTAAGTAAGGACCCTAAAATGGATGTAACGAATGAGGAGGAGGACGATGAAGAATTTAATGTAATGAAAGAAATGGATGAATCAGATGATGAAACTGAAGAATTTCGTAGTGACAAAGCAGTGAAAATTCCAAGTTCGTTTTTACAATAAGTAATAAGTCGAAATATTTCTTTCTTCAATTTTTCTCAACAGAACAAGAGGTTTCGGACTTGATTGATGAAATATTTAGTGATTTAGTATCGGAGGATGGACAAGATATTGAAAAAACTTTTACCGATCAAAATGAAGAGGTTAAAGCTGAACAAGAAGTGAATACGATCGAAACGAAAAAAGAATTTGATTTAACACGGTAACTATTGAACTAGTTTATTAGAAAACCGTTTTTTACCTTTTATTACGTTCAAACAGCCTAAATAAGAATATTGGAAGTATGCGTTTGAAGGATTTAATTGAGATAAAAAATAATTTGGGTAAAGATTTAATCGCCGAAGATAAAGAAAAGAGTAAGCCAGTGAAACCAAGACTAGTATTCTCTCTAACACACCATCAAGGTCGGCAGCTTATGCATCAGATGCAAAAGGTATACTAAAACTCTTTAAATATCTATTAGCTATTTGCTATAAGAATATTTTTTTCAGCATGTTCAAATTTTAGCTCAGACTTTTGTCTTAACGGCTGGATCGAAACATTTTGAATCAAGTGCAATTAATTCTAAGACATTTTTAGTAATTATGAACTTATTCAATTAATTTATAACTTCAATGAAGTAATTTATTTGATTTTTTTTATTAGCTCGAATTACAATTACTTGGTGAACAATTTATGCAAATTAACAATATTTCGGCTTCATTTTTTATACCTGGGAATTTAAAAGCAGCATTAGAAGTTTGTGAAGTTGATACTTATTTTCCTTGCGAGAATGAATTGAAGAGATATAAACAAGTTTTATCTGCAAGACAAAAGGACATTTTTATGAATAGTCAAGCCTTTGTGCATTTGGATTTGTTACCATCGAAAAATTATGAAATACCTGAAACGAGCGGAAAGAATACAAGTACGAAAAAGAAACATTTTACTCATGCTGAAGATCAGTTAGTACATTTTTGTCTTTGGGTTTTGTTTTTTTATTGTATTATACTTTTTTTTTATTTTAGTTTATTAGCAATAGCCATATCAGAAATGAGTAATTTTCATAATGAACAATTGGAAAGCTGCAAATTAATATCGGACTATCTCATGCCAACTATTAGTGGGGAATGTATTAGGAATCATATAGAAGTCCTTAATTCTGAAAGGACAACGCGAGTGAATAATGCTGTAGCTCTATATATAAAGGAAGGAAGACTGCCAGACTATCCAAGACCAACGGAACTAGCCAGCATTGTTGCCCCGATTAATAATTCTGCGATAAGCACAATAGGTCCTAAATGGTGTTTGGTAAATAGACAATTATATTTATATTCCTCCATATTAGTCTCTTATACATTTTTTTTCAATAGAAATATAAACAAATGAAAAGTAAAAGAGATGTGAAAGAATCTTCAGATAAAAAGGATACAAAACTTAAACTCCAACCAAAAATTCAACAACCGGTGTAAGTTATTTAGAATTGAAATGATGAATAATTCGTTTTTTCTTCTTTTATACTTGATTGACAGTAACATTAAGTTTTTTGTAGAGTTATACTCATTCAAGAAAAACAGAAACCTCCTGAAACTACTTATCTAATTCCTTTCGGTACTGCTCAAAATAGGCCTCCTTCTTCACAAATTATATTACTTGACTCACCGGCTAAAACTGCAATTACAAATATGGATAAGGGCTGTGATCTTTTACAAGCATGTGCTGCCGCCTGTGGTATTGAAGGAGAGGTTAAAGTAAAATTGGAAGATCCTGTTAATGATTCTAAAGATAGTGTAATTAAGAAGGAAAATAGTGTAGAATGTATGGATACAGAAAGCCTTCCAGTTCCCCCAACTCCAGAATATCAAAGTATAGATATATTAAATACTCCAGAATCCTCACCGGAAAAAGAAGCGACTATTCAGCAGCAAAGTGTATGTTTAATTTCTTCCTTTTAATTATTTATATTTGCGTCACACACTGTTGTTTTAGGCATCTCTGTCAACTTCACCGAAAGACACTCAAGCTAAAACACCGGAAGTTGTTGACAAAATCGATGGAGATTATACTAATTTGGGTATGACTTTAAGTAGTGAATCGAGCGATGAAGAGGATCCCGGAGAGGCAAATGCTGCTGGTGAAACTCAAGAAATGAAAATGGAAGAGGATGATGAAGACGAAGATGAGGAAGACGCAGAAGAAGATGAAGAGGAGGACGAAGAAGAGGAGGAAAGCCCATTTTTATTAAGCGTTGCCTCATTATTAATTGGAGACCGTACTCCTCCGAAACTGGGTTTAAAGTCATTCTCACCAAAAAAGAATTTATCTCCTGCAAAAGTTATAGCCAAACGCTTGACTGATAAAGCTAAAAGGAAATTGTTATCTATAGAAAAGAAAGAGTTAAAGGAAACGGTTGAAGAAAAAGTCGAAGAAAAGGATTGCGAAGACGTTGAGAATATTGATCCTAAGGAAAACACACAAATGTAAGAAAATGCTATTGTACTCGTATAGAATAAAGTTAATTATCTTTTCAGCGAACAAACTAAAAAGGACATTAATAGTAAATTGAAACAAGAGATAGCTAAAAAAATAATGGACGACGAATTATTAGACAAAGACCCAAATGTTAGTATATATATTATTCAAATTATATTTTGAATTCCTAAAAATAAACATAATAAAAACTCGTTTTGTGCTTAGAAACTTGAAAAAGAAAAATCTTTTGTTGTCGGTCTCTGTAAATTGGTACAAACGACGGCAGGAAGTGAAAAATTTAAAGAATTATTGGAAGCTTGCGTAAAGTTCAATAAGTCGAGAGTAATGGAAAATGAATCAGTATTAAAAGTAAACCATTATATACGTACATTTATTCATTCATATTCACATTTTGCCTAATTCCTTAATTAGCTTCATAGCGAATTGTCAGCCAAATTTGTTGACTATCCTACTATCGTACGACTTTTTTCGGCTCTTTTGTTACCTTTTCAAGCTATTAAGTGTAATTGTTACGAAGATTACATCTTCATTCATAGGTTTCGATTGTTTCTTAGGAAATGCGAAGTAAGTTGTCTTTTTCCCTACATCAGTTTTTGTAATAATACTCTATTTTTCGCAATTCAATTGTAGATTGTGTTTGAAAATCAAACCTATAGCCTTCATAAAATTTTTCGAACCTTTCACAAATTAATTACAAAGAAAATTACCGAAAAAGAACTACAGGAGAAGATAAGATCGCTTTTAAAAGGGCAAAGAAGTTTACTTGAATCTTTTGAATCCTTATTCAATTTATCTAAATCAAATATTCGAGACGAAGAATATGAAGATGTTTATCTCGAAGAAAGCAATCCTGAAGATGAATTTGAAACGGCTGTTTGTCCTCCGGATGAAGATTTGGAGGTCAAAGGTTCTGAAAAGTGCAATTGCACTTGCCACGAAGGCCAAGGACCAGTTAGACTTCGACATTGTTTGTCTTGTGGTTTATCTACAAAAAACGGGAAGTTGTACTTGAAAAAAAATAGAAAATTGGAATCTGTAAATATAGTGTATAATAGTCCTTCCAAGAAGAGTGATGATTCTTCCTCATCTGAAGATTCTGTTTGTTCCCAGATGGACTTGGAAAATAGTTTAGAGGGGGACAATGAAGAAGACAATGAAATAGTTGAAAATTCTATTCCAAAAGATTTTAGTTCGCTTGCCGAACATTTAAATATATTGGACGAGAGTGAGAAAAAGGAAGTTCATTTTGACGACACACAATTTAGCGTTCCACTAGCATGCGAAGTCGACCTTGATAATTCACAATTTAGCGTTCCAAGAGCAGATAATATACCCGAAACTGTAGAAGCGGAGAATAATGATAAAGAAAAATCTAATACCACAACTTCCCAACAAATGCCAAAACCGTCAAACGAACGTACGTGCTTTATTTTCCAATGTACAATTTACGTTTATTTATCAATCTATTTATTTGATTACAAACACAGCCTGGACAAGAGAAGAAGATAAATTGATATTAGAAACATGCAAACACCACCAAGATTGTTCGTTTCGCGTATTCTTTTTACTAGCACAACAAATGAATAGAGATCCTCACGCGGTAAATTATATTAATTATTAATTAATGGAAAGTATTCCTCTAATCTAATATTAATTTCAGATCGCTGAAAGATGTCAATATATGGCAGAACTATTTAAAAAACTTAAAAAAACCGATGAGGATAGCACAAGTTGAAAAGCATTGTGTTTTTGTATAGACTGTTACACTTTCAAGTTGCGTTACCATTTTTTCATATGCAAAGATATATTTATTCCTTCACCAATGCACCAGAAAACAGTATCTAGATATTATAAAGCATTTATTAAAACTGTATATAGAAAAATGAGGCATAATTCATCCACCTATCCCAATCTATATATCCCCTATTTTCTTGAAAAATAATGAAAAGTTAGTAATACAAGTATATCTAATTTATGACATAAGAACACGAACATAAAATTTCTTTCGCCTTTTTTACTTCCTTTCCCCACTTTTATTATATTCCCTTCATAATTTTTTAAAGCATTACTTTTGACTGTATTCTTACTTTTTCTGGACTTTTATAGGAGGAAGGAAGGATTTAGTGGAGAAAGTCGTAAACTATATAATTACTATTCAAGATAAATAAAGTACAAAAATTTTTAGTTTTAACTCGTCATAAATTATTATTTTTAAAAAATAGGCCTAAGTGTTTTACTCTATTTTTTTTTTATCCAAAATGATATGATCACAACCGATTGTTGACTTGGGAATTTCACACTCGGAGATTAGAAAAACCCAAAGATATTAGCTTATCGATTAAATTACGAATAGAAATTTTTTTGACTTATATAATAAATTGTTTTTATCTTTTAGATATGAACTATGGAACGAATGACTAAAACTCTCGTTTAAATTACAAAGCATCATTGTATTAGTCATAAACTTTTTGTCGTGTCAAATAAACAGGGGTGGTTGCTAAACAATTTTTTTTCATAGAAGATGAATTTTTTTTTATATTTTATTTTTAATCCTTAAAAAAATAAAAATAGCTTTTTAATAGAAAATTGAGAAAATAATTTTAAGTGGAATTTCAAGCGGTACCATTTTTATGATCTCTTATGTCAACTAGAAATTCCCCTGCCGATAGGACTTCAAGTCCACCTAAAAAGAAAAGGAAAAAGGCAGCAAAAATTCGAGTGTCTCTGCCAACGTCTAAAAAGAAAAAAGTTCCCGAAGTGGTTTGTTTAGCGTAATTTATTAGATATCGAGTGAGCGATAATACAAGTAAAACTTTAAAAGCAGGAAAACATTGAAATAGATATTAACAAAGAAGATACTGATAGTCAATCAATAAATTTAGAAGATATTAATGAAGAAGAATGTACCGAAGAAGTTCAAAAGAAAAAACTCCCATTCAAAAATCCTAATTTTGTGGTGAGTTTTAACCAGCTAAGTTGGGAACTTATTATTTATACAGTCAATTATCCATTATCTCCCATATTCACATTTACACATCGAAATTTCCAAAATTCGCCATATACACGTGTTGTTATGTGTAAACAATTAGTTTTGGAAAATTTTACATTGAATCATAATGTCTGATATATGATTATCTATAGGTCGTGATATGTGGCTCATAAAAAATGAGTACGTGTCAAAAATTATCACTTTTCACTTTTACTTCTTATTAAAAGAATAAGTAAATAAAAGACAACAAAATCAATAAACTATCAAACATTTGCACTTGGAAAAAATATTTATCAGTAATTCGTGTTTCCTTACTATTGTTTAGCATTCTTGTAAAGGAACTGGTACTTCAAAACGTTCTAGGATATGGAAAAGCTTAAAACAGATCGTTACAATGGAGAGATCTATGTTGACTAATCCAGATCAAATAATATGTAAGAGGCTTTGGGATACTTTACATGAACTCAATTAATAACAACATTTTGGTTTTTTCCCCCACCCAGATTCTTCTATTGATGTTCCACCTTCTTTTGCTCCGCCCGCGAAGTTTTCAGACTTATCCGGTTTTCCTGTTAGTAATTTGATTTTCTCATTATTCATGAAGAATTAATTACTTTTTTTCGGATTTAGGCGAAATATATGGATCCATTAAGCAAATTAAGATTCTCAAATAAGGAAGAATATTCTAGAATCAAGTTACTTCCTGGAGATATTGTAAGCGGTTATTTAAGTTTGAGAAAAGCTAGCCAAGTTGTTCCATAGTCAAATTACATATCTGTTTCTAATATTTAAAGATTGTCAAAGAAGAAACTCCCTTTCTTTTGGTTTTTCCTTATGAAAATCCATACTTAATATGTTTTATTGATTAATAACTATTGACTAAGAAATTATGACAATTGGTTGTTTCATTATATTAGGAAATCACATTTTTTTTCTTTTTTAATAAAAACTATGTTAATAATTTAGCTATTATGTTGTAATAGTTAAATAGTTTTAATATTAATAAGAAAACAGTTCAAGCATCACAGATAAGTTTCTCACTGAGGAAATATCATATAAAACATACTTCATTATTCTATGTTAATTTTTCCTTGTAGACATATTTATGAAATTATCCAAATTATCGTCTGATTCGGACTCGTACTCGTCATCTGTACTTTGATATGGTTCGTCGTCGGCACCAATTTTAATGAGATAATCTGCTATTTCTTCCTTCTCCCACCCAATAGCTAATTGATAGATTGAATGTCCAGAGAAAGTTAAAAGACTAAAATTTGCACATTTTGACAAACTATGTAAAAGTCGAAACAACATCACATCTCCTTCTTCAGCAAGAATATGAAATATATTCCTTCCACTTCTTGAGTCTATCATATTCACATCAGCTCCTAATTCGGTTATTAAATATAGTAAAATTTCTTTTCTTATCTTACTCCTTAAAGCAGAATGTAAAATTGTGTCTCCTTGAAAATCTCTTATCTGCAGAAGTGATTTGTTAAAATGTTTTCCCGACAAACTTTTTACTAAATCAATATTGTTCATAGAGCACGCAATGTGAAAGGCAGTTTTTCCATTACAGTCAACTAATACTTGTTCAATACCATTGCTAATTAATTCCTTTACAACATTTACTTTATTTAAAACCGTTGCGATATGAAGACCTGTTTGTCCTAAGTTATTTTGCAAGTTTAAAGACTGCTTAGAAATACTTGGTATCAATCTACAACATGTTTTGTCGTTATGGAAGTAAATGCTCAAATGTAGAGGGGAGTCTCCGTCTTCATCTTGACTTAAATTAGTACAGTTCCTTTCAATCCTATTTATTGAGCCTTCTTTAAAATTTAAATTATCCAGATTCTCAAGATTTTCACTAAGCAAACCTCTGGTCATTCTATAAACAGAAGAAATGGTTAAGATGTTTTTATTCTAAAAACGGGATATGTACACTTACTTAATGCATTCAGTAGTAGCTTTAACTTATTAATGTCGTTATAATGAGAAATACTATATTTATATACATATATTTTCACGAGTGCCATGACTCATATCTATTTATAGAAACTTAAGGACAAATAAGGTATATGCAAAAATCAAAGTGTTATAAATAATTTAGATGATTTACCTCAAAATATTTTCAAAATTTAACAGTTTGTGATTGTTGTTGTTTACATTATTAAATTATTTTATTTAATAAACTTTAGCAAGGTTATTGATGTCCTAATTAGTTATATATACTTAGATGGGGAGTTTTTGTTTCGTAGTTTCGTTACGTAATTGGAAAAATTGGTTTCTGAGAATATGTTAGAAATTTAACAACTGATTTTGGAAATCCGTCACTCCTTAGTTCAGAAAGTATATAGAGCTGAGGTAATCTTGACAGGGAAGAACACCAAATACTCAAAATTTTTCGAAAAAACTGCAAGAGTCAGGTTTTTTTTCATAATGTGGGTGTAACTATTCATAATAAATAGTATTGTTATTGTGTAATGTTTGAAAATAGACATTGATCATTAAAAATTCCAATTGAAAAGTGTAAAACACCATTATTAACAATTATTGAAAATGTATTATGTAATATAATCAAATTGTACGTTTAGTTATCGTAATTGATTTTTGAATATTTCGCGTAGAAATATCAGCCGCGCGAAGCAGAGTAACCGGAAGTAAAATGACACTGAAACTGGTACCGAGATCCGTAACGAAATGTACGCTTTGAAATGAAGAGAAACCTTAGACAACCCCACACCAACAACATGGCAGACTGTTTAACAAATACTGAAACATTATCAATTATTTTTTACACAAATCGAAAATAATCATGAAAGAGATGATAGGAGGATGCTGTGTTTGTGCCGATGAAAGAGGATGGGACGAAAATCCGTTGGTTTACTGCGATGGTTCGCAGTGCACGGTTGCTGTTCACCAAGGTTCGTTTCCCGCTAAATGTATTGCAGCAATAAGGTTAAACATTCCCTAAATACAATGATCTCTTGTTATAGCATGCTACGGAATAATATCAGTACCGACTGGACCATGGTATTGCAGAAAATGTGAATCTCAAGAAAGAGCAGCTCGAGTAGTAAGTACAAAAGTACATTATACCAACGTAGACTAGTGATAAGAGTGAAAATATGTAATCAAAACAAACACTTCAACATTCATAATCAAAATGGAAGTTATTTTAAACATAAAAAAAGAAAAATCTAAATAAACTACATTTACAATGTAAACATATAAATCTAGTAAGAAAATTACTATCTAATGTACTTTAGTAACAAATAGCTTACATAAATATATAATATACTATAGTAAAAAAGATAATATTAAAAACAAGTTTTGCACCTATTGACTTGAATATGATGAAAGTGTTTGTATTTGTTTGTAAATGTAATAGATGATATATTCTGTATCTTTTTTTACACATATTGTAACTAGCAGAAAACTCAGAATACTATTAATAATATTCCTTTTAAAATATTGTTTTCCTAATTATCTTTCTAAAGTGATGTTTGCCCATTTCAAAAGATTAATCTTTCATCTAATTTATGATTATTCCTCCTTTAGAAATGTGAATTATGTCCTCAAAGAGAGGGTGCCATGAAACGAACAGACAGTAATGGGTGGTGTCACGTTGTTTGTTCCCTCTATATTCCTGAAGCTTGGTTTGGTAACGTAGAAACTATGGAGCCTATTATACTTAAGAGTGTTCCTGATGAAAGATACGGAAAGGTTTTGATATCGTTTACTAATACATTCGCCTTTTATACATTCATAAATATATATATATATATATTTATATATATGGGAAATTCTTTATACTTTACAGACATGTTACGTCTGCGAACAAAACAACAGAGCAAGCAAAGCCACGACCGGAGCTTGTATGCAATGCAACAAACCTGGTTGTAAGCTGTATTTTCACGTGACATGTGCTCAGTCTGTTGGTCTATTGTGCGAAGAGCAGGGAGCAATGATGGACAATGTCAAGTACTGCGGATACTGCAATCAGCATTTAAGGAAATTGGTCAGTTTTTATTGTAAAATTAGATAAAAAAATGGATATTTTTTATCTTTCGTATTATTTTTTTTTTTATTTTGACTTGGCGACCAACAGATTTAAAAAAAGTATTTTTAATTATTTGCATTCCTTGATTTTTTTCCACAATTTCCTTAAATTAATTAAAAGTATGTAATATGTATAAATATATATATATATATATATATATTACTTTCTTTCTTATCCCGAATATCTTGGCAATTTAATTTAGGTTATTCTACAAATTATAAGCTCTCTTTTCCATATATTTAAGTCAATAATTATGTTTTTCTTTCTTTTCTCTATTTATCTCTTTCTCTCTCTCTCTCTCTCTCTTTCCCTCACTATCTCTCTCTCTCTCTCTTTGTAGTTTATATTTTTTAAATAAGAAAAGTGTCGCCATGATAAGCGATTATTTAAATTTATATTATTATTATTATTATTATTCTGTAAAACGTTCGAAACTTTTTTAACTTTAATATATTTTTTCGACGAACGTTCACGAACAGAAGCGAGATGGAACATACATTAAGGTCATTCCGGCATTTAAACCGGTCGCTGAATCCGACAAGTCGCCGGAAAAGGTATGAAACGTTCAAAATATTGGTCAAAAATCAATTCATTTAATCATCTGCTTAATCTCGTAAATATTTCTAGTTTTAAACGAGAAAGAAATCATTGTTATTTTTTTATTTATTTTATATATCATATTTATTAAACGTACAACATATAGATACAGCTAAAAAAAGTAATAATAAGCTTTATATGGATAGTTTTATAAATCTATTTTATCATTTTATACATATATATATACAGTATATTATTAATTTAGTAATATTTTAATTGTTAAATGTATTAAATAGTAAACACAAATTGACTATTTTTCAAATGCTTAAATAATTACGGTTTCAAGCTTAGTAGGTGGTGTCATATAATTGCTTTCTAATTCAATTATAAGTCTGTTACAAAATCTATAATGACAAGAGATGAGTGATTAAAAGCCTACTCTTCTTTGCTTAAAATTTTTTATAATTGTTAAAGATATTAAATATCTCTATCTATTAGCCTCTTTCTTTCTCTCTCTCTCTCTCTCTCTCTCTCTCTTTCCTTTTATATTTAAATTTCTTTTATCTTTTCGTCTAATTCTCTCTAGCTTTTTTCTATCTTTATTTATCTTGTTTTTGTCTTTTACTTTTCTCTCTTTCATTTTTTAAATGTAACTTGAAAAATATAAATTCAGTATGAAATATGATTTACAATAAAAGCGCCACCTATTAGAACTTGTATTCCTAAATACTGTATATAAATATATATGTATATATTTCTCTTCATTTGCTTTGTTCATTTTTGGAGATAGATCATTTTTAGTTTAGTCTAGATTAAGACGACTAGAACATATCATTGTATTTCATATTTGTTTATATTGATACACATATTTTGAAGAATTGAATGATATTATTAAATAGTTTTGTAATGTTTTTTTGTTTTTATATTTTTTAGGGTCGAGAAAGTAATTCATCTTCCACTTCAAAGTTTACATCAGCTAATTTCCAAGAAATTAAATCTAATACTGATGAAAAAATTGCTGTAAATAAATTGCCTTTAAAATTTATATTGTTTTGTTGAATATTCATATCTTCTCGTCATTATCTGTATTTTTTTTTTTTGCAATTGCTTTAATTAATCTTCCATTTTTTGTTTAATAGAAGAAGAAGGGAGAACACTCAAGAAAGAATTCTTCATCTTCAACAGCCAGTAGTTCATCTACAGAATCTTCCAGTTCTTCTTCCTCGTCGGAGAATAAGCAGACTCAAAATAAGGCTGCGTTAAAAGCACCTCCGAAGGAAATGAGTGCCACTACTAAACCATCGTCGCAGTTCCTACCGAATACTTCTGCCTATTCGTATTCATTTGATACTTTTGTTAAGCAAAACCCAAATTCTGATTCGAAAAAGTAAGAAAAAGCTTTGAAAATTAGATAAAAATTATATTATAGGGTGACCGTCTCATTTCTTTATAACTTGTCGCGCTTAGAAAAGAAGATAAGGATACAGAAAAGGAGAAAGAAAAAGAAAAAGAAAAAGATAAGGAGAAAGACAGGGAAAGAGAGAGAGAGAAAGAAAAAGAGAAGGAGAAAGAGAAGGAGAAAGAAAAGGAAAAAGAAAAACCGTTATCGATGGAAAAGAAGAAACAACAAAAAAGGACTAAATCTCCTACAAAAACCGTCAAAGATTATTTAACTAATCCGTCAAGTTCTGGTGACGACGTTAAAAATAAAATTCCTGCCAAAAAGTCTAGAAAAGAAAAATCTTCGGGCTCTACATCTGCATCATCTAGTGTTGATAATACTCCAAAATTATCTTCTTTGGTCAGTACGGCAAATTCTAATTCAAATTCAAATTCAAATGCTAATTCATCAGCTGCAGTGGGTAAGATATGAAAAAATAAATAATTTTTGGCATAAGACTTATACTTTTCAATCATTTCTCTTTTTTCATAGATGGAAAAACTAGCTCAGGCCTTTTTACCCCTCTAAAACCAGGACTGAAAAACAAACAATCTCTCCTTCAATCTCTGACTTCATTTAGCTCAAATTCTCAAATGCCAACAACAATGGAACAGTTATTGGAACGACAATGGGAACAATCCTCCCAATTTATGCTGGAACAAACCTCTCAGCATTTCGATATTGCAGCTATGATTCAATGTCTTTACCAACTACAGCACGAGAATATGAAGTTAGAAGAACAGATCTCAAGATTGGTTATGAAAAAGGAGCAACTTTTATCAATAAATGCTCGTCTGTCATTGCCTTTATCCGCTACCGCCGCTCTTGGTGCGCAAGGAGGAGTTACTGGCTTAGACGCTCAGATGTCGAGTTCAATAACGACATCTGTAAGAGTAAGTATCAATTATTCAGAGTAGATATTGTTGAAATAAGAGATAATTTAATAAAATATTTCTAGAATGAAGCGAATAAACCATCAAATACGTTGTCAATCGCTTCCTTTACAAATTCACGTAAGGACATATACATTCTTAAATTCACCTTTAAAATATTTCAAATCTTTTAAATAATCTTTCAGTTACATCAGGGTCAATGTCGTTCAGTGATACGAAAAGTACCAATAAACTTGGTAATACTTCCGATATACATCATCAATTGATGCAAAATCAGTCAATTTTGAGTCATGCTGCAACATCGGTAATGATAATTATTTTCTATATATATATTTAAATAACGTTATTGCTTTTTTTTTCTCTTACACAGTCATTAATGTCATCAGCTTTTTCTCAGGCTTCCCAAAAATCCTTTTTTAATTCGAGTAATAATGAAAAACCGGGAAAATCTTGAAATGATGAAAAAAAAAAAAAACAACACGAGAAAACATTTTAAGTATTTTTTCTTAAAGTTTAATTCAAATATATTCACAAAAACTTATGTTGAATTTTTTTTGTGAGAATGTTCTCTTTGTTTTTGAAAAAAGAAACTTAAGACGCGTCAACTCACTTTTTCGTAATTGCTATTTCTGCATTATGCAGTAGGTAAAATTGTTTTTTCTTTTTTTTTTTTGCCCTAATTATGTACATTTTTTATTTTTTTATATTGTTGGTTTACCTTCTTTTTTTTTTTACTTGATTTTAGCTTAGAAAATATTCATGAATTTATATTTATTTTGTATATTTAAATATATATATATGTTTATTTTCTTGCATGTGATAATCTATGATTGTTTTGAGCGGATTGTATGAGATTCATACAAAAGAAATATAAAATTCAATTCTCTTGAATGTAAAAATTGATGATAACTTCGTACGTAGGTAACCTATTTCTTATAAGATTTCTAATTATCTTGTTAGACCACACAAGCAGCTTATCATTATCATTCGATTTCAGACCATACAATTACACTAGAGATAAGAAATATGACTTGTCACTAGCACTTAATATTATTAAATGGTCTATTTATAATAAAAGAACCACACAGCGAACTTACTATTGTTTCCAAGTTTTAATAAAATACTTTCGTCGTTTTGTTTAATCTATCTTTTCTCGTCTTTATTCTAATATGTTTCTTCTAATATTTCATCTTTTGTTCAATTATTTTTGAATGCTTAAACACAAACTCAAAACTTGGCTAAAACGATTTAAATATTATTTTCTTAGCTTTAGACAAATAATGAATTTGAATTTAGGACAACCAGCCGAACAAATTGATAAGAAAAAGGGTTTATAACTAGTAGTTACTGCTCAGAAACAAACTAGAAACTATTATTCTAGTTCAATACAAATCCGATTAAAATCATTTCTTCAGATTTATATACTTTTGATACTCAACTAGAGATAAACTTCATGAAATATTTTCTCTTTCACCCATTTCCACCGCCAATCAGCAATTTTGTACTGTTGTCTTTAGCCAATAAGATTTTTCCGATAAGGCGGTATTTGTGTCTGTTTGTATCAAATATTTATGCAAATACGTATATAGTATATATATATATATATATATATATAAAGTTTTCCCCTATAGGGTAAATAGGAGAGGACATATCAAAAAAAATTTACAAACATGCAAACAAACATACGCAACTCGGATTAAATTTTTAACGGTTTTCCTTCTTTTTTTTTAAAAAAAAAAAGTTTTATCTTGAAGTCAAATTTTTTTAGGATTTGTAATCTACATAAAAAGATCTAAAATATGCATATTTTTACAATAACAATCTCATTCAGTTTGTCTTTATTAACAAAACAAACAAAACAAGTATATTTTTGGTAAATGACAGACTTATCGCTTTCAATTACTTAAAAAAGGATATTACAATTTAAAATATGGTATATGTGGATTATAAATACTAAATATAAACTAAAATCTTCTATTTTTAACAATCTAGTTTCAATACATTAAATAAAAGTCTTTCTAATAATTATAAATATTTTTTTTTTTAAAAAAAAAAGTGTAAGGTAACTTTAGTTATCAATTCTAAAAGATAGGAAAGAGCTATTCATTTTATATATAAGTCTTTTATGAATAAAATAACCTATTTATTTTATAGAAAGTTATTTATATCTTAGAAATTGTTTACACCTAGATTTTATTTAATTATCTAATTTATTAAATAAATTGCACTTTCATGTTTGTTTTTCAAATTTATTCGAGGCTAATGAAATGTATAAATAAGGCCCAAAACTTGGCTAAATGCTTTAATTTCTAGTCAAATATTGAGCCTGCATTTATACAACTCATAAAAAGGTGATTTTGTGAAAGAATGTTAGCGTCAATCTTTACGAATTTACATGAAGTAAGACTCGTTATGCAATTAGACAAATTTAAAAATCCAACCACATTTCAAGCCTGTTTTCATGTATCCTCATCGAACTAAACGATTATGATTGTCCAAGATGATAAATCCTTATATTTATGCAGTTCTAATATCCAATCAACATTAGACAACGCCCATTGATCGACCAATCAGCTATGGACCAAATTGAAAATATAACTCCAAAATTTTTAGGTCTTCATCGACGTTCTAAGATTAAAGTCTAAGCTGACAAACCGCACGTTTAAATAATTATGATTAAGACTCTATATTTAGGATATTTCTATTCAATTAGCCATAAAAGAAATGTATCCTTGAAAACCGTTTTAGAGTTTCTTCTAGATGTTTATCGAGCGAGGAAATACTAGAAAATGGATGAATGAATTGCAATTCATTAAATCTTCGTTCATTCATTCAAAATTATACGTTTTTTTTTATTAAATACGCCTAAAGTAGCCAGAGTTATATGTTACCGCTAAAAATAAGGTCAAACCAATTTATTGCAACTATAAAACCAATTATTACGTTGCTTTCGGGATGCTAAGAAGCTTTAATATCTTGCCCTTAAGCTCCAAAGTATTAGCACTATTTTCCCAATAATTCTACCTCTGAATGATGTCTATATTTAGAATTATTATTCCAATACATCATTAAAATGTAAGCATATTCGATCTCTTTGTTAGCTTTTGGATATGAAAGGAATCGACGTATCTCAATCGAACTAACGAGAAAGATTTTTCCTCCATGAGGTTTATTGATCGATAAGATAATTTGAAGTAATTGTCTTTCGTCAACTTTAATTTGAAAAGTTCATTAGTTTAAGGAATTTATTAAAAAATGAATGATTGGGGAATAAAAGCTATATATTCTAATATATATATACAGTCTATAATATACTGTATTGGTCCACATAGCAAACACACACACACACACACACACTCTCTCTCTCTCTCTCTCTCTCTTCCTCCCTTTCGTCTCTGAGTAATTGAGTATGCGTCTATTTATCCATGTGCTTTTTTTCCTCCTTCCTCCTTCTTCTATTCCCTAAGGCTATTTTTGAGACGATTCTTGTTACAAGATATCAAATAATTAGATAAGGTGCAAGTTTGACATTTTAAAGTTTACCAATAAGATTTTTTTTCATTATTAAAAAGTAATTTTACGTTAAGTAAATAATGGAATTTAACCGAAGTAGACAATTTATACTAAGTTTGGTCATAAATAACATGTTTACGCCGATTTTCAAGTAGTTTCTAAAGATTAATGGGACAGAGTAGTGTAGTAATTTTCAATTCATAATAATCTTAAGTATCTTTACAGTTTGCTAGCAAACGATGATGAAAACAAGGTTTAACATATTTATAAAATAAATATTATAATATTATAAATTAAGCCTATTTTTAGAATATAGAGAATGCGAATAATGATAATCGTCAAGGTTTTCTTCGTCCCCTCTTTATTTCATTTGGCTTCTTCTTCCCATTCATTCCCTCTTTCTGTTAATGTCTCTTTAAAATACAATAGGCAATATCTACAGGATATCTTTTCACGTAAAAAACAAAAAAACAAGACTGCTAATTTATAGTAATAAATTATTTATAGATAATATTCGTCTCTGAGGATATATATGATAAATTAAGAATAATAGGCTTGTAAAGAGATAAGTATTTCGGGAGATGATAAAAGATGAAAACTATTGTATATTTTAACATATAACGGGTAAAATAGCTATTCGTAAATAGAAACAAAGTAATGTATCACTTGAAACTGAATATATACTTTCATACGTCAAGCTTAGCTTAAATCATTAGATAAGTGTATTCGCTATTTATTACAGCGATTTATATTCGTTTAAACTTTTTACTTGTGGGGTAAGTATCTTTTCGTACTAAAACACGTCATAAATAGCATTAAATATATTAAATTCTCTCTATGTTTATTAAATACATTAGACAAAACTCCTTATACATACAATAACTCATATTTACAATAGCAGTTTCTTTTCTTTTCACCCGACAGCATATACAGTATACAATATAAGCTGCACTTATATATATATATAGATATATATACATATTTTTGTGTATCTTTAGGATCAATACATTCTGGAATTCTTCATTATTTATCAACATATTCGCTGCTCTAGCCAATTTTGAATTTTTGTTAAGTTGTCTTCCATATCATCGGGGGTATCATTTTTTACTTCTTGAACAATTTGCCTATCGTAAGCTTCTTGTGCCTCTTCGAGAAGCGTTCCAAATATTTCACATTCGATATTCTCTCTAAGCTTTTTACCTTTATATCCTCTGGAAAATTTAATAAAAATGGTTGCTATATTATTTCAATAAGAATTAATGATAAAACAATGAATTATTTATTATCTGTAAAAATGATTTGGTTTCAAAAGAGAGAAGATGTTACATATAGATATAAAATATAAATAAAGCTTAAAGATAAAAGGACTACGACTATGTTAGCATTAGGTTTCATATAACAGTTTTATATAACCTATATGCATACATGTGACTACTCGCTATCGACTATCTTTATGCGACTTTATTCAACATCAACGGATTGATAAATAAATATATCCCGTTCGAAAGTCTTTCTTATAGACCAAAGCTTCATTATAAAATACTAAAAGAGATTCTTTTATAAAATGGAAAAGGAGAGACGCAAATGGAAGCATCTACTTTTGGTACTATACAATTGTTTACTTTCTAAAATATGGCCTAGTTATAGAACGTTATTATAGACTGTAACTTTTTCTGAGTAACACTTAATTTTTTATGAGGGTTTTTACAATTTTTTTTATGGGAAGAGAGTGGGGTTAAGAATATTCAAAAACTAGGAATTTAGCTGTAAATTATTTAAAAACGATAGAAAAATCTACCTCTTTTCTAATCTCTCGTACAATTTCGTGTTATCTGTCCTTAGAACTATTACAAGGTCAAACCATCTTTTTGGAAAAAAGTCGCAACCGTGATAATCAACGACTACTCCTCCATCATTCATATCTTCTTCCATTTCGTCAATAACTCTATCTTCATCTATAACAGGACAGACTAAATCTTGGTCAAAACCGTCAAAGAAATTATTCTCTTTGGCTAATTCTCCAACATTTATGTATTTCAGACCAGTTCTATCAGCCAATTCTCTACCCAAAGTTGATTTACCCGTTCCGGGTGTGCCTGTAACCCCATAAAATGATCTTTTATCGCTCAGAATTTTAAGATATTTATTTAAAAAGGAAAAAATGTTTAAGTTTTTTTTTAGAGGATATTAGTTATTTTTTCTTATTGCTACTTTTCAAACAAACCAGTGATCATAATATTCGGCTTTCTATTCATTTTACAACAGTGTTACTCGATATTCCGCAATATCAATGCTGAACACGCGCTTCAACCGGTTAAGTCAGGTAATCGCAAAAAGGTTACCGTTAAGTAATAACTAGTGTCATCTATCGCATTTCACACATCTATCTTTTAATTCGATTACTCCAAATATTTCTTAATTGGAAACTTAACATAAGGAGAATTGAAAAAATATAACAATGATATGAATAATCGGCTTGTTTAACTGTATTTAGATGCAATCTAAAAATAGACATAATAAAAATAGAGGGAAAAAAAAAGTTTCCTTCACATATAATATTTTAAAAAATTTCCCGCCAATTTTTATAGAAAAGTATAAGAATATAAAAATTGATACGTTAATGAAAATATTTACAATCACCTTTCAAGAATCTCTTAAAGAAATTGATTCACTAAATCGTATGCATTTTGTTCTTACGAAATCGATAACCCTTTGTCACATGACTTACTACACAGCAGACGTGGTTTCGAATATCAGTTTCGTTTGCCATGCGATTAGAAGTTAACAAAATTATGGAGACGGAAGTTTGTCAGGGTTTGTTCTGATAAGAATTTCGCTGTATTTTGTTTATTGTATTTAAATTTACGCTAATTATTCCTCAGCCTATTATGATAACTGTTTAGTTTGACTACTTTATAATAATTAGACGATAATCAGCGTATAGTTACAATTATCAGACTCTAGTCATTATCTAATTAACCCAAAGGCAATTAGTTGCTTATTTTCTAGCTGTTCCGTGTGAAATACACGTCGAAAAATATTAAAACTATGAGAACAAGTGAACTTTGGTCACAGTTTGTCAATGTCGGTCAAAATGTCGAATAGGCTCGCACATACTACTATCCGTCGCATTTTTCCTAAAACTCTCGGTCTTTTCTACCAACCAAACAAAGGCAAGGAAATTTCGACCGGAAGTACCCTAAACCCGCATACGGAAGTGGCGTTTGTCAGCCGCGCGATAATTGGAAGCCGTGTAATTCGTTGATATAAGCGATAAAAACCTCATGTATATTAATTAATTGTAAGTGTACGCGAACAAATATAAAAGGAGCGTGCATAGCGTGCTTAGCCAGTATCTTTCCCGACACGATCTGATATGTTTGGTATTTTTGGTGATGTTCTCAAAACTTTGTCACCAGAAATCCAACATGTCTTATAGTGATCGAGACCAATCATCATTTTACTTGTACAACTTTGTCGCTACGAATGGCTTTTCGCTCGTTCCGTGTTCAAGCATCGTTCATCCTCAGGAATGGAGAATTAGACTATGTATCATAAATTTTCTCATAATCGTATAATTGAATTTTGCGTGGATGTCAAATATTTATGTAATGTTTTTGAAAGCGTAGATAGAGATAGATAGATAGATAGATAAAAACTAATCCTAACTATAATATTACTATTATAAATGTATGTTACTTATACAAAGTATACAGTTTTTTTTCCTTATCTACTAAATTTACTGGAAATTTTTCGATTAGTAGTTTTCAGGCAGATAAGTTACTTTAAATCTTTGCAGTTGGCTGACTCTCTAGTCACTCGCTTCCTTATTGCTGCATTCCCTGGTGAATCTGTTTATATAGGAAGAATGGGATGAGTTTTTCTAAGTGAAACTAGGCCTACTATTGCATATCTTTTGAAGTCAAGAATGATGATGAATATATATATAGTGTATCTATATCTATATATATATATATATATATATATATATATATATATATATATATACTGTATATAAATATATATATTTGTGGTACAGCTTAGTTTAGAGTGGTCAATGTACTATATTTTTTTTACAGTAGTAATATATAAATTTATATATATATACATTTATGTATTTTGTGAATTATTCATTATGGCATTTTTGTGTATATAGGCAATTTCCTGTTTTCTTATCCGGTAAAACCCTATAATACAGTGTATTTTTCTATTAATACTTAATATTTTCAAATCATAAGCATATTTGATCGAATTTTGATATAAAAAGCAAGAACTTTTTTCTATACAAATTAGTATTATTTCCTCTATATAATCTTTAATTTAAACAAAATTAAGACAAAGCTCTATTAAATGTTTGTTTGATTTTTAGTTTTTTTATTACTTTTTTTTTTTAAAAAAATGTTTTTTCCTTTTTATTTCTTTCGTCTTTAACATTATAATATGTTCGTCAATTTTGACCTATATTTTAAAATTCTCCAGGGAAGCTTCTATTGATTGGAGTTTTACCCGTAAAAGACTACTATGATTGTTTAAAAATTCTCGCACGAATTTTTTTAATAATGACAAATCGAACGGTTAATACTCGAGTTTAAAGCTTCTAAATTATCTAGAAATTGTATAGTTTGCTCAAAATGTATGTCATTTATAGAGTAGTTTGTTAAAAAACATTATATAAATTGGTATAATAATTCTCTTTTATATTTATATCGGTTAACCTTCGAATTGGCGTGTCCAAGGGGGAGATGAAACTCGCCGAATTAAAGTAACGTATTAAGTCTGAACCTAGGGCATGTCAAAGGAATAGACTTTTGCATAAATTAAAACGGTTGAGAAACTATAGGCCTTATTGGGAGAATTTGCAATACATTTTCACGTAAATTAAAGCCGATAGATGAACATTTCAGTCCAATAATTAGTCCAATTCTATTGATTTTCGTTCAAAATCGTTCAAAGGCCGAAATTGGAGAGTCTCTTCTAACGATTATACCGGAAGCTTTATTAACCAAACGAAAATCACAAATCTTTAAGATTCATATTACTCTAAAATGGAGAAATCAATTTAACCTATTCGATTCCTTAGCATCCAACACTTGAACCACTTGAGAAGGTGGGAAAACTTGGTTAGAATTGTTTCTTAACAAATACGATCTCTCCTTTATTTATGTCTTTTCGTTTTAATTTTTTTATCACGCTTCTCTTTTTAGGAATAGAAACGAAGAGCTGAAATGAATATGAGGAGGAGATTGAGGGACAGACAACAAACAGATAAGAAAAAGTGACGCTTATCTATTCAATTAGTTTTTTATCCTTAAAATAAAAAGAAACTACAACAGGACGTAGGAGAATTAATTAAGTAATTTTCTCAAATTTAATAGTTTTGTCATTGGTAAGCGGGAAATTTCGTCTGTTTATTTACTACTATATTATTTGTTAGCTTCGGTTCTTGATGGGGGTCGATGCGGGCTATTATTTGTCCGGTCCGCCCTTTTCAACTGATCCCGGATCCGGAAAAGGATTACGAAGACGTAGAGCGTTATACCCTTAACAATTGCCTTACTGTTACATAAGTTCTTTTATCTAATAGTTTTCAGTAGGGAGTTTGTAATATATAAATTGATGAGAATCTCTCTTCCGTAAGACATTTTTTATTTATGGATAAATACAAAAAAGCTTTTTTTTCGAATTTCTTCACTTCCTATTATAAACTTAAAACAATTACAAACCTTTTTTTTCCTTTCTCATTTAAAGAAAGTTATTCAAAACAAAAAAATAGGCTTATACAAGTGTCAATTTTTTTAAATACTATAATCTATCTGGTGTTTCTTTTATTATTCTATCTGTCTGTCTGTCTGTCTGTCTCTCTCCCTCTCTCTTTCGGTTTTATTATGACTCTACCCCTTTTTTCCCTTTTAAAATACAAATAATTTATTCTTTGTAATAACATTACCAACACTTGTAAAAAGAATTAACGTATCGTATATATTACACGATAAATTATCCTTTTAAAAGCCACGCCCTTCTTTAAAATGAAAAGGAGATAACTCTTAATCTTTTAAGGATTTTCAGCCCTATGTTATTTTAAATAGTACTATAGTATCAATGTAGATAGCTATTTCAAACCTTTCTATTGCGAGGAATTAATTAGAACGACCCCAATTAATTAGGCTTATACGCATGTGTTTAATGAAGAATATAAAAAAGTATCCTAGTCAATAATTCTCTATATAATGCGCCACCTAACGTGGCGTCAGGACTCGCGTTTCCCCCTCTTTCTCTCTCTCTCTCTCTTTCTCTTCCCTCTCCCGCCCCTTCCCCTTTTCCGTACCTTTTCCTTTAGGAAAGAAAGAGCAGATTATATATTAGATGATAGCTTTATTTTCTTTTATCATTTGATTGTTTTACAACAAATGAACCAAGTTTGCCAAGACAAGCTGTTGTCGAGATATGCGATACAATTGATGTCAACATATTATTTTCTATCTCTCCTCTCCCGCTCTCTCTCTGTCTCTCTCACTTCGATTCGTCTTTCTTTTACTGTCTGAGCCCCTATCTATCTTATTTTTTTAATCCTCTATTCGAGAAATGATATTTTTTGTATGCGGTCATTTTTTTTACAAAAAAAAACCGATAATGCTGAAAGGTCACGAGATATACGAGGCATGTATTTACAGTTGACGGTAAAAATAGTTTCTCACTTAACGGCTTTATTATACTTCCAACATAGATATATAATCAAGCACCGTTGAATATTAAACCCTTTAATTAGGATCAGGCAGAGAATCAGGAATAAGAAAGAGAGAGCAGTAAACGATAGAAAATGGGAGTGGGACTATATTAAGACAAATCTTGTATATAAATAAATATATAAATACAATATATATTGTACATGTACAAACTTGGAAGGGTTCTGTACTACATTGATTAAAAACAATCAAGTTGAAAACAAAATATCCCTTATTACATATAAATATAGAATGTTTTAATTAGCGTTAAATTAATGGATTACTGTTGACAAACTCGTAGAATCGACTATTTAAAATATATACAAATTATACCTTCACCGAATAAATAGAAGCATATTTATTATATATAAAAAAAAAGATAGAGTTTGTCTATCTATTGTTACGTAATAATACGAAATCTTTTTTTAGAGTGTAATTTTTATATAATTCATTCTATTATTAACTTTTTATTCCTAATACGGAAAACTATACAAAATGTACATTATAAATGTATAACGTATATAGTCTTGCATAAATATATTCCCGATAATGTCTTCATCTAAAGTAATATCATTTTTTTTGTATCTAAGTCTAATTGATTTTTATAGAATAAGTATAAAATTTCTCTTTTATTAAATTATTAAATAAAACAATTGCAAAAGTTTGTAGAAAAGACCACAAACAACAAAATAATAGTTTCCCATTTTTTTATTTTTTTTGTACGCCTTTTCTTTTCTCTTTTCCTTTTCCTTTCTTTTCTATCTAATTAGAGAATATATAGTATCATCGCGTTCTTTACTCTCTCTCTCTCTCTCTCTCTCTCTCTCTATACTTTTCTTTCGCTCTATATATTCTGTTTTTTTTTATTTTTGTTGTGCTATTTTACTATTTAACGGAGGGGAACGAAAAGGGATAAAAAAGTTTTCATGTTTTATGATAAGCCTATAATTATTAATAAAAAAAAACTAGTACTGTTTACTATATTGTTAAACGTTGAGCTTATTGTTCTATAATTGTAAAATCGCTAAATAATCAATAATGAACGAGATTAGTTTGATTACATTGATGTCATTAATATGTGTAGGAATAGGTATGGAAATGAATAAATTGGAGAAGGAAAAAACTAACTAGTTTTATTGCCTGCAAAGGTCTCTGAAGCCATAAAAACGAATTAACATCCTTTTTCTGCTAATTATTATTATTCCTCCCTGTATTCTGTTACATTTTATTCAACTGTTCATATCTATTATAGCTTTATTAGTTATTTTCCTTTAATAAATTAGGTGAAAAAAAAAGAGATTCAACTCTTTGCCTAATTTATTAAGAAATTCCACCAATCTATGAGGATTAATCGAAGGCGTCTATTTTTAAAAGCGTTTACATCAGTCGTCTGATTTCACATTTTACTTTGGATTTTCCAGCTTCTCTTTCCTTACAGTATAATGTTTAGTTAGCCCCCACCCCTTCTTCCCTTCTACTTTTTCGTTAAGAGATGAAAATAAAAGGGCGTTAAGCAATAAATATATAAACTGGAAAAAAATATTTTTTAGACTATTGCAGTCATTTTGCGAATGCGTTGGAGCGTTAAAGTCGTAAAGAACATCTATTTCCTGTTTCAAGTCTTTTCAAGGGATAAAAAATTAGCATTACTTTAGAAGAGATTATTTAAAGTTTTTCTGGCTTGAGACTTGATCTTTATGGAATTAAATGATAAGAATGAAAAGACCAAAAAGAGGAAAAAAAAATATTTTTCAACGAAAAAAATCTATCGAGACCAACAGACTGTATCATTATTTTTGGGTTAGAGATACCCGTTGATAGGACTAAATCAACCAAACCGTCCAAAAAAATTCCCGAGGGGCTATATAGGGATTTATAGAGGAATAAATTGAAACCGTAAAATAAAATGGTAGTACGAATGCGTAGGTACCCTAATTAAATGAGGTTTTCTTCTTTTTTATCCAGTCGTAAACTTATCAAATTAGATTAAGCTGTTAACAGGAATGCTCTGGTAGCAATTTTAAAAGAAAAAGAGGAAAAACCGCCCTCAATTAACCGCCGACAAACAACGGTTATGGAAAAGAGACGCCGTATCGATTATAGACTTTTGCAGGTGTCTAGAGGGCGTTGGCTACGTTCTCTACAGCAAAAACAGGAATGGCGTCCACCGATACGTCGTTACTTCAGACCGTTGAAGTTTTGAAACGTCCCGGTCAATCTTTAGGTTTCTATATAAGAGAAGGAAACGGATCTGATCGTGCTGACGGCGTTTTTATATCACGGATAGCTGCTGCAAGCGTGGTTGAGCAGAATGGCCTATTGCACGTTGGAGATGAAATTTTGACAGTTAATTCTGTAACAGTGAAAAAAATGAGTTTGGACGATGTTGTGATTTTAATGTCTATTCCGAAAAGATTGGTCTTAAATATAAGAAGAAGACCGGCGTCTAAAAATGCTAGTTGTCCGTCGCTAGCCGCCATAGAACAACAACCAGTCTATGTTCCCAGGAATACGACGAGGTCCACCTCGGCTACTCATCTACACGAAAAGAACAATACTTATATGAACTTATCTCCATACGAATTAAGGGATAGTTACACTTCCGACTCGGAACTAGGATATCAAACACCCGCTTCCAGAAGGAGAAGAAGAACGAATTACTCTTCAGATAGTGAAAAGAATTATTCAGACGGTTCTCTTTTATATAGTACGGTTAGACATTATTCAAAACCTCAAAGGAATGATTATACATCGGATTCAGAACTTGTTTACGGAGCTGATACGGGGAAAGATGGTGCCGCTGAAGAGGATTGGGTGAGGAAATTAGACCATTTGCAATCGGAACTGCAGGCCGTTCTGACGTCATCTTCGAATACTATACCTGTGCAAAGTAAGAGTTATTTGTCTAAATATTCAATCCCAATCCATTAAACAGAAAATAAAGCGCCTAATCGTATTCAATTCCTATCAATTAACTTCCATACATCAATAATTTACCAAGAGATGTCAGCACTTAGCAAATCTGAAAATTGAACAAGAAAAGAGTTTACCGACAATGCTAAATCCTATTAAGGATATATTATATAGTTTTATCTTTCAGATACTCAACAATAATTGAGAAATCTAGCTAAAATCGTTGAAAAAAAAGTAAAATCCAGATTAGATTAAACTCTCTACTAATCCGATGAGCATACGTAAATAATGTGATGCATACCTAGGCCCTCAGTCCTTTGGAATAGTACTCATAAAGTAATATTCTTTGCAACGATTGCAAAGCTATTGAATTAGCTTTAGACCTATATATTTTATATATTATATTTATTTATTTTTTAAAAAAAAAAACAAGATATAAAGCAATATAGCAATGATAACCTTCGGCTAAAATCGTTAGTTTTTTTTTTGTATGGGTGAACCGGAAAGGGAGGCAAAAAGAACGAATATTTACAGCATAGGATTTGTAGCCTGGGGATTTGGAGGTGGGGGGAAACAATGGAAGTTTTATCCTCCAACAGATACGTCATCGGTTCATCAAAATTTACAGTAGACAGATAGATTTTTCCGTCAAACTTATAATAGAAAATATCGATCAAACGCAGGCTATGAATTTCAAATCAAACTATGCAGGAAAGAGAGAGAGCGAAGAGATGTCTATACAATAATATAATAATAAAATTTTCGCTTAAAATCTGCCTAAAAGGCTTTATAAAATATTCCATTTGTCCTTCTCTTTGTTTCTATTCTGACCATGTAATTTTTTTTCCCTTAATACACTGTGATGCCGGTTCACGTCATGTGATTTAGGAAACGTAAACGAAAATAGCCGGTAGAGCCGTTAGGGAATTCAGCCTACATATCGTCTGATTCGTTTAATTATCACGGAATCGGGCAGGCGACGTCCTCTAACCCTCCCACCTACTTTTCTTTTTTTGTCGCAATTGGACAGATAATTGAACTTTTTTATTGTTTTACTTAGCTACTGCATCTAAAAGAAGTAGCAACTCTAATGGAACAGAAGAGGAAACGTATACATCAGCGGAATATTGGAGTTGGGCTTCATTGCGTCGGAATTCCAAATACAACAGCGTTCCAAAAAGAACGCCGCAACGGAAATGGCCCAGCAGACCGGAAGGTGAAGGCCAATGCAAATCGCTCCAACTTGGTCGGAAACCATTGAAAATTCGTCTTGAAGAGTTCAACATAATCAAATGCGACGAGGCTAGAAGAAAATCAGTTGCTAATAATTCAGTTTACACGGGTTTATTAAGTACCCATCTATTTAGCGCCCATGGATTAAAATCTGCCAGAACTGTTCTTAGAGATTTGTATTGCGTTCTTCAATTAGATGGCGCTCATGTCGCAAGAACAATGATTCGAACAGGGGCAATAAATTTCGATTGGGATGAGAAATTCGACATGGAGGCTGATAAATCAAGAAATTTTTTTGTGCATATCTATTCGTGGGATCCAAGTACAAGACATAGACTTTGTTTTACTGCTTCATTACCCCTTCATGCTCTCTTAACGGGAAGCAGTAAGGATATCCACAAAGTAGCGTTGCGTTTAGAACCTAAGGGGACATTATATATGCAAGTTCAGTTTACTGATGCTTCCACACTCTTTCAAAGAACTTTACGGCATACTAATTTATTCGGTATGCCAATTGAAAGTGTTCTAAGAAGGGAAGACACTCCGATTCCTTATGTAGTATCAAAGTGTATAGCTGAAGTAGAAAAGAGGGGCTTGGAACACGCTGGTATTTATCGACTCTGTGGGTCTGCTATTAGAAAGTCTCAATTAAAGGCTGAGTTCGAGAAATGTTCCAAAACAGTTGATTTATCTCCACAATCCGTTTCGGATATCAACGTTGTGACGGGGATTTTAAAAGACTATTTACGCCATCTACCTGAACCCTTATTTACAAATGCCCTCTGTCGAATGCTCTTGGATGCTTTAAGCGTTCGCTTGCCATCGGATCCCGCCGGAAACGCTCAACTCATGCTCTCAATTTTAGATTGCCTACCAAAAAGTAATCAGTTGACAATTAACCTAATTCTTGATCATCTGCGACACGTGACCTCGAAAAGCGACATAAACAAAATGACGCCTGGTGCTCTGGCGTCAATATTCGGCCCTATTTTATTATGTCCATCACCTTCAACCGTCCCTGACGCAGCGTCTAATTTAAGGCAGTACAGCCAAGTTCTAGAATATCTATTACAAATCTGGCCACATGAGAAATCGGCTTGCGTGACCAGGGAAAGTTCAGCAGATTCAGTACGGCCAGCGCCAACTGGGGGTGAAGCAGAGACTTCCTCGGCCAAATAAAAAGTTTTTTTCAGATGTAATTTTATTTTTCTATGGCAAAAATTGTAAATTCTATGAATAGTCGATCAGAGAAGGAATTTGATTTCTTTATACCCCATTTTACCAAAAGGTTAGTTGTTCTGGTAAAAAGGGCTGTAATGAACTTATGAGAAAGAGAAAAAGGAAACCAAGAAGAATACGCTACTTTGAAAAAGGAATTCGCAAATTAAGTAAGCAGAAAAAGAGAGAAAGATTCTTAGAGATTATTCCAGCTTTAAGAAAAAAAAAATGGTTTCACCGATAAAAGAGAAACCATCAAAAGTAATAATTTTCCCAATCATATATTATTCATATTTTTTTTGTCTGCAATTGTTTATGGATGACTGCAGAGGGTAGAATAAATATAAACTGTATAACAGAGCATATCCAGGCAACCTCCAAGAGGTTCTTTATTATTTTATAGCTTATAAGTGATACTTATCCTTTGTCCAACCACACGATGGATGACTTGTTGTTTGCTGTCTAAGTTTGCATACTTCTTTGACAAAATCTTCAGAGACTTGAAAGTCATTTACAAGCATAATCTTCTCCCTACTTAATAGCTTACTTAATTTCATTACATATGATATTTATATTTCTCTGTGTTTTACAGAGAAGAAAGAACTAAACAAAACTTAAATCTTTTACAAGAGAAAGCTTCTCCGGTCGACTAACTTGAGAATAAGCGCTTTTGTTTATCGTCATAGAAATCAGCACCTTGTTGTGTTCTTAGACAATCTTGTTGATATTAGATATTAACAATAAATTACCTCAACAGCCAATAAAAAGTCTATTATTATTTTTTATACATTAGTGTTATTATATGTTAAAACTTTCTCCACAACCACACGTTCCTTTAATATTTGGGTTGTAGAACACAAATTGCGAGCTGAGAGGCTCTTGAACATAGTCCATTTCAGTCCCTAATAAAGAAAGCTGAGCTTTTCTATCAATTAATATGGTCACACCATCTTGATTAACTTGCTCGTCTAATTTAGATTTTTCCGTGAAGTAGTCCAATGTGTAAGCTAAGCCATTACAGCCTCTTGTTTTCACTCCAATTTTTAGACCTTGTGAATTTGGCTTTAACTTCAGCAGAGTTTTTACTTGAGATACGGCGGCTTCTGTCTATAAATATTTAAAATAAGCAATGAATAATGTAACACAATAAACCTAAATAGAGATGTTGTGACTTTTATTAAGATAACCTCTATGCATAAACAGTACAATTCGTAGGAAACTTTAATTTCGATATTATTTTATAACCCTCTTTTTATATCAATCCAAACGAGTATGAAAAAGTATTCTCGCTAAAACATTTATCTATAATGTTTACACATGTCTCATCCACTTACTAGAATTATTGGGGCTTTCGTTGGTTTAAATTTTCGCTGTGAAACAGCTCTTACAGTTGCTGTTAGTGCTCGACCGCCTGACATTGCGATAAAAGTATGGCACGTTTTCGAATTAAGAGCGACACCTATAGTATTATATTTTAAATTTAAATATTACGAAATATATATCTTATATAAGAGGAATAAAATCAATTTTTCTCAACGAAGGTTAAGTTTCCTTCTTAAATATCTAAATATAAAAAGAATAGAAGAATAAATGAATTAAATAATATAATCAAGGTTAAATTTTTACTTTAATTGTTTGTCTTTATTAAACTTTAACCCCATTTCACTGACTAATTAAAGTCAAAACTTGTACGAAATAAGATAATGAACAAAACTCTTACAACAAAAAGAAACAACAATTTTTACTCATCTTTCGCTAAACACCAATATATTAAAATAAAAAAATATATACAAAATCACTTGTTCCTTTAAGAGTTGAAAATTTTATCACCTTCTATCATATAATCATCCAATTCCTTATCCAATTGTTCTTTTGTAACTGACTTAACTTGAGGTTGTTTGTAATAACTGAACAAAAAAAAATATTATTTATATTTAATTTTCTAATAAAGTAATAATTTCTTACTGATATTGAAATACTTCTGAACGATAATGGTTTTTATTGATTCTTGAACCTATATTCAGTCTTTCTCTCAACTGTTTGTGATTTTTTTTAAAGCCTTTTATGCCTAAGTGAAAATTTTGTTTGAGATTCGACAATCTATTTCTGAAGTGGTAGTCCTGAGTATATATATTCAATCTCTGGATTATTTGATGTGAACGATTTTTGCGATTTCTATAGTACCTCCTGTTCCGAGGATATCCTAATCTCTCAAAAACGCTGATTCTTTGCGTCTGAATAAAAAGAGAGGGAAAAATATGGCATGTTCGTTGAGGTCTATTGTATAATAAATTAGATTCTATTACTTTAATTTTATCCACATTTGTATATCGCATGCCAATAGGGAGAGGTCGAGCTAGAACGATTCTTTGCTTGGGAGTTTTCTTGCGATTATTATAATAATCTTCAATTTCCGAGCTATTATCTGTAAGTGTGTCACTTGCATCGCCATTGGTAGGTCTTTGCAGAATATCAAAAAGCTGAGTGTCTTCATGGCTTGAGGATTCGGCAATTTTAGAAAATCTATTTTTAATGAGGCATCTCTCAGTGATATATATCGTGATAAATGGGCTTGCATTTTTACCCCTTACCTATCATGCAGAGAAATTGAAGTTGACATTCTTAGTACTATCTTTTGTGGAATTTTGATTGGCACCATTTTAATTTATTTGATATTTGAAAATATACTTGAGAAATGAAACAATGTTTTCAAAAAAGAATCAGTCTAAAAAAAATGATGAAAGGAAAGCTTTATACATTTATTTAAAAAAGTCAACGACGAGAGCATTTAATAGTTTATTTACATATCTATCTGTGACAAAAATTTTTCCTTAGCAGTTGATATTTTCAATTAGAAATTATGAAAAAATCTATGGTCAGTTAATACAAATATGGCTGCATTAATAGATGGGTTCTAATACTAATGATGATCAATCTGTATAAACAGTGTTCATTACCGACTGGGAACAGAAACCGGGTAAATATGCGCATCACGTGAGATAACTTTTCAGCGGGAAAAAAGTTAGGCCTTTCGTAAATGGATTAATTACTAGAATTTACAATATTTGTTTATTGAAATACAATTATAAAATTTTTATTCTATTTTAGAATTAGTCGTATAATTTGTAAAACTAGACACAAAGATCTTTTTAAGTAATCAACTACATGGATTTTTATATCAATACTTCGTGTAATAAAAATGGGCGATCGTCGAGCTAAATTTTTTTTGTAATGTAAAAAATTAATGTAGAAAAGAGACGTTTAAAAGAACTCTGCTCAAGTCATGTGTTGTTTATTAGACGTGTATCTGAGTTGTATAACAGCGAGTTCTACTTTAAGAATTAAGAGCATTCGGTGTTTGGTCAGCTATGATGGTATTCAAAACAAGTTTGTAATTTTATTTAACTAAATTTCTCTTGTTGTGTTGATCTATGATGTTAATTAAGATAATTATAATTCTTCTTTCACACAAAAGCAGTAGCGATTTTCGGTGCGGTTTTAGTGTATGTTCTAGTTCTAATAACATACCGAAGAACTGGCAGACAATTGGTAACCATTCCATTTTTAACACTTGTTTCATTTATGGTAACTTTACCCAAACTATTTACAGACCGAAAGAGCTATTTCTAAGGTTGACAATTTCATGTCACCGGCTGAACTATCCTCAAAGAAAGATGATTTACCACACATTTATTCCATAAGTAGATTTCTTCCTTTGAGTGTTGCAGCGGAGTTGTTACACAAGTCAGTTGTTAATGCCAATCGTAGCGAATGTTCAAAAATTCAGCATATTTATCCTGGCCTGAACATATGCGAATCTAATGGAAGAGACGAGTCTGCAAGCTTGAAAATTGGTATACCATGTATTGTCTATTCTGCGAGATCAAATCCAGAGAAGGATTTTGAAGCTGAAGAGACATTTCAGAGAGTCTATGGCTGTGATATTATCGTCTTTGCTCCAAGATCACCTAATAATAAACCTCCTCATAATATTCATTTGGAAGACTCGTTGCTTTCAACAAGGAATATTAAAATCGGTTCAAAACGCCATAAGTCCATATCAAGTACTATGATCCAGTACGGTCATTCTGCTGTCGATTTACTAATTTTAAATTATGAGGGAAATGAATTACCAATTATTCAATCGGCGCTTGGTTCGAATGCTATTAAAAGAATAAGGCATACTGTTATGAATTTGTACCTGAGTCGATTAACAAGCTCTGAAAGTTACGAGCGATATGCTGAAATGCTCCTGCAGCTTAAAAGTGCTGGTTTTGTAAATTATTTGACAATTCCATCGAAATACAAACACAAGTCAGGAACTGGTATAGATTATCCAGAATATTACACGCTATATTTCTATAATAAAAAGTTTAATGATAAGGCCGAGTTATATCACTTTGTATCTCCTTCAAGACCAGCTGTTAAACTGCCAGATGATTTAAAATTCAGAAGTGAACCGCTCTACGATACTCACCTTCATGAATTTCTTCCAACCGAAATTGCCGAAGAACGCTTATATAGATGGCTTCAAAAATCCGATATCCATTGTCATTCATCAGAAAGATTAGGGAGTTTACAAGAAGGTGGATGGAATATTTGCACGGCCGGAATTTATAAACCAAGAGCACCTTGCCTTATTTACTCTTTCGGTTATAAAGCTGATCTCTCTTTTGAGGACACCATTGGACTAAAGTATGGATGCCGAGTAAGAAGTTTCGATCCAACTTTAAGTAATGAAGCAGAAAGAAACTCTTTCGTGTCCGTCTATCCATATGGTCTTAATGGCAAAGATACAAATATTGATGTTAAAGGACGGAAAGCTCAATTTTTTACATTTCATTCAATCTTGAAAAAGTTTGACGAAGTTGATTCTGTAATTGATTATCTTAAATTTGATATTGAATGGATTGAATGGGACGTTTTAGAAAATTTCTTTAAAGGAGATGGATTGAAAAATGTTAAGCAGTTGGGATTTGAAATTCACTTTGGTGACCCTTCAGCTGCATTGGACTTTTTTAATTCCAAAATGTTTACTATGAGGTGGCGTTTATTGAAGAGATTAGAAGAGAAGGGTTTCGCAAGATGGCACGCGCATGCGAATCCTAAAGGATTTTATATTGACAGAGAATTAAGAACTTATATATTTGAGGTCTACTATTTGAATCTAAGTATGCTTACAGGTTAAAAAGCGAAAAATAGAAAGAAAAAAATATAAATTTGTTCTTTTTCTATTCTTTCTCTCTCTCTCTCTCTCTCTCTCTCTCGCTCAAAAACAAAATTGACAATTTCTTTTAGTATTTAACTTTTGTTTTCGCCTTATCAAACAATAACATTTTCCGTATTGGTGTCTTATCTACTTACTAGCTGTTGTATAATAGAGAATAATTAAAATAATTATAGCCTACATTAATTATGATAATTATAAGGTAGTGAGTTAGAATAGATATTTTAACTTAATTTTTTTTAGCCTATTTATTTTGTAATACTAACAAATAAACTTGTTAACAATTAAAAAAGAAAGGAGAAAAGACGAAAGTATGGCCAATTTTTTTTAATACTGTATTACATGATATCATAGAATTGTTTCGATTTAAATTTAAAAACTTAATTAATCCGAAGTAATAGATTTTATATTGATTAAATTAAAATAACATCATGGCATCTTGCGAATTAACTTGCTTAACAATGTTTTTACTTCCTTTAAACTTTGTTATTATATCATTAGCGGTAGGCTTAAATTTTTGGTTTCATATAGATGAAACAATATCTACGAAATTCACTAATCGTGTAATGAAAACTCGCGTTCAAATAGATGCTGGTTTATTCGAAGAATGTACTATAGTATGGATGGATGGAATAGAAATGGGAAATTCTTGTGTTAAGCTAGATCAAACAAAGGATTGGCAGCAGGCCTTACCGGCGTTGTTAATAACTTCTTCAATAATAATTTTTATTGCTTGGATAATAACATTATTGGTTAATTGTTTTGAATCAATTAGCCTCAAGATAATTATACCTACAATCTGTGTAATAGCCGCCCTAATGGTAGCTGTATCTTGGATAGTCTATTTTTGGAAGCTGAAAGACGTCAGAAAACAATTTGTAAGCAGGCTGGGAGTGACTTCTAATAAAACAAAAGAATTTGAGAAAAGTGGAGGAGCTTTAAATTTCTGCTTCTATTTTGCCATATTTGCAACTATTTGTACATTTTTCACGTCGTTTGTACCATTTTGGGCCGCTAATTCATTAAAAAATAAGTCAAGGGGAAGCGAATTATCTGTATCAACAGTTTCCGCCGCACCTCAAGTTGTTTTTGTATCACCTGGTAATTTATCAATGGCAGAGATAAATAGCATATTCGATCCTGAAACTCAGACGCAATTGCCTCGTTATACATTCAGCAGGCTTTCTCAGCCCATATTCTATAGAGAAGCATCGGAACAGCCTATAATTCAAAGTTACCCTATATTACCTAAGCAGTCAATTAATACTAACTTAACTCGGAAAAGTTCTATATGGTCGCATTATAGGAAATCAAAGTTGAATAAAAGTAACGTATCATTAAGCAGGAGTAGGAAAGATTTCTTGCTATAAATATTGAACTTATAATAAAGTCTTTGTGACTCATATTGAGGTTGGTATTTATGAGGTTTTCAATTGAATGTGCTGATTTAGTGTGCCGTCAATCGAATATTCATAAATATCCAATCTTTTGTTGCCGTTTAATTTGGACTCTTTATGAATAATTAAGATCTCAACTAGAAGCCTCTTAAGCTATAATTAAGATTTCCTATTATGTAAGTTAAAGCTTTTCATTGTATAACTTTTAAATAAAACTTTGTTTTTTCGCGATAAAATTTGACATTTCGGTTCTACAGCAACCGAGAGCATAAATGTATAAGAAAAAAATAAAATTTCCTGATCAGTTTTTTTCATGTGCTATAAAGATCTACGAAAAGTTTATCCCATCACTGTAGAGGATGTTGACATTAGATCACCGTCTTCATCGGGTTCAGATAATACATAATTGTCTTCACTATCGCTATCCTCATTAATGGCTTTGAATTGAGACACAGAATGGACATTCTGACTAGTATCTACATTGGCAAATGATTCATTCTGAGACTCTTGTTTTTGAGTGTCAAATGATTCTGAATTGCTTTGATTGCCGTCGGCTTCCTTATCAATGTTTTCCATGGTATGTTTATTATCTATATTCCCAACGGAGTTTTTTTCCTTATCACCTGTACATTTTTCCTTCTCTTTCTCCCCATTTGCTGTTTCTTCATTTTGTAAGCTTTGGGAAGATGGATCGTCTTCTTTTGTAGTATTACTTTCTTCAATATTTTCCAATTCTTCTGTTTTTTCCTCTTTATCACTTATTGCAATTTGTTTCTCTTCGTTATTTTCTTCACTTTGTTGATCTCCCTCTGTTTCATCCAGCTGATCTTCTTCCTTTGTTTCATCTTGCTGATCTTCCCTTGTTTCATTCTGCGGATCTTCCTTAACTTCACTTTTCTGATTTACCTCTGCTTTGCTTTGTTGTTCTTCATTTGCTTCGCTTTGCTTATCTTTCTTGTTTACATCAGTTTGTTCCCCTCCGTCATTTGATTTAGCTAGTGTCTCCTCTTTATCATTTTCTTCAGCTTGTTCTTCATCTTCATTTGACTCCTCTTCTGTATCCATATCTTCTTCGTGGTTACTTAAGCTGCTATTATTCTCGGATTCTGATTTACTGTTATTTTCTATGAGAGTTGACACTTCCTCTTCTGAGTCTTCGGCAATATCCTCATTTTGAGTTGCTTTTTCAGTAGGGACTGATTTCAATTTATCAGAGCAATCTCTTTTTTCTGAATTTTCAATTTTAACCATAGTTTGGCTGTTTATCACAGTATTGTTTACACCATTCTTTTTATTTCTATTCGGCCGTGTTTGATTTTTCTCATTTTCGATATTAATTACATCGATCTTACGAACTTTTTCTTCGATAATATCATCGCCAGTTAAGTCTATAACTGCTGTTAGGGGCCTTTTTCTCTCAGGGTCAGAAATTCTCTTTTCTTTTACGTCAGGAGCATTTATATTACCGCCAGCTACAGTAAATCCAATAGCACTAAGTTCATTCGCCATTCGATAATGAACAGTTAGTGTGCTCATTTTTTTCTCTAGACTCCATTTATCAACACTACGAGTATCTTTCTTTTTTTCTATAGTTTTCCCTGCACAGGACGTTGGCAAAAGGCTTTGGCCTTTTGTCACTAAATAAGCATCCTTCTTAGTTGCTTGTGTGAATTTCAGAGGGTTTCTCTTGTCCTCAATGCGAGCTCTTAAAACGCCTTTCCAACATTCAACACTGATGGTACCAATTTCAGATCGATTAACGTTTGTCATTCTATCCTTATGCTGAGAATATTCAGACATATACAAATTTAACGAAAGTATTTATAAAACCTTACTTCTGACATGTTTGGTAGACTAAATAAAAGTTCTCGAACTTTGTTACCATCTCGGAATCCCGTAACGTACCTGTAACATTAGCATTTGAAAAAAATTTGAAAAAATATTCTTTAGTAAACTATTTTAGTCTATACTTTTCTTTTCCAGGGGTAATAGACATTCCTTTTATTTTCATTCCATCAACCATGATTCTAAAGTATTGACCTCTAGCCTTATTTGATGTAGTAAGACGAATTTCATATGGAGTAACAGGAACGTTCTGCATGGGAAAATCTTGTATTATCGCTCATAGATAAAATAAGAAAATAGTGATGATTTTCCAAATTTATTAAACAATATTTAAAGTCACTATATTTAATTACCTGAGTTACAGTTTGTCCCTCAATTTTTTCAGTAATTTTTTGAAGATAAGAAATTGGGGAATAAAGATTACTTTCAACGAACACTTTCCCTGTTTTATTATCCACATATTCGTGAATTGGCTGCTTATTTACAAGAATCTCAAGCTTAAAATCTTCTGAGGATGGCATTTCAAAAAATTACCAAAGAGAGAACACGTTTGCAAGAAAACTAATTCTTTGGAAATATAACTAGTAGTTGAAAATTCAATGTACTGAAGTCCCAGTCTCAAGCACTTCCGGTTTTATAGACTAGCGCGCATTACAACACAATTTAAGTAGAAATTAATAGATTTTTATTAATTTTCGTAGAAACACTTGTTTGATCTTTCTTAATTAGAAAATTCTATTTTAAAAATGGCAAAAAAATCTTTGTTATTGAAATTTCAACATACTTTTCCGAAAACTTTTGAGCTTACAAAAAAGAATTTTCCGTTATTTCTGCGTATGTGACCTACTTTCATTACTAAAAGAAAGTTTAGCAAAAAGAAACTATATTTCAAATTGTAATCAAGAAAAGATATTAAAATAACTGTATTTCAGTATTTTTAAATGAAAAAGACTTTATTTATAAATATTTAGCTCAAAATGTAAGAAAATAGATACATTTTCTAAGCATGTGTAGTTTGCTACATTAGTCATTTTTTGTATGGAAAAAAAGAAAAAAATTAGCTTAAAATTATAGTTTTAGGTAGCTGTATAATAAAGGCCCGTTCAACAATAAGATAAAATCAATGCAAGCTATCAGCATGACTTAATTATGACTAACTTTTGCACGTTTTCGAGAATATTTATCCGAGTTGTTAGCAGTAACTTTTTTTTTGGATGAACATACGGCTTTAAGTACGCAAATAAAAATACATAATAAAGGAATTCCTCCAACTATACTTCCTATTATAATATACATTTTCTTTCCTTGCTTATTTTGATCTTTTTTGGCGTCATCCCATGGGTTGTCTGTAATATCACTATTACTAGAAGTAACGTTGCCAATGACCTCCGTCATTGTTGTTGAGAGGTTAGAGGTTCCATTGATATCTTCCGAACAAGTCCAATTAAATAAGCAAAGAATGCTTATGCCTGTCGAGTGAAGAATAAGATATATGTTTTTAAGAAAACAAAACCTAGTGAATCTTTATCTACTTTTAAAGAAAGAGTAACTTGCCAGATAGTATTTTTTCCCATACAATTGTCATGTACAAGCAAATAAAACTGACAGACAGCTCTTGAAAACGTCAAGCAGTGAACTGCCAAACAATTGCAATCGGATTATAGGCGTTGTTTCAGTATTGACAAACCGCAAACAACTAAGGATAGACTATCTATGTTCAGTTGACTGACCAACTCAGAATTAATAAGACGTTTTCTGCAACAGTGTAGTTAATTATGCAAAATTCATTAAGTCGATATTTTTACTCTTTTTCAGCAATGTAACGTTTTTCGTCTAGAAAGGAATTATTTTTATTGAATTATTGAAAATATTTTAAACGACATTTAACATGAACGCAGAGGTATTTATTCAACAATGACGAAGATGACGGACAAACATTACATTCACATTATATTTCAATTTTTTTGTTAAATCCTAAATTTTTCAAATTATTATTTAGCCTTTTTTGATTCACTGGATTTTTCCTTTTTAGGTTCTTCTTCCGGATTATCCTCGTAACTAGGGAAATAGCATTAATTAGTGTTATTTATTGAATGTTGTTTTCCAGATCAATAAATTTTATATGTATATTTTTACTTAAAAAGTAGAGCACAATAAAAAAAACTCAAAATAAAGTCTATTATATTCATAAGATGTTTCTTGAAAACGAAAAAAATGTCCATCGTTTAGTTATTTAATTTCAATTAGCTAAGCACACTAGAGTGCGAATTTGGAAATGTATGAGGAACTATTATACAAAAAAAAAATGCTTTTTACCTCATTCAATTTAAATAATTCAATAAGTTACAGTAAATAAATTGTGAATTAAATTTAACGATTGTATTTTTAACTAAGTACTTTCCAAATACAAAATTACATTTATATTTAAAAAGTAAGAGAAAGAACTAATATCTTTTAACGATTTTTCGATTTAATTCAATAATTTTCCCGTTCTTTAATATTTTAGTATTTTTAAAAAAATATAATATTTTTCTGCTTACCTGAATAGATCTTTCAATTGACCCTTGACTACAGCAACTAATAGAGGAGCAGTAATACAAGCAGGAACGAGGTAAAGTAAGGCAGGCTGTTCATTTATTATTTATAGTATTAAGGGTGAAAAATGTTTTATTAATTTACCTGAGCATGTTTAAATACATGCATAACAAATATTGTTGTCAAAAGACCAAGAAAATAAGCAAGAAACGATGAATAAAAATAAATTCGTTGCTTAGGATTTTTACTATAGTCGAATCTCAACAAAAGTGCAATAAATATTCCGGGAATAACAATATCTCCTAAACCTAACATAGCAAAGTTCGTAGCTCCAAGACCTTTCTCTAGTAGATCTTGAGGAAATACCACTGAAAAGTATATAAGTATTAGTATTATTATATAGCTATAAAGCATTTATTTCTTAATCCGCGATGATATAAAGCAGATTAATTGATTCTATTTAAAAAAATTTTTTTGCGTACTAATAATTTATTATAATAATAAAACTTAAGATTAATCTGATACATACATTTTATCGGAGCTTCAAACGATTTTGCAACTGTAACCATAACATTTGTTCCAAAAACCTAAAGATACAACAATCAAGCTATAATGTAAAATCTTATATTTACTAGAGTTTTTATTACCCAAAATATGTCGTAAATGAAAAGACCTCCTAGTAGCATACATCCAGTACTGAAACGATTTAGTTGAAGCAGTTCTACACCATTTACGGAAAATGCTAATCCAAATAGGTTATTAGCTATCCAATGCTAAAAATGTATATGGGTTTATACTGTATATATATATATATATATATTTACGTATTGTTTTTAGGTATAATATATTGTAAAATTTGCTTGAAATTACCTTTTTCCATAAGTACCAAACGCCAACAACTGTGGAGATGGCGAGAGACAGTAGGTCACGACGATCGAACTTGTAATTTATAACATCTAAAATGCAACAATCATAAAGTATTAGGAATAAAATGAAGACTATTAATAAAATGATTTATTTGTAATTGTCTGTCGCCCTCTTACGGACTAATAGATATTATTGAATTTGTTTTAGAAAGAACCCAAAGAATCAAGCTAATTGAAAACAGCCTAAATACTAAACTAGAGAGAATTGTTTTCATAGCGTAAGTTTATAGACAAATTTCAAATAAATCTTTTTATTTACCTGATTTATCTTTATCTTCTCCTTCAGAGAAAATAAGGTGATAACTCTTATTGGGAAAAGAAACAGGAACTAAGTTGTTGATGAAAGGGCTATTAAAAAGTTGAATTTATTAAAACATATGTTTAGCAAAAAGATGTATCGTTACCTTAAAATGTGTGCTAATGCCAAAACTCCGAGAAAAAAGAAATAGGAGGAGAGCAGCAGATTTATGTACTCCTTGGAGAACAGCTAAAAGGGTAGCAAACAATGAGTAATATAGGCCTATTTGAGCCACGTATACTATATCATTACTTTAAAGAAAATATATAATCCAACAAGTGCTCCGCTAGCTATAATTGGAAACATGGCAGCATCTTTGAGAGTCATTCTCTCAGACTTTTCCCCAGAATCCTAAACAAATTTAATATGTTTATACTTTCATTTTACCATTTGCCGAACTCAAAAATTACCTTCTGTTCCTTATGGTGTCTCACAGAGCGGTAAGAGCCAAAGAAAATGGGTAACAAAGCCATGATAACCAAACTCCCATAAGCAACTGCAATTCCCTCAGGTGTAGCAGGAATTTTTGAGGTGGCATTTTGTGCCGATTCATTTAAAGTTTTAGCGGTTTCGTTTACGACAACGTCAGCCATGTTTACGATTTGCCACACATGCGCAAGAGACAAACCTTAGCCTGGTATCTATTCGTCCGCGATATTTGGGCCCACTTTTCTGAAAGGAATATATTTTGGCTAAATTAAAGAGTAATTTAATTCGTAAAATATCTTTTTTTATGCAAAAAAATTTCTACTAAAAAATAAACAAATTTTGAAGGTAAATTTAACTAATATATGAAGACTACGCAAGCAGCGGATGAATACAGGTAATCTTACCGAACTGCTTTGTAATAACCGCCATATTTGTTATGGACGTCAATTTGTTGAGTAATTAAAAGAAAATAGCATATTTAGCAGCGCATTGACGTAAAAACGAGAATGTTTCCTTGGAAAACATCTTCAAACACACAGGAATCTTATATATGTTGTGGCTGTCTTCATGTTCGTCATGGTACAATCTTGATTGGAGTGTTTCATTTGGTATATTTGTAAATTAAGTATGAAAAAATCAATAAGTGACATGGTGATATTTTTATTACAGGTGATCCAGCTACTGACTTTATGCACACTTGGTGTTGTTCTTGTAAAGAATGACGCGCTTGAAAAACATTTTCCAACTGTCGCGAGTATTGTGTCCAATGATTTCAATGCTTCGGAAACAGTTGATAAGAACAGCTTCCCAATGCTAATCTATAAACATAAAAATTATATCAGAGGTAGATATTCTATATATTATACATTGAGGTTAAATTAATTTTATTACTCATCGTTTCAGAGGACAATTTCTGGGGTTTAATGATAGTGTTTTTTATGATATGTTTCACCCTAATGCTTGTTTATGGAGCTTTGAAAGTAAGATATTGATATTTTTCAAGCTATTACTGCAGTTAATTTAGTCCCATGATGCACGATTTCGCGATCATGTATTTGAAATATTATGAGATATTATATTATACTAAGTTTTCTCTGAAATTTACACCATAGCTATTATTGTTTTCGAGAGATATTTTAAAATTAGGTTTATTTAAAAAAAGAATATACTCAATAACTTTTTTATTAAAACTATTATATTAAATTACATAAAATTAAAATGAAAATACAACTATTTATGAGTATTGTGGCAATATAAGAAATATGTTTGATAAATTATAGTGTATATAAAACATTTCGTACATGTATAAAAAAGACTTATTAAAAAAAGATGTCCATTTTTTATCTCTTTATTATTGCTAGACGTTTTCTATTGTAGGTGAAAATAAAAAGTGTAATTTTTCTATATAGAATCGACCTGGATATTTGATGCCATTTTTCTGTGTACAAGTGTTTCAATTTTGCGTTACCTGCTTAGTAGCAATTGGAGCATTTACCTACATGCCGCATATAAGGAGCTGGCTACGAACCCAACTGCCTGTAAGTAGACACTCATATGGTTATAAAGCGCTCTTATATATATATATATATATATATATATATATGCATTATTACTAAAAGTATGAACAAAATAAAAAAGTAATTAGTATATAAAAATCCATAATCAATTAACTAAAGATTAAAACAACAAAAAATTATACTTTATCCTATATTAAAATATTGATCATCTTTAATTTACTGCTATAAAATATATCAATGATATTATATCTTTTGAAATAAAGGTCTAAAGTAAACTTATCCCTTTGTATTTAGCTTCTTTATGTATCTGATACTTATTAATTAGGGATGGATTGATTTTTGTTTTAGTATAATATTACTTTATGATATTATGTGATTATGTTCAAGCGCAATATGTTACTGAACATTTCATCATTTCTGAACCTATATATACATATTTATCAAAATTTTGCTTAGTTTTCTTAAATTTAATTAAATTCTTGTTGATCAATTAGCATCGTTTTTCTAGATGGTTTCATTTGAACATACATTACAGTCAAATTGCATATATATATATATATACTATTTCCATCGTGCTTTAGAACAAATGCACTATTATTTGTTTTTTACATTATTTAAAAATAACTTGCTTATTATACTTTACAGCCGCATTTTCCATACCATGAATCAATTTTAAGAATGAACAGTGATTGGCTCATGTTGTTCGTAATGGTTTTCTTCGTTCTGGTCTTGTCGGTTAAAGTTTATTTTATTGGTATCGTTTGGTCTTGTTACAAGTACCTTCATGCTAGAAATAGATCAAGAATATATGATATTCGAGAGTTGGATAGCGCAGATAGTACACATTCCGCAGAAGCACAGGCAAACGTAAGTATAAATCAATAAGAACATTTTAGGTTTTATTTATCAGAGTTATATTGAAAATTTTTTTGAGGAAATTAATAAGTATCTTTATCTAAATCTTATCTGTAGCTCCAAATCTAAAGTAACCGCACAAAAAAAAAATAAAGCGATCACGTTAGGAAGTCGTCTGATCGTCTGCAGCTACTTAGGCTTTGCTGTGATTTGGGGGCGTAAGGGGAGAGACTTAGGCTTATATAAAATCCTCTTTACGTATTTTGATTATTTTTCTTATGATTCTTTTACTCCTCTAGATTGTTATGCCACCCAAATATGAAGACGCTGTTCGAATGACTACGGATGATCAACCAACCCCACCCCCGTATGTTCCTTAACAAAAGATACAAAAAGCGTTTCTTTACGTTTAGTTTATACGTAGTCAGCGGTGTTTCTTGATTTAATAAATGTTTTTATTGTAATTTACAAACTACTCTACTAGAGGCTAGCCATGCTAAAACAAATGAAAAAGTGAGTGTGTTTTATTCTAACCTTATCTTGTCTATCGCACCTGTAATGAACATTATAATAGGTGGAAATAAATACGTATTTAATATTCTGTACAATGTTTTTGTCTTTTCTGAAATTTTATTTATTAAATAGTTGCGTTCTTGCAATATTCTCACTCTAAGTGGTATTAATTTAAATATGACTAGCATAGTCCCTCTGACAAAATCCGATTTGTTTACACTCGATCTGTTTGCCACGGGGCATTGCGGAAATGGAATATCTATTATATTTTTTAATATCTAGCCAAAATACTTTCCTCGGATAATAGAAATCTTCATATATTTTTGGAGATAAAATTCCTAGCATTCAAGTAGCTATACCTACTAAATTCGCAATTATAAACCTTTCTTCGCTCTTACTAGTATTCTGTTATCTCATTTTGCTTATTCAGTATAGGACGACAGATAGCGTTTCTCAATTTCAACTGTCGATTACAGCGCCACCTAGGCGATTGAGGTTTCTTAGTAGATATTTGAATCAGCTATAACACGGATGGATTAGCGAAATAAGTCTTGGATTTAAAAAAAAATAAAATCATGGACACAGTGATAGATAATCCATGGGCGGATAGTCGGCGAAGAGCCGATGAAACAAGTAATGCATCAATGGAACTGCAGAGATTACCCGTTACACCAAGCAAAGCTGTTTTAGTTCAAAAGGTATTCATTTGTCTTTATTTTTTAAAAAAAGTTCTTAAGAGAACGTTTAGTGAAATAGGGATGAAAATTTACCGTTTAGCTTATATCGCTCTGGAAAATTTTCTGCTTAAGACCACAGCAATAGAGAATTTCGCTGCGGGCCTATGGCAACGTTTTAAGTCACACTCGACGGCAAATTGACAGCAGATATCGCTCGTTGAATAACTAACGCTCTCTGCGGAAAGAACGCACCATGCAGATGCTTAATTATACTAAACCGCAACCTACCGTAACTTTAGGCCTAGAGATGTAAATGCATTATACATTGTTGCCAGAACAAAGGCGGCTGCTCAATAATTGTACCTAATCGAATAACGAACGGGGTGCAGTAAACTGCGAAAAAAAAGAAAGGCGACTTGAAACACTTTTAGGATATACTGGATGTCTGAAATGTGTATAAAAACTCGAATTTCGCATCTTCTGTACATAACCTCATTGCATTCTAGCAAGATATATTTTTCTCTACCTTATTCGTGATTATTTAAGAGATTTGCTAAAAGTACGCATGCGCTTTAAGAAATTTTAATGAATTATTACTAGAAAAAAGCGTATTTATCTTTCATTTTAATACTTTAATTGTAGTGTAATAATACAAAAAGATCACACAGAGGTGAGTTTGTACTACTTTGAATGCAGTTTCGTGATAATTAGTAATGAATCAACATATCTTTTAGGGTTTTAGTTAAAAAACAAAGGGAAAATTTCCTATTTTCTTTGCTTCATTGAATTCAATGGATAATATTTTTTCTTTATAATTCTTCTCTTCATAAGGTTCTTGTCATATTAATACGACATTGATTTGCAAAATGATTCGATCATGAAATCCATCATGAGAGTAGCGATTGGTTGGAATACTTTTCATCTGCTAATGATTATTCAAAAACGCTGGGCAATATGAGATCTTCTCTCTTCCCTCTTCTATCTTTTAGTCTCTTTCTCTTTCCCACTTTGGTATATTTTCCATCTATTGTGCTATAGTGTATACTCTTCTATTGCTAAAAGTTTTTAATTTCTATAAAGAACACTATATGTACAACACATTTATTATTATTCATTAGGGATATTATTCAAATAGCATCTTAAAAATTAATTATCCTTTAGGGTTTTTAATCTCGTTCGAAAATTACGTGATAATCTATTTGTTAAATAATTATAATATACAAGTGTATTCACACACTCACACACATACATATAAATATACATATATATATATATATATTATACAAAAAAATCCCTACATAATTGAAATGAAAACATTATTTATAAAAACTTTCAAACATTAGTCAAAAAGACAGTAAGAACTATACAGAGATCGTGAAATATTATGACTATTCTAACTGTTGTCTATTGAATACTTTTAAAGAGAATCTAAATTTTAGTATTAGACATTCGCCTTTACTATTTTATACTTTGAAACTTAAAGAAAAGTGGGGGGAAAGCTTTGGGAATATGACAGATAGTTCCATAATAACGGAAAAATTACACTAGCTACTAGGTTATTGCAGCCACATTCTGCATAACAATATCTTCTTATTATAACAAACAGCCATAATAAAACTAATCGAGCAGACAGAAGCGACTTTAACAAGAAAAAATAGGAATACACAGGCTAAACCGATAAAGATAAAAATAAAATAAGATAAATCTTGAGTTCTGAGGAATCTAAAGGAGGAGGGGGAGGGGTAGGGAAAGAGTTTTTGAAGAAAAAAAATTTGTTACTATAGTAACAAGGCGTCGTGCTGGAAAACTCTCGAGTATTAACCGTGAAGAATTCTATTTCCGCAGCCGGCTCTTGGCAATTTGCAAATTTTAAAGCGAAAAGCGTTTTTTCGATTTTTCTTCCGTCCCCCTAACTCCCTCTCTCCGTCTGTTACGAATGTCTATGGCCTTGTAAATCATATTGAATTTTTCTCTTTCCATCCTCCCTACTTATTCCCTGTTTTTATTGTATGGACATAGTTGATTTTCAATTATAGATAGAGAATTATTTATTATATTGAAAATCGTTGCTATCACAGTGCCATCTGTGAACAGGATTGGTGACGTAATCCCATAGAGAGAGTTGATGGAGGTTGGGAATTGATAAATGGCATACTGAGGAACTGTCATAGACGTAGTCTTAAGCGAGGTTTATAAGAAGGGCCTGAACTTCTGATCCAACCTACAAAAAGCTTATTTGTACTGCAGAATTATCCGTTTATTACCAATTTTGCAACAATCTAATAAGACGACATAACATATTGAGATTTTTGCACTTGTAAGCTCAAATTCTCTAAGGAATTGTCTTATGTATAAATAGTAAATAGTATATACACTATATATTGTATTTATACTAAAAAACATAAGGTGTAAATAGTTGATATCCAGTATATACTTATAATCTATATACTATATATGTGTATGGTACATATTCTGGAAAAATATATTTTTTATTTGCAAATATCATATATAAATATATGTTTGAACACGTTTCTCTAAGCACTAATAAGTTCCAAGTAAAAGTTAATATCAACAGTTTCCCCAACTTGTCGAGCGCGTATGAAAAGTTAATTACAAGTCTCGACTTTTATCAATAGATAGTCGTACTTTTAGTTTGCTTTCGATATACGTTCTTCATTATTAAATAGGCTGAAAAAAGCAGAATTCTGTCTTTTCATCATACGTTATATGTAAAAGTCACGCAAAGCCTTTTATTTCTTTTTTACATCAACACACTCGCATAATCATGAGGAAGGGATATGATAATTATAATTAATCATCATTTCCCTCTCCGAATATTCCTGGGTTACTCTTATTTGTATTTTTCATTTTTATATTAAATACTTAAGACAATAACATTATGAATAGAACAGTAAATATGCTCTAAATGGTGTATAAAAGAGAAAAATGTAGGACTAAGAAGATATCAATATTTTGGCAATTTGTTTGTAAAAAATGTGCTTCTTAACCGAATCCGACTTTTAGACACGCTCCAATAAATTAGAAAATGTGGGCATATTCAGGAACGGAAATGTTTCATTGATCCGTAGAATCCGATGCGAAAATTACAAGAAAGAGAGAAATTAATAAATAATCATATACTTGTAAGTTTAAACTAAAGACTACTTAATCATTAATTGCAATCTATTCTGAATATAAAAGATTATCTACAAGCGTATTGTTAAATTATTGTTGTATATAAATATGACCTTTAATTAATAAGGAGGAAAATTCTATATACATATCTTTGTTTCCTATCCCAGCTAAAGTAAAAAGATAACGTTATGTGCCATTTTCTCCCACGTTGGGTATTATTAAATTTGACAGACAAATGGTACTCTCCATTGGTGCTGAAAAGTTTTATTCGAGATATAAAAAATGAAATATTTCCGCATAGTTTCGTATTTATGCACATGAAAAAAAAATTGATAGTTGTTTTTGTTTTCACACTCACTAGTTCTTTTCTCTTCTCTATAGATGCATCAAGAGTGAAATGACTGGCCGTTTTTATTTCACTCTTTTTAAATGATTATGACTTAAGAGAAAAAGGGATCATGCCCTAATTTTACTTTCATATTAGAAGTTGATTTACAGAGTGGGAAAGAAAAGGGGCGCTTGAAACTAATTATGTAATAATCCCTCTCTAATATCCTTATCTATCAAGAGTGTTTTTAGCCAGGTGAAGCTGATTAGTTAGAATGTCTTGAGAATATGTAAGCAACTGTGATAGATAAGGGAATAATAAATCATTTCGTGCTTTTATCATGTTCATTCTATTAGGAGAAATTACCTCCCAAATATTGGAAATAACGAAGACTAATAAGATTTTTTAACAATCAATCATTACTATGTAAATTTTAAAAAATATACGAATACACGTATTTATTCATTTTTCTTTTTTACTTAATATAGTAGCTATTTAACTAGAGAAGAGAATTGTTATAAAGGTAGACACAATGTACTCTCGTTAATTGGAAAACTCCTTAATTGGAATTTAGGTTAATTGGAAGTTTTCAAGGTTTACCCATCTTCTAGGATATATTGCATTATCATAGTTTATTCGAATGTCAAAAGTCATATATACTATATATAGGCATAAACAGAATAAATATTAGTGTAAATGCTATACAACTAAGTTTACTATATATACTTTTATATTTACGTAAAATCCCTGTTGGTCTCTTTTCTCATTCTCGCAAGCTCAAATCTTTATCTTATTTACTTCCGCTACTTTTCTCCACCCACACCCTGTAAACCTTATAATCCTATCTATTACAATTGACTAAATTTTTGAATTCTATCCCCTTCAGTAATGAATGATAGGCGTTATACGTTTAACGCTTTAATTATCTAACTTTTGTGTTCTTCACCTTTCAAATTGCAGAATGATAAAGAGTATTATTCTTAATTAAATTAGTGGCACTTTGACGTTTGATTAATTGGGCTTTTCACTAATTGGAATGCTTTTATGCCTTGCAGCTTCAATTAATGATAGAAAACTAGCTGTATAGTTGATGCAATGAGCGTTTGATGAAAGTTATAACTTTTGCTCATTTTTCACATTCTTTGGCTAATATCCAAGCCTTTTTTGATGTTATATAATATTAATATAATAGATGTATTATATAGAATTATTAGGAAATGATGGTAAATTTTCGCTATTTCAAAAAGAAGTTATAAAGTACTATTTTATCATCATTGAAAATTTTCCTCTCTTCTCTCTTTCTTCCTTTCTCTCTGTTGTCTATTTCCACATATTCCTTTTTACCCGGTCCGTCCACTGTCTGTCTGTCTATCTGCCTGTCTAGCGCTTTCTTTCTTGCTTTCTTTCTCTCTCTCTCTCTCTCTCTCTCTCGTTCACCCTCCCTCCCTCTCTCGTCCTCTTCTTTTCTTCTTCTTTAACATTTATAAAAATTCCTCTTTCGAGTACAAAAAGTGACGTTGAATTAGGTAGACGACTGAAGCATGTATATTGCATGTAT